GATCAAGCGGCTGGGGACCAAGGACCAGCCCAGGCTATTGAAGTGGTAGAAGATCAAGAAGTCGCGGACTGGGTGAAGGCTGCCCTTGAGAAGCGAAGAAGTGGAAAGATGAAGGGTGTTGAAAAGCCCGCGCTGCATGCCGCACCGCTAGATGCAGGAATACAGAGCCCTTCGCAGAATGGCGCAAACGGCTCAGTTGCGGCAGAGTCAGCAGAGGTTGCAGCGTAGGTCGTCTGGTGTTTCTGTTGAACACAAAAGCCAGACACGCAAATGTGTCGAGGCCTTGTACCTTTCCTCGAGCGGCTGTTGGCCCTTATGTCTTGGTTAGGAAGAGAAGGCAGTATACTATGCCATCTTGTACACTTTCGGCGTTGCATCGGCGCATTACTGGGAATGATTGACATGAAATATTCAAGTCAGGGCATTGAGCGCGGAGAATACATGTACCTAGCATAGCATACATCTTATCCAGTTTAATTGGTATCGCATTTGCCTTGACAGACGTGATGTCCGTGGACTAAATCTAATGACATATGTGTTTAGTCGACTTTTGCACTTCTGGACAGGTTGCAGTCAATCGTCAAGTACAACTGAACCATGTCTCGTCATATTCTCTGAACTTAGCTTTCTGGCATGTCACGTCACCTGCAATCATGTCTTTTTTTCATCCTACTCAAGTGTCCATTCTCCCTCGCCCAAATAAAATATCTCTGTCTTCGAAGGTTGATTTCGTCGTGACGTAAATGCGACGGCGCGCTGGCACGTGACGGCACGACCCCTGCTTAGCCAAGCGTAATCGCGGCGGCCATGTGTCGTGGTGCGGCGGGAAAGAACACAGTGGTCGGAACAACTTCAATAAGTGGCCACGACTTTCTTTCGTACGCACCGCCCACACCTTCTTCGTAATGCCACAGGCCTAGGACACACTCTCCCTCTCTTTCTGCTACTTCCTAAACTCGAGGCTACCCCGCTATTTCTTCTATTCGCTCTCTCGCAACATCTCCACTTGTCCCTAGGGACAGACATTAAACATGTCCGGCACCGACTACAATTACGATGAGCAGGTAGGGCTTTTGATGCGCACACAAAACAATTCGCCTCTAACAAGTTTGCAGGGCCAGTTCTTCCCCTACTTCATCCTCACTGTCACCACACTCGTCACTGTCCCCACCACAATATCATTTCTGAGACCCAGCAAAGGTGCGCAACTTGGTTTTGTTTCAACATCGCCATACTAACTATGCTCATAGAACTCGAAAACACTGGAGCGCGCATAGAGTCCGACTTCACCCCCGAACATGCAGATCTCATCCAAGGACAGCGAAAGAAGCAGAAGCGCATGGAAAGGAGGATCAAGCGTGGTCTCGTCATGGTGGGCGGTTGGGCTCTGAATGCCGCAATGGTCTATCTCATCCTAGTCACTGCCAGGACGACACCTGACATTTGGGACCCGTATGCGGTTCTTGGTGTATCAAGGGTAAGAGCGTTCTGCTCAGCATTTTGACACGTGAACAATCATGCTGACTCACAACACAGAGTGCAGATGAGAAGGCGATTAAGAGGCATTACCGAAAACTCTCTCTTTCTTTGCATCCTGACAAAGCCCGCGAGGACCCCGAGAAGAACATTACCCTGCAAACTATCAACGACCACTGGGTTGATGTCACCAAGGCCTTTAAAGCTCTCACTGATGATGAAATCCGCAACAACTTTCTAACATACGGTCACCCCGACGGCAAACAGAGCTTCAGCATCGGCATTGCGCTCCCACAGTGGCTAGTTACCGAGGGATCTGGCAAGTACGTCTTGCTGATTTATGCGCTCGCGCTCGGTGTCATTCTTCCCTACACAGTTGGCAAGTGGTGGTATGGAACTCAGAGATTGACAAAAGAAAAGGTCTTGGTCGCAAGTGCTGGCAAGATCTTCCGCGACTACGACAACGACCAGGGTGAGACAGGTGTCATCTATGCGCTGAGCAGCGGAGAAGAGTTTAACGACCTCCTTACTGGACAAAAAGCAGAAAACGGCCTATCCAAGTTGGAGCAGAAGGTTCTTTCTGAAAACTCTGGCTCGCTCATTCCACAAACACTCACGTTGAAGGACCGTCAAAAGCTCGACGATCTGGAGGACAGCCGGAGACGCAAGGTTCTAACCTTGCTGTGGGCATATCTTGGCCGTGTTGAACTCGAGGATGAGACCCTAAATGAAGAAAAGTTCGCCATCGCACCTATCGCATTCCGCTTGAACGAAGCTTATGCCGCCATTGCGCTGGCGTATGGCAACACCACGGCAGTACTATCGGCATACAGGACATCCCAGAATCTCATCCAAGCTCTACGACCAGGATCCTCCCCACTAGAACAATTGCCTTATTTCACACCTGCTGTTGCAGATGCGGCTGAGGCTGAGCGATCAAGGACACATCTTACCATTCAAGAGTTCATGCAAATCCCAGACGCTCAACGCAAAGCGCGCATCGTAAAGTCCGGGCTCCTCTCCCACGAACAGTACAACACAGCCATGTCTGTAGCCTCGCAGATTCCTCTATTTCATCTCGAAAAGGCATTCTTCAAGGTTGTTGGCGAGCGATTTGTTACACCCAGCAGCTTAGTCCAGTTTGTACTCAAGGGTCGTTTCATTCCTTCAGGCGCCACCGACATTCCTGAGGTCAACCCGAAAGATCTTCTGGACATTGATCCTGCGGAAGGCGATGTCGCGGCGATTACAGGACGTAAGAACGACAACTCTAGTGACAAGCCCATTCAGCCACCTCTAGCACACGCTCCATACTACGCCCGGGATCACGCGCCAAGATGGCACGTGTTTCTCGCAGATAGCAAGCAAGGACGCATCGCAGTACCTCCATTCACATTTTCGACCTTTGACAAGCCTATTCTCGACGAGAGTGGTAAGCCTACATTCAACGTACAAACACTCAAGATGCAATTCGGCGCCCCTCCACAGCCTGGTAGTTACACCTTCGTTATGCACTTGATCTGCGATAGCTATGTTGGCATGGACACCAAGATGGAGGTTACGCTGGTTGTCGAGGACGCCAGTAAAGCCGAACAGGTCGAAGAGGAGGAAGAGATCAGTGAGCCAGAAGAGGGTAAGTTTTCCTTTCCTATGGAGACAACCTGATCATAATTACTAACACTTAACAGATTCCATTGCTGGTCAGATGCGTCAAATGAAGACTGGTAGTGCGCCAGTCAAGAAGCGGAGATCAGCAGCCGATGACTCCAGTGGCAGCGACACCGAGGGTGATGTGGAATCCGAGAGCGAGACTGATACTGACACGGACTCGGATGATGAGTAGATTGTTTGGTTTTTCTAGATGAATTGTAATTCACAGGATATTCTCATGTGCAGACCCAAGTAAGGAGATGGAAGCGAAACGCATATGCTGACGGCTGGCATTCGTTCCTACTCTGCTTGGGGCCAGCTGCCATTGCAGGCATTTGCAGGCGTTTTCGGAGACAGAGGCAATTCGCGACTTTAGGGACTACCATTTTATGCTTTTAGATGAAGTTTCTATCGCTAAAGGGGAGGAATTGAGAGGAACACTAGGTATGTAGTAAATGATGTGTACATAGGGATGGCATTCGGCAAAATCTCAACCTCATGACCTTTGAACCCACCTTTGGAGTTACTTCTTCCTTTTTCCTGGGACCACATATGCGCATGCAGTGCAATAGTATTCCAGACAGAAAAACAAAACAGGATTGCATTTCTGCCTTGGTGCAGGGTGGACGCTCTATTTATTGGCCAACATGAATCGACAGCCAAGCATCCGCTCCAACGTCCAAGACACTCGGAACAATAAAAATCTTGTTTAAATTGGCCGACCGACCTATATGCACATGCCTTAGGAACCTAATCAGGTTCAAACTGATCGACACTTGCTTAATGCATAGTAATATCCCCATATCGGGAGTAGGGCTGGGGTTGGTGTTCGCCAAAAGTTCTGTCCCACACGTGTGGGGTTTCAGCGATGTCTCGGCTCCACCTCCTCATCACCACCACGACTTTCTTCTTTACACAGGCTTCTAAACTGACAGGTAGGAAGATTCTAGCGTTCAGAGTCAGTTGACGTTGGCGGATGCCCTTCATGTTACAGAATGGACGTGTGAAGGGTGACACGTTAATGACACCACTGGACGTGGCCATGACATGAAAGACAGACGCGTTGCTGTCGTCGTAGACAGTAGTACAATGACTGCGAAATCACGTGGAAACTGAGAAGACCGGGTGTCACGGAACAACAACCAAAGGGTTCTTGAGTGCTATTCTCAGCGTCACGTACGTGTTCATCCCACAACGGTTCCGGAGCAGAGAGTTGCCCCAGCGTCCTTTCCGTTTAGCCGCCTCCGCATTCGGCCCTGTCCCACAAAGCGGTCCTTTATCAATCTTAAGCGGGTAGGAGGTGCACCGAACATGGTGTCTCACTGTCGCCAAAGCATGGTCTGCCACACCCCAGACTACAGCCACGCCTTGGCAGGCAATCGGATATTGAGGCTCCGCTATCCTCAGGCTCTTGAATGCGCCTCAGACAGCAAGGCAAAACTGTCAAGCAAATCTTGGCGGGCATGTCGTTGCACATCACCCCTCTTGGCGGCCGCGGGAGCATTCTTCGCCGGTAGCAAGTGACAATCACGCTACGTGTGTCACACAACGACAGCACAGGGGATCAGGCAAGCTACAGATGGACGTTTGCTAGGGCATAACCAAGAAAATTCTGCGATGGGCGAAAATGGATAAAAGGTACTGGGTGGTCGCGTAGACAGAGAATCATCCTCATCCCACATTCACTCCAAGCCTTCAGCCTTGCTTTTCTTCCTTCCTTAATACCTTTCCATTCTTTAGCGACTTTGATAGTCTGCAGCAATCACTCTCTTTGCCATTTTAACAAGATACGTCTGTGACGTTTAATCATCTACAAACTTTAATCTCCGCAACTTAAAGTCAAGTCTATTCCAGTCTTTACATTTACTATCAACATGTCTTTCAAGGCTATTGTTACCTTTGTCCTCGCTGCCGGCTTCGTTGCCGCAAAGCCCATCAGCCACCAGTCTGGCCTCAGCCTCGACAGGCGCCAGATCGATGTCAGCTCCGTCATCAACGGCTTTAATCGCAACGATGGCGCCTTCAACTTCATCGACGGCTTCAACAACTTCAACAAGCAGCAAAAGGTCATTCAGATCCAGCAGCAGAAGATTCAGATCGTCGATGACCGCTCCCGCCAGCAAATTGTGCAGCAGATCCAACAGGTCCTCATCGTTGACCAGGTCAACAACGGCTTCAACAACGATCTGAACAACCTCTTCCGCAAGAGCAACTTCCAGAACCAGTTCCGTGACCGCAGAACCGATGTCATCATTGTTCAGGAGATTATCGTTGTCATCGATGATGGCCGTGGCGGCCGTCGCGACCAGAGCTTCTTTGCTCAGAACACCATTGTTGCCAACCGCGGTGGCCGCGACAGGCAGAGCGTCATGATCTTCGACTCCCGTAAGCTCATTGCCAACGACATTCTCCGCGACAACGCCTTTGACAGGATCGGACGCTTCAATGGCATTGCTGGTGCCACTGGCCCCATTGACGGAGGCCTTCCCCTCAAGACCCGGGGCTACCAAATCTTTGACGAGCGACCCCGCCACGCCAACATTGTCGAGGACCCTGCTGCGATTCTCGGTGCCATCTGGCAGGGTGCAGTTGAGGACCTGCAGCGCAACGATGAGGACGAGAACGATAATAAGCTTAATGAGTTGCTTGCTGCCCAGGAGCTTGAGGAGCTCCTGAAGCAAAAGGGTAATGATAACAACAACAACAACAACGACGACAAGAACAACGACGATGAGCAGCGCAAGGCTGAAGAGGAGCAGAAGAAGCAGCAAGAGGAGCAGAAGAAGCAACAGGAGGAACAGCAGAAGCAGGATGAGCAGAAGAAGCAACAGGAAGAGCAGCAGAAGCAGGAGGAGCAGAAGAAGCAACAGGAGGAGCAGCAGAAGCAGGATGAGCAGAAGAAGCAACAGGAGGAGGAGCAGAAGCAGGATGAGCAGAAGAAGGCTGAGGAGGCTGCCAAGCAGGCTGAAGAGCAGAAGAAGCAGGATGAGGCTCAGAAGCAAGCTGACGAACAGAAGAAGCAGCAAGAGGAAGCAGCCAAGCAAGCTGAGGAGCAGAAGAAGCAGGATGAGGCTCAGAAGGCGGCTGACGAGGCCCAGAAGCAGGCTGATGAGCAGAAAAAGGCTGAGGAGCAGAAGAAGGCTGAAGAGGCCAAGGCTTCCGCTTGAACGATTTCTTTCTCTCTACGAAGCGATCTTTTCTTACGAAGTAGTTAGTGCACTGGTTTGCAGCGAAGGAAAAGGGTACACAGATGATCCATTTGGGAGTGGCATCAATGCGAATGGGATACGGTTTATTCAGTTATTATATATACCCTATATGAGGCTCTTGAACAACTTTCGTCTTCAACATTTGCAGTGTGTAATTTCCATATTTCAGCAGCTGCACCATTTCGCAATTTGCAAAATCAGAACGTCTCTTCTATCTAGTTGACCTACTGGAAAGACAGGTCCTGGGATATACCGCGTCGGACAATGCATATACAACTGTCAGAGACGTCAGGATAGTTTAAACTGTATTTACCTGTCATTTCGTTCTGTAACTACAAACGTCTCGATCTTTGTTGGCTATTATAGTCTCCCTATGCAATACTAAACCTAATTGAAACATAATAGCTTATTGGCAGTAGTCCGTGCTTAATTTCCACTACAACTACGGCAACAGTATATCCGATCAAGCAAAGTCATATATCTTGAACGATTGAAGTGGATGGCAACGGTTGCTCGTACGCTCGTACCAGGCGTGACTTGTCAAAGTTAAATGCTCCCGTTGTAGCTCTGACGTGTCGATGAGGGATGAGGCCCACGCCGGATTATTCTGAGAGTTAGGCACCCCGCTTCAAAGAGTCATAACGAGGCACGCTGTTCATTGGCGTATCTAGAGTCGAGACGTGCTTATTGAGCCACGATTTGATGTTGGGCAGACATCTCACGATGTCCGGGTACTTGCACCGAGCCGCGCTAGTCCTATCCAGGAATGACGTGCCAAGCAGTGACGTAACCTTGATTGGCGGGGATGCTGCGACTTGACCGGAAACTTGCAGCAGGTGCCCAGAAGCTTCTACGTGCAGGGTGGAATGCACGCCTAGCTTCGAGACATGACGAGAAATCACTCCACATCACTGGTTATTTCCTGATACTTCGCCCTCATTTGCGTACAACTTATATAAATCTCACCTGCGTCTTGTCCTACTCAACTTCTTCTGTTTCTGCAGAGATACCCATCAATTAAACAGTGTACAAACACCTAGTACAAAACCTGATAGCAGGTTCACAACGCACGATTTTCATCTTGGCTTCAAGCCATAAATAAGGCTACAGTCACTAATCAAAATGACTTCATTCGACGCCTATACCGACCGAGCTGCAAAGGCCCTGGCAGACAGCTTCGATCTCGCCAAGGGCTATGCACACTCACAACTCACACCTCTACACCTTGCGGTGTCGTTGATAGATCCACCCAAGGACCTCGCAAACACAGTCGACGTACCCCCACCACCGCTATTCAAGCAAGTCCTCGAACGCGCAAATGGCGACCCACAAGCCTTCGAACGTAACCTCAAGAAGGCAATGGTCCGGTTGCCAAGTCAAGATCCTCCGCCAGAGCGTACATCACCATCACCAGCTATGGCAAAGGTGCTGCGTTCTGCGGAAGAGCTAAGCAAGACACAAAAGGATAGCTTCATTGCTGTCGACCACCTCATCATGTCGCTCTGCCAGGATTCCCAAATACAACGAATCCTCGCCGAATCAAACGTACCCAACACGAAGCAGATCGACAATGCTATCCAAGCACTTCGAGGAACAAAGCGGGTGGACTCGAAGACGGCAGACGCCGAGGAGGAGAACGAGAACCTCAAGAAATTCACCATCGACATGACCGCCATGGCACGAGAGGGCAAGATCGACCCTGTCATTGGTCGTGAAGACGAAACACGACGAGTCATTCGTATCCTGACTAGGCGAACCAAGAACAACCCTGTTCTCATTGGTGAGCCTGGTGTTGGTAAGACTACAGTCGTTGAAGGTCTTGCCCGCCGAATTGTCGATGCAGATGTACCAGCAAACCTAGCAGCATGCAAGCTGCTTTCACTCGACGTCGGTGCTCTAGTTGCTGGCAGCAAGTACCGCGGAGAGTTCGAAGACCGTATGAAGGGAGTGTTGAAGGAGATCGAAGAATCCAAGGAGATGATAGTGTTGTTCGTCGACGAAATCCATCTCCTCATGGGCGCTGGATCTTCTGGCGAGGGCGGTATGGATGCTGCCAACTTGCTGAAGCCCATGCTGGCTCGTGGACAGCTTCACTGCATTGGTGCAACCACCTTGGGCGAGTACCGCAAGTACATCGAAAAGGACGCTGCATTCGAACGTCGATTCCAGCAGGTCCTCGTCAAGGAGCCTTCGATCCCCGAGACAATCTCTATTCTTCGAGGACTGAAGGAGCGATACGAGACGCACCACGGTGTCACCATTATGGATGGTGCTATCGTTGCAGCTGCTACCCTCGCCGCCCGCTACCTCACCCAACGGCGACTGCCAGATTCCGCTGTCGATCTGATCGATGAGGCTGCGGCAGCTGTCCGTGTCACCCGAGAGTCACAACCTGAAGCTCTGGATAACCTCGAACGACGCCATAGACAACTCCAGATTGAGATTCATGCCCTTTCGCGGGAGAAGGATGAAGCCTCACAAACGCGTCTAAAGGAGGCCAAAGCTGAGGCTGCCAACATTGAGGAAGAGCTGAGGCCACTTCGCGAAATGTATGAACGCGAAAAGGGCCGCAGCAAGGAGATCCAGGACCAGAAGCTCAAGCTTGAGGGCCTCAAGACCAAGCTTGCCGAGGCTGAGCGTATGCGTGACATCCAGACTGCATCTGATCTCAAGTACTACGCCATTCCCGATGTCGAGCAGCGCATCAGCGAACTCGAGCGTGAAAAGGCCCGCGCAGATGCTGAGATGTACTCACACCAGGCAAGTGGAGGTGGTGAGTCTCTCCTGAGTGATTCCGTTGGTCCAGACCAGATCAATGAGATTGTCGCTCGTTGGACCGGAATCCCAGTCACTCGTCTCAAGACCACAGAGAAGGACAAGCTGCTCAACATGGAGCGCCACCTACAACAAGTCGTTGTTGGTCAGAAGGAGGCTGTCACATCTGTCTCCAACGCCATCCGACTTCAGCGCTCTGGTCTTGCCAACCCCAACCAACCACCAAGCTTCCTCTTCTGTGGTCCATCTGGTACCGGAAAGACTTTACTTACCAAGGCTCTTGCCGAGTTCCTGTTTGACGATCCAAAGGCCATGATCCGATTTGACATGTCCGAGTACCAGGAGCGACACTCTCTCAGCAGGATGATTGGTGCACCACCCGGCTATGTCGGTCACGATGCAGGAGGCCAGCTTACCGAATCCCTCCGTCGGAAGCCGTTCTCCATCCTGCTCTTTGATGAAGTTGAGAAGGCTGCCAAGGAAGTTCTTACCGTTCTCCTGCAACTCATGGACGATGGTCGCATCACCGACGGTCAAGGTAGAATCGTTGACGCAAAGAACTGCATTGTCGTCATGACCTCCAACTTGGGTGCCGAGCACCTGTCACGGCCCAACGCACCAGACGGCAAGATTGACCCTACCACCAAGGAGATGGTCATGAATGCGCTACGCAACTGGTTCCTGCCTGAGTTTCTCAACCGTATCTCATCCATTGTCATTTTCAACCGTCTTACGAAGCGCGAGATCCGCAGCATCGTGGACGTAAGAATGGACGAGATCCAGAAGCGACTCAACCAGAACGGAAGGAACGTGCGCATCGAGATGAGACCCGAGGTGCGCGATTACCTTGGTTCTGCCGGCTACTCGCCAGCATATGGTGCCAGACCACTGGCCCGACTCATTGAGAAGGAGGTGCTCAACCGACTTGCTGTGCTCATCCTTCGCGGCTCCATCAAGGATGGTGAGACGGCGAGGGTTGTGCTCGATGAGGGACATGTTGCCGTGCTGCCAAACCACACGGACAGCGAAGACGACTCTGAAATGTACGATGAGTCTGACGCTGTCCATGAGCTGGATGATGACGATGCTGGCATGGATCTGTACGACTAGAAGAATGATGAGGAAGTACCTGGGATGCAAAAAGATGATGTTTGGAGCAATGGCGTTATTTCACTGGGAGGGGTTTTCATATCACTTGGGGAAAGTTGATGTCCATGATTCAAGAAGGCATAACAATGGGTTTTACGAATTATGAATGATGGATTGATTTCAAAAGGTGCTTTTGATAGGCATTCTAGGTTTTAGCATATTTGAGCATAGTGTCTTGTATATAGTTAATGAGACATACTTCAAAAATAATTGTCTGTGCTTGTGTCCAGTGTGGTATTTTACTGATGGTAAATCAACTTGACTTGACTTTGGAAAAAAGTACAAACTCAGTAAATACCTCCCAAACATATGCTAATCCATATTCACTCAACACATACAATAATAGTCACAATAATGATAAACCACTCAAAAAGAGTCATTTGAATTCATCAACTTTTTTGTCATTTCTTCGTTGAACGCTCCCATGATGGACCACTTAGCCAAATACAGATGATTTTGCTTGTCTAAGCCCGGGTATATTGCATCCCACTCCACCACATTCTAGAACATCCTAGTAGAAGAAACCCAGAATCTTGCCGGCAACGTGCTTCCTGCGGGCCTCCTCGTGGTCCATGATACCGGCAGAGGTGGTCAGGACGATGAAACCGAATTGACGAGAGGGGAGTAGCTTGACGACCCACTTCTCCATGTCGCGGAGCTGGACGTTGTAACGGGGGGAGATGACACCGGTCTTGTTGATGCGGCCAATGAGCTGGATGACGATCTTGCCGTTGCGGTGGTCATCGACCTCCTCGAACTCGCCAATGTAGCCTGAAAAAAAGCAAATGTCAGTGTATGTTGCGGCGAAATAAACATCAGACGTCATGAAACGGTTCCGAAGACGTGTAAGTCCTCCGCAGTTCAATATATCGGACACTTAAAGGTCAATGATCGTGGGAAATCGAGATCATTAACTAGTTATCAGCCCGAAGAGGGGAGGGGAGGAAAGGGAGGGGAGGTGGATGTTGATGCAGATGCGCGCCTTTTTCGTCGTTCGGAGTAAGGAGATTAAGACGTCTGTGAAAAAAATTGTACGTACCGTGCTTCTGCATGACGCGGAGGAACTTGACAATGACCTTGGAGGAAGGACGGATCAGGACCTGGCGCTTGCCAGCCTTCTCGGCGTTGTTGATGGCGTTAAGCGCATCGTTAAGGACGGAGGTCTTGACCATTTTGGCGGCGTGTGGAGATTCTCGGTGGCGGCGGAGGGCGACTGAGGTATCTACGCGCAGAATTGTGGTTAGCCTCCAGATGCCAGAGCATGGAGAGTGCCCTCAGACTGCAAGCATGAGGGTTCTTCAGCTCTTGTCGCAGAGGAAAAGCAGTGTCGCCGCCATCCCTATAGATGACAGCGATTGCATCCCCAGGCTCTGAAGGGCACTCGGGTTGACGAAAGACATACCTCGGCTTGTGCGGGTGGTGAGCAGTTGAGGAGAGTCGGTGAGTATAGCAAAACTTCGAGTTTGACGGGGAAATTGGTGTGGTGGGCCGTGCGCTCGCTAACTGGACGGTGCGTGGCTTGGCAGGACCGACTAGACCCTTGCACGCTCGACTGGGGGACCGGCCTCTCTACCTATACCCATGGTTCAACACTTACTGCACGCGACCATTGTATTACAGTTTAGCGGGGAGATTGTTATATTGATGTTTAGATACTTGATTAATACACGTAGAGAGGAATTTAATTTGACCGACATAACACCCATATCGCGCCTTCACGTGCTAACGCGAGTGTCTAACCGCTTTAGTCATGACGTAGCACGTCTTGCTTTGCCCCCCAGTGTATTTGTATTACGAATCTTGTATCTAGCACTTCACATCTTCACCAGATACTTACTCTCCTATCACCACCATGTCTGAAGCATGCTGCACATGCGCTACACTCCTTACATCGATACCACCTACATATGACGAGAAGACAGAGAAGCCCTCACAGTTCGAGCGTAGACTTGACTGCTGCGGGCGCGCTATATGTGCCCGATGTTTAACAGACAACCCTAGATTCCAAAACTACTGTCCATTCTGCCAGATAGCGACGGGCCCATCAGCATTGCCTCCGCAAGGTCTACGCGATCCTCCTACGTATTCGCCACCAGACGAGCACCTGGCGGGTGACGAGTTACCACCTTACTCTGCACATAATTCATTGCAAACGCCACCTGAAAAGTCAAAGGCAAACGGCGAGGATGCGCCCGATGTGTTACATTTCGTAGACCAGAATAACGATTCAGTACGGTCTTTATCTCTTCGATACGGTGTTCCGGCCGACGCCCTCCGCCGAACAAACAACCTGTTTGCCGATCACCTGCTAGCTGCGCGCAGAACAATTCTTATACCCGGCGAGTATTACAAGGGCGGGGTCAGTCTTAGTCCGCGGCCGCTCGAGGGTGAGGAAGAAGAAATTAAGAAGACCAAGTTGAGAAAGTTTATGGTTAAGTGCAAGGTGTCAGAGTAAGTCGGCTTGTGCTGTATCTTGTTGTAGTACGGGGTGTATACTGACTTGGGTGCTAGATATGATGTTGCCCTTCTTTATCTCGAACAAGCAAATTACAACCTTGAACAAGCGATAACTGCGTTCAAGGCTGATGAGGAGTGGGAGAAGGGACATTCTTTAGAGGCAGCGAAGAAGGGCAAGTCCAATGCCTCGCAAAGTCTGGGTCGTAAGAAATGGGGGTTCGGAGGCCTTACTGGCCAAGCTTCGTAGCGCATGAGCCACTGCCGTTCTGGTCGATGTATGTATAAGAATACAGTCTGTGCGTTGGTACTTGATGTCTTGCTCTACTCTAGGTGTACTCCAGGCAAAGTTTTCAACACATCCATTTCCAAACTAAACATGCTCGCCCTGAAACTCCTCACTGTTTTAGTACGAGGGGAGAGTTGTGAACGATCAAGACCCCACCCGTTTATTGCCAATGGCCCCATCATACCGTGCGTCTTGCAAGCACCGTGGCTTACCGTTGGCGCACGGCAAGCGAACTACGGGCATGAAAAACTTAGCCCTCGAGCTGGGCTGCCAACTTGGCGACACTACGCCGTCAAACCATCGAATAACAGCCCTTGAGCAACCCAAAAATGCATGTTGGATCAAACTGTGAAACGCTAACTGCACAGCGGGCGCTTCGCAAGAAAACCTAGGGCTTGCACATGTGTGCATGTGCAAAGAGGGGCTGCTTCGGGCAAAGTGTCGGCGCTTACAATGCTGAATGCTGTGTAGAAAAGCGTATCTCTGGACGCTGATTGGCTGGCAAATCTCACAACAGGGGCCACCAAAACAAGCTGCAGTAAACCCAACGAAGGAACGAGTTATGGGGATGGTAGTAAAATGTACCACATGCAGTAAGACAGCAGTAGGGATGCAAGGGACTAATACTGCTATTCTAGGCGTGGACTGCATGGTTACGCGCTGCGAATGACAGCGCTGGGGCCATTACTTTGCTGTATCGTAGCGCTACCAGGGCGGACACCACTGGGTAGTCCCAGCGGCAAGGCAGATTGGACCAATGTCTTTTTTCTTCGTACTTCTCGTTCGTCTATTTCGAGGTGCGCGAGTAATAGTTTGGGAGTGGGGAGGCTGCAAGGGGTGGATGGAAGGCCGGGTAGCGGCAAAGGGTGTTCTGTGGGCTTGAAACCGCAATTGCGACCAAGTCGTTTTAAAGGCATGTTGGCCACCCGTCTTGGTGCTTACTTTTCTGTCCATCCAGCTCAGGCAGTAAGGTTTTCTCTTAGACGACGGCCTCAGGAACGAATATATCTGGCTCTTTCTCCTTCGCGTCTTTTGTTTCTTTATCACTGTTGTTGGCCCCTCTTTTATTTTATACACGGACGATAAAGAATAGGTGATCCTGGTTGACACCCTGCTCGGACGATACAATCTTTATATCCTTGTTGTTTTGTTTCATTCACCTTTCTCGATTACGAGTAATACTATCAGACCGGAACTTGAGAGAACACGATCGTCAAGATGAAGATCAACCCCGCTCCTTTCCACATGGCTCAGGCCGTCATCACTGGCCTTGTCGTTGTCCTTAGCATCGCTATCCTTGGTACTTCTGCGCACACTCTCCGTATCTTCAACGAGCAACACCTGTCCAACCCATGGTGGGCACCCATGTGGCCCCAGCACTTTGATGTACAAGGAACCAAGGCACTCATCGCTTCTTCTGTGGTCACATTGGTTCTCTGCGGCGCTTTCTTGATCGCATCATTCATTCCCAAGGTACGTATAATTCTGTGGTAATGCTTTAGTGAAGTCATGTAGACTAACGTGTAGCAGTTGGCGCTTCGTCAGAAATACACTCTCCGCGCTCTTCTTTCCTTAGCCACACTACTCCCTACTCTTCTTCTTACGCTCATTACTACTGTCTGGGCACACATTCTCAACGGAAACGCACCCGATGTCGATACCATTCAGACATGGACTTGCAAGATGCAAAGCTCGCGGCCACTTGAGCAAGACCTACCTGAGGGCATTGCTATGCCGCCTGGCATGGGCAACGGCGACTTCAAGTCGCTTTGTCAATCGAGCAAGTTTGCGCTCTGGGGAACCCTTGTAGTCTTCCTGCTGGTTGGTGCAAGCACTGGTGTCACAATGATTACTTGGATAGCGGACAAGTGGGCTGCTAGGCAGCACAGGAAGGAGGTCGAGATGGGCAACATCCCCGCCGACCTACCTTGAGAGTGTCAGCAGTATGTTGCATTTTCTCTGAGACGAAGGCTTGCCTAAGGTCTGGTTAGGTTGGGTTCGGAGGCGAGTCAATTGTTTAGTATATCCCGGAGTCTGTCTTCACAAGGCGAGAAGACATAGACTTGTATTTACTGTAAGGCGTACTGGTGCTTTTGGCGGAACAAGGCCTCCGGTCGGCGGGTCATGGGATGTTGTATTTCTTTCGCGATTGTACGATTTGGATAAATGAAACAAGTCTCAAGCGGCCAAGCACCAATGCCTCGTTCCTTCGACGTGTGGATAGTGTGAGGGCGACGGGTCGAGATTGGCGATTAGCCTTGTTCAAAGGCGATGAGGGCTAGTTGCGCACGACGGACCGATGGGCTTCTAGGGTAGTATCGTGGGAACGGTAGCGAGGTACGTTGACGTAGTCGTAATTCCATTGTCTTCAAAGATACGTGTCGGCAGTGTCGGAGCGCCATAACGCTTGCTGCGATGTCATGGCATCTGATGGGCGCTAGCAGGGATTGCAGGTGTTTGTCGCTGAGCAGAAGCAACAGCAAAGCCGGTGGGAAAAAATGTCTTTTGGATGAGCTAAGATGCGCCGTCTCGAGACACAGCCAGAGTCTCAGCAGTTTCAGCGGCGGAGGGAGTCTGCGGTAAAAGTCTCAGTGCGTGTAGAGTAGATGGAAGCGACCCGCACTCGCCCTCGCCCTCGCCCTCGCCCTCACCCTCGCGCCTCGGACGCGGCGCGCGTGGCTTCATGTTAGCCCGCCTCCCGCAGTGGATCCCCGTGAATAAGCTGGTCAGCGATCACCCTCCTGTCCCCGTTGCCCTTAGTTTGTCGCGTCATCTCAGCTGCCGCCATCCGCCTCGCTCGTCCCCATACTACCATACTTAGACAGCTCCAAACTATCTTTTGCGCCTGTGCCCTCCAATCTTCCGCTCCGCCAGTGCTGTCGGACCATCGAACCTTTTCTATCCGCCGTTCTTCGACGAGCCGAGCAGCCGATCAGATCGCTCCGCCCCCCGGCACAGGGCTCGAGCGTGCATTCAAGCGGCATCAGAAAGATCACCCCTCTCCACTGCGGCAGCGAGGCTGCATAACTGTCTGGACTGCCCCGGCCCGCGCCCTCTTCCTCCTCCTCTGCCTCTGCCTCTGCCTCTGCAATCGCTATGCACCATTGCTCTACACCACCTACGCTCGCCCAACAACACCCCTGCAAGAAACAGTTCCAGCCTAGCATCACGACCTATTTTGAGGTGCGGGACGGCTTGCACAACTGTGACCACCTGCCGGGCCTAGAACCAATTACCCGTCCGCGACACCAAAACACACGGCCAATTGCCCACCCCCGACACCACCTTGCCTCCCACGCCCCTCCCCAGGTTCAAGCAGACTTGCTGAGCGCGGGCATGCGAGTACGCAAGAGCGTACCCGAAGGCTACAAGACGCACAAGATGCTCACCTCACCCTCGGACCGCTTCGCTAGGGCGAGACCTCGCCTGGACATCAAGCCCCCGCCAGAGGCCGTGCCCGACCACTACCAACACCAGCGCGAGCTGCTGCCCTTCTATGGCCTACACGATATTGGCGGCTTCGCTGAACAACCCACCACAAACCCTTACCTCTATACGACATCTCCAAACCGCCAGAGACCTACCATTGCTTTTCCACTCACCGCCGACGCCTTCACCCAGCCCTTTCCAGACCAATCTTCCACAGACAGCGGCTACGACTCCACCACATCGCCCTCCTCGCAACGTCTGCACAACCCCTCAAAACGCTCGTGGCATGACGAAGACGAGGTAAGGCCACTCAACACAAACTTCCTCTTCAATGGTCGCTCCTCGTCATCAAGAGGCGCCAACTTGGCCGTTGAGTTCGACGACGTCCCTGTCAGCCCGTTGAGTGAGACACCCACCCAAGGTATAAATGCACTGCCGCCCGTACGACATTTTGCGCAGCCCAGGTCCAGACGTACCACAAGGCGGACCATTAGCGACGACGACATTGACATGGACTTTGAAAATTCCGCACGGATCGAGGGCCGCGTGGGTGCAGGCAGTAATAGTGATTTCGAAGAAGCTGACTTTCTGCGCGACGAAGAGGTACACATGAGTGGTGTTTGATCTCCCTTGCTCTCTCTCTCTCCCTTCAACTAAAATCTTCTAACGACCTCTTTTTTATGCGCTTTTCTTCCTTCCGGTTGCAAATCATGGCATATGGCGCTACACGGTGAATTTATTACGAAGATGATATGTCGTTCATGTCGGCGCGTATACCCGGGATGTCATTTTTTTATATTCCCTTTCTTAGACTTGGTCTTATTCTTATTCTTCTCTTCTTACTCTGTTATTCTCCGGTCTCCAAGTTGTATACTGCATGACCTGACAAGTAATCTAGTATATGTATGTATCGAACTAAAAATGATCAAGTAATGTCTTTGTATGTTCTGCCGTTGCTCTGTTCGTAGGGCTGTCGTGCCGGTTTTGTGCGATCTGACCTGCCTTCTCTCTGTTGCCCCTGCTTTTGTGTTCATTGTGTAGGCGGGTGTTGCTGTGTGTCGTGCCTGCCCGCCATAGCCCTGATTATGTCACGTACACGTGTGTCGCTTCTGTTTCCTCTGACGAGATCACACAAAACACACTCTTCTTTCCCTATCTTCAGATGTCCCTGCTCAGATTGCTTTTCCTTTTTGTCTCTACTAGGAAGAGCTGTTGAAAACTTCACTCCAGAAGCTGTACTTACTAGCGGAAGAGCTGTAGGCGATGATTGTATCTCAAAGGTCGGAATTTGAAACTACTAAAACTAAAACAGAAAATTTAAAGATCAAGGACTTAAACCCTAAAAACAATACTCTTACTACATACTATAGAGAGTAATATGCCAGTACATAGAGTTACTCGTAACCTTAGGCGAAACTATTGTCGCCCGAACTCTGGTATAAGAGTAGGACTTCCTCTACGGGGGAGGGCTGCAATCTCATAAGTTTTTCAACCATCCAGATACATCTCTTAAGCCTCGAATGTCTTCCTACCTCTCTGTTACTAGTGTCATGAAGGAGAAAGTAGCTCGTCTCCTTCATGGTAAGACTCATGGTAAGACTCGACACCATCAGCACCTGTTCAGTAACAGAACAAGTCTAGCTACTCTAGCTACTACAGAGAAATATTGATATAGCTGATCCGGATGCACTAGATGCGCGTTATTCTGGCTGGTCTAACTCCACTAGATGCTGATTGATCTGGCTGCTCCAGCTACTCCAGGCGCCCACTGCTCCAGCCGGACTAGCAGCATCGATGGGCAGCTGGACCAGTCAGCAGGGCTAGATCAACGAGCATTTGGTGTCGCTACAGTAACTCTGACTTTTGGAGTGTAAGCATCACCCGTAGAAGACTGGTTTTTTCTAAACAGGTATTGAGTTCACTCTCACTTCTATTTGTACATGAGAGTTCACATTCACCGTTGCCTGCACCGATGAGTCACTTAATCAATCACAAATATTTTCAAATCTCTTACCGACTTAGCCAGCTTGTACACAACTCCAACAACCAAACACCTACGTACCAGCATTGTACTTCCTCTCAAACAAACATGGTGCTTGTCCTACGCTACCCGAAGAAGCGCCCCTGCGATGAGGACAGCGACCTTGAGGCGCGTAAAAAGTTGCGTCTTCCCATCAACGAGGGACCAATGTCAGAAAACTTCCTTCCAAGTATGAAATCCGTTACTAACGAGGCCAAGGCTTACTTCAGAACCTGTCAAAGTTCTTGTTGGCAAATCCAAGACAACCTATTTTGTAAATGAGGCGCAGCTCCGTGCAAGTTCCGACTTCTTCATCAGAGCCTCTGATGGGGACTGGAAAGAGAGCGCAGCGAGAACCGTCACACTATGCGGGGCTTTGCCACGGGCTTTCTATGTCTACTCCAAATGGCTTTACTGGCTACTTCTATACGGTGTATCCAGAAGGCAGAATTTACAACGAGAAGCTGGCTACGTATGTGAACCGAGAGCACGGTATGTTCACTAAATGCTACCAGCTAGCCGACTTTCTCCAAGCCACTGATTTCAAAGACGCGTGTATCGATTTTTTGATCAACAAGATGATAGTTGGAGACGAGCATTATCATGGTATTGCAAAGCATATCTATGCGTACTCCCTTGAATCGTCGCCCCATCGTCAATTCGGCATTGACTGCGCCCTCAATTTTTGGGGAAAGACAGCCTTTGAGCGCTTTGGTGAACAAGAGTTTCCGCAAGAATTCCAAAACGACTTGATACTTGCATTAGGTTTGCATTTACGGAATGGTCTTGAACACGCTTCTGCCAAGGAATACTTCAAAAACATTAACCACTGCAAATATCACGAACACGTCAAGAGCGGCAAGCCCTGCTACAAGACAAGGTTCAAACATCTTCCTTGAGCATATCCACTGGCCCTGTAAGTTACCCATACGCCAATGTTCGTTGATTGAACTAACGTTCCAACGCTTAGGCCACGATCCTCCAGGTTGAACTGACCAGCGGATACGAATAAGACATGAACACCCGGATTGGCAGAATGAGTTAGCATACACGGAATGTACAAAGAGACGGACTCATATCGTGGTCCATAATATAGTCTCTCCTCATAATGGAGCTGATCAGTTCATCGGAGGAATTGTATTCCATAATAGTCTTGTTCACTCTCTTGCTTTAGTGGGATAATCAAATATTTGTTTTACAAAAGTCTATGCTCTCGAGCAACTCTCACCCCTTTCCACCTCTGCAACATAACCTGAATGATACGATACTCTATATTTGATAAATACCTCATCATTGCCGCCTCATGTTCTTTACCTCCCGATCCCGATGTATTGAATAGAAGAAACGCCAACGCTATGCATACGCGAATGTAGCAAATACACTACTTACCTCCCACATCCCTGCCCATGTAAAAAAAAGAATCTACGACGTCGACTTGGTAAGCAGAAACCCCACATTACACTCCGGTTGCTTCAAGACACTAAGGAAAACATCATCATCCACCGCGACCGCCAAATCATCCACTACCTCATCTTCTGCACTTCCCTCGTCAGCACCCTTATCCATACCCTTAAGAACCTTGGTATCAATATGCCGATACTCCATCAACATCCTCAACTTCGGTTGCTTCGCCGCGCGCCTCGCCTTAATCTTCGCCTCCTGCTCCTCGACATTAACCTCGCTAGCTTTGCGAAGCATCGGGTATTCCTCTTCTTCCACCTCTTCTTCAGACTGTTCATTTGTAGCACCAAGCGTATCCTCGAGCTTGCCCCGACACTCGCACGTGCAGCCGAGTAAATCGTGAGTCTGGCACCCCTCGCGCTCGTCTAGCCGAAACAGATCGCGGAGTTCTTCTTGGGAAAAGGAGGATGCGGAGGCTTTGTTATCTACGACTGCGTTGGCGAGGCCCATTTTCATGACTTGGCGCTGGTAGATTTTCTCGTCGAGACCGCCCTGCACGAGGAAGCGGTAGACTTTGCACGGTAGCTTCTGGCCGTCGCGGTGGATGCGGGCCATGGCTTGCAGGTCGGTGGCGGGGTTCCAGTCGATGTCGAAGAGCACGATGCGCGAGGCGCCAATGAGGTTGAGACCTACACCGCCGGATTTGGCGGACAGGAGGAAGGCGAACGAGGTTGTTTTGGGGGTTTTGTTGAACTTCTCGACGAGGGACTGGCGCTTCGAGGCGGGTGTGCTGCCGTCGAGACGGAGGAAGGTGTAGGAAAGGGATACGAGGAGGCGCTCAATCATGTCTAGTGTTGTTGTGTAGTTTGAGACTATGACGATTTTTTCTTCGGTCGTGGTATAGATGGAGTGAATGAGGCTGTCGAGTAGTCGCAACTTTGCGCTTGAAGCGCTTGAACTGAGGATTTTGCTGGGGATGAGTGGGATGATGGACTGAAGCATCTCAGATGGCGTGTCATCATTGTCCTTGGACGATTTGAGTAATGAAGGGCTGTTGCAGACTTTCTTCAGCACGTTGATGAGCTGCAGCGCAATATCCGTACTACCCAGCGCAAGTCTGAATGTTGGCGAGCCGAGAATAGCGCGGTAGGTCTCCGCTTGTCCTTTGGTGGGCCTGCAGAAGACAATGTGCTCAGTTTTCGGCGGTAGGTATTTCGAAAGGACTTCTGCTGTCCGCCGGATCATGAACTGACTAGTCAGAGATACAAGCTCCTTCCAGCGTGCCTCGCCTTTTTCAAGTTCTGCTTCGCTTGCGTCCGGCTGACGACTACGCATAATGGGCAGCTCGAACGATCGCTTGAAGGCGGATCGTTGTCCGAGGAGTCCAGGGTTGACAAAATCGATGGCAGTATAGAACTCGCCAAGATCGTTCTGTAACGGAGTACCAGACAGAATGATGCGCCTCTCCGTGTTCAGAGACTGGATAGCAAGCATGGCCTTATTGCTCGCTGTTTTCAACCTATGACCCTCGTCTGCAATGACGATATCGACACCGCTGCCCTTCTTCAGCTCTTCTTGAACGATACGAAGCATCTCGTATCCGACAATCATAATGTTGTAAGACTTGCCCATGGTGAAGTTGGCAATCTTCTTGTTCTTTGCATCCAATACGAACACACCGACTCTCTCATTGCCGAGCCACTTGCGGAACTCACGTTTCCAATTATCTACTAGACCAGCTGGACAGACGATTAGGGCTTTCTTGATAAGAGGAGGGGAATCATGTATCGGATTCTGCTTCATCAGTGTCCAGAGAAGTGTGATGGTCTGAAGCGTTTTACCCAAGCCCATCTCGTCAGCCATGATAGCACCCTCGCCCTCGCATCGCATACCCATAACGCATTCGTACAAAAATTGTACACCCTCGCGTTGGTGATCTCGGAGGTGCTTGCTGAGGACTGGGTCGACAACTACATCAACTATTTGCTTTCCTTTGGGACATGAATCAGGTCGTTTCATAATGAGGGCGTTGGGTGCATTTGGGTCGTGACGGGGTTGCGGAATTGACGGGTTGCGCTGCGGCATGACGGTGGTAGATAGCAACGGTGCCTTGAATTGCTGCTTGCGATAAGCCGAGAGCTTGTACTCGGGCACAATCTCCTTGTCGTCGGCAGTTTCTTGACCCTTCTTCGAATTTGGTTTAACCGATAACAGAGGCTTGTGTCCTGGCTCAGGCCGCTTTGGCTGCTGTATTGGTGCAGCCGCAACCTTGCCTAGGAACATGCGTCCCGAAAGGTAATCTGCCTTATCCATGGAATTCTCAACCTCTATTTCTCTTCCACCAATGGAAAGAGTAGATCCGGGGAGTAGTGGCCGACTGCATGCTCCCTTTCCCAGCTCTTTCCCCGTCTCGCTGTCGTTGAGCGTAGCGTATCCACCCACGACAGCAAGAACACCATCTCCGTCCCATGTCTTATTCTTCTTGGTCGTATGTTTTCGCCATAATACTGTATAATAATTTCCTTCGAGACCCGGGGGTAGGAATTGTGCTGGTGCTGGATTGTTCATAGTATTGAGCGGTTGGCGGTTGCCCACCGACAGTGCATTAGATCCAATTCTTCGTTTCTTGCTCGGTGGCTCGCCATTTTCAGGACGTGGGCGCGTGAGGGTGAGAGGCCGGAAAGGTTTCATGATGAGTAGCTTCACTCACCAACTAGCATCTCTGTTTGCGAGATGGTTGTTTGGGAGGCGACAAGGGTGGAGGCGAAGTAGCGGCGAGCGCGACGCGCCGAACCAAAACGCGGTCTTGCGTTATCACGTGACATTGCCATATCACTCTATCCGATGAACAGGATTGATTTGCGCTTGAACAGTTGCGCATCTCAAGTGCTGTCCCTAATAAATAATTCAATCCTGTCTCTTCCTAGTATCATTGGTGAAATAACAGTGTAAGCCTGTTGTTCCTCTTTCTTCATTGGCATGATCATATTTTATAAGTTTAAGATATTACTATCATACGATGACCTTATTAGCTCAAAAATTATTATTGATTTCAAGACTGCCTAAGAATAATAGAGTGTTGAGTATGTATATTAAGTGCATAAGTATAGTACAAAGGTGCGACATAGCAGGTGATGCATCATTTCCTTTTTTCAATTGAGAGAACGGAGTCGAGAAGCGGATATACGGTAGTACGAGAACTCTGTATACCCCGCTGAGGAGCAAATGGTCTATTCATCGCCCCCATACTTTATCGCTGTCTGAGTCTTATCTACGTATACACAGAGAAACCCCAGGGCGCATCTATTCCAACAGCATACTGCATCGGGGTTTCGTTAAGCTGGTAGACTTATATATGGTTTTGACGAGGTGAATTTTGGTTGTAATTTTTTGTATTCGAATTGTCTCTTTTACGCTACGTAGCCCAATTCAACTGGCGATACTCTGATCGATATAGCAGAGCGGGCAATGCCACGAACAATCTCCCTCAGTCTTGAGCTGCGTTTGAAAACTCACCCTTGTAGTACTGTAGTCATTAGCCGATGCCCATTGCTACGTATAGGTCTGGAGCCAGACTTTTAAAAAGACCGCACTTACCTCGGACACATTTCTCGCTAGCTTTGGGTCCCTCAGCCTTGATTTTGCGGTCGGTATACTCCAGTTGTTAACATCCCACCACCATCTTCGTATCCGGGCGCCTACACCTTGTCCACTGAACTTTGTTGATCGATTCCAATGCCTCCAGCCGTTGAGGAGGAGGGTCCATAGAACACCCTGTGCAAAGCACATTATGACCTATTTCTTATCAGTATATGTATCCCACCAGAGATATTCTAAACGTATGGTACCTGATCTCGCAGCGTAATCCACAACACACCCTTCCATCCCTCTGCATGCTCAATGCTCTTCAAATAGCTTTGTTCGAATCGGAGGTCTGGCAGTGGAGGCATTGCCTTGTTCCGCGGCACCGGATCCAACACGCTGAGAGGAATCTCGTCCTCTCCAACATCCGAGGCGTCGGGATCGGGGTGTTCATTGAGACGGACTGGTTGTTTCTTGGATGCGGCGGTCGATGGGTTCACGTCGTGTCGTGGTGATGGATGTCGGTTGATGGATGCGCCCTGCAGCACGGAGCCGATTTCTACGGGTGCGTCTGAGTCCATGGTATCTGTCGATATCTTTGGTTGCGACGATCTAACCTAAAAGCGAAGCAATGTACAGGTGTAGGACAGTGAATGTCCTGGCTTGGCGATTGACGTCGGAGGTGCCTGCGTCTAGCGCAGATGGACCCTTGGTGGCGACGGGCGGGACCTCCAAGTTGGCGGGCGCACGGCGACACAACCAAGCCCAGCAACCCCACAAGCCAGGCCCTCGACCACTCCTACCTTCACCGCACCCTAATTCTTACCGCCAACAAGCCGCCAACATGGGTAACCAACAGTCAGGGCTGCTCGACAACATCGCCTCGGGCTCGAATTGTACGTAGGCGGCTGAAGAGAAGGCTCACCTGCGAAGGGTCTGGCTAAAAGAATGCTTGCTGACGGCACGTAGTCGACCGCGAGGAGGTAGACCGCCTGAGGAAGCGATTTATGAAGCTGGACAAGGTGCGCAATTGAAGCTGCACCAAAAAGCCACACAGCCTGGCTAACTCCCGCCCAGGACAACTCTGGAACCATTGAGCGTGACGAATTCCTGGCCCTCCCTCAGATCTCCTCAAACCCTCTCGCAACACGAATGATCGCCATCTTTGACGAAGACGGTGGCGGTGACGTTGATTTCCAAGAGTTCGTCTCTGGCCTTTCAGCCTTCAGCAGCAAGGGCAACAAGGAGGAGAAGCTACGTTTCGCATTCCGCGTATACGACATTGATCGCGATGGTTACATCAGCAACGGCGAGCTCTTCATAGTACTGAAGATGATGGTCGGCAGCAACCTGAAGGACCAGCAACTGCAGCAGGTATGTGTGCACACGAGTGCCAAGGCGATAAGCACTAGAAGCAGTACTGACACTTCGTAGATTGTCGACAAGACCATCATGGAGGCTGACCTAGACCGTGACGGCAAGATCAGCTTTGAAGAGTTTACCAAGATGGTTGAGAACACAGATGTATCCATGAGCATGACCTTGGACCAATTTTAAGCGCTATTCCCTATCACAAATACAACAACGTCTTTTGATACGAAGGTTTTCTCGGCGAGGCGTTCATGGTGTTGCAGGCACACTTGGGATGGATTTGAAAGTACTCGATATCCATTGATCCAGGGGTTTGGTTCCTGAACATGAGCAGTGTGCACGAGGACGCTGGTATTGACAAGAGGCAGTTGTGCAGTTCACTAGATGCAATTTACCTTCACAAAAGATACCCAAGGCGGCCATTTCTCTGTAATGCAGGAACGGCCCGATTCCGCCCCTACCCCAGCACCAAAACACCAAAGCATTTCACAGTCTTGAATGCATATCCGAAACACCTTCTTGATCCCCATTCTCTTTTGAATCTAGAAAAAGACTAAACTAAGCAGTGAAGAAACTGATTGAAAAGAGCATTCTAGCACACTACCGTCAGCTTGTATGAAAACGCCTTTGTCATCGCTAACCGTAACCACACAAAATTCCTGCACATGACTAGTCTGTACAGAACAACTTCACAGTTACTCTACCGCCAGATGCTTCCGAACTTTATCTTCATAGTGAACCAGGCTCCCGGCTCCGCACGCAGACGCGCCAAGAAAGCCTCGACATCCCTCTTGATGTAGTGCAAACTCGTAAGCATACCACCTGCACTCTCAAACATACCACCAAGCTCCTTGCGAATCTGATCTTTCACCGCACCTCCATCACCAGAAAACATCCTATGAATCTCCTGATACGCATGCAAGTCGTCGCACGCCCCCGTCATCAGCGCATTCAGATCCGGCGGCAGACTCCCAATCGCAGTCCCATGTGGATCCGACAGCGTCTGAAACAAGCCCTGATAAAGCTGCAGCATTTGAAGTACCCTCCTGAAAACCCATTTCAGCGGCGCAACTTCACTTACAACTACGCTATACAAGACTTCCATCTTGTTTAGCAGCGCCCCTCGATCGTTAACCAGGGACCTAGCTGCCACATTCTCGTTCTCAAGCGTATCAGATTCGTGAAAACATCGCTGAAAGCCTCGCTCTCCGTCTCTACCTCGCATGCATGCGAGACTAGGTCTGCCAACCGAACTTCACACGCCGCCAAAGCCTTCTTGTCGCGATCACGCAAGCGTGCAAAGTTTTCAGCCGCACGCTCATTTTCCGACCGTAGTTTGTGAAAGATGAATTTGTGCTGCGCGAGTTGGCGTTGGAGCTGCTCTTTCTGCGCTTCTAGATGGCTGGCTGCTACCTGGCCTTTGGTAGCTTGCGTTAGTGACTCCTGATAGCGATTTGCGCGCCGCTGCGAGTTCTCGCCGAGGACTTTGTAGTACTCAATTTGGTGGCGGGCTTGCTTGAGATCGACCTGGAGGATTTTGACGTATTCGGCATAGTTGGCTACTTTTTCTTCGTCTTTTTCCCCTTCTTTTTCTCGGTACAGCTCTTGTATCAGGGTGGTTTGTTCTTCGAGTGCCTTCTATAAAGCGGTGTTTTCGGCCCGTAAGTTTTCTTCTTTGTAATGGAGTTTTACAATTTCTTGGTGTAGTTCTTCGGTTTCGTCCATTGGCGCGGGGGGTTCTTGGCTTTGGGGGAGGCGCTGGGGCTTGGTCCTAAACTAGTAGCCGGTTTTCTTTTAGGGAAATGGGTTGGAGTTTCACGGCCTGAAGGGAAGGTTGAGCATATATAGCCTGGGACTCTGACATTGTTTAGACATTGTTGGTGCGTAGTGAAAACCGCCAGGTGAAGTAACCAGAGCCACTGATCATGTGGGCGCTCTTGCACAATGTGTTTAGCTAGGCTAGCATGATATAGTGATAGCGAATGAGATTCATTGCAAGGTTCCCAAATCTCCTATTTTTAAATTTCTCTGTGAAATGCAAAGGCAATTGGGATATAAGCTGATACTCGATTGAGTTGACACCTACACTTGAACAATCTGTAGATATCTGGATCGAGCTTCTCTCGTTACTCATCTTCATCACAATCATCAAAAGGCCAGTGCCGCTCAGTCATTTCTCTCAACAACTGGTCACCTTCTACAGAAGCCAGCGACTGCTCTCGAATCTCAGCTGCTCTGCTCTTAGAGGTTTAATAATCATCATTTGGAGTCCAACCATCCGCTGACACACCAACATACTCGCTGATCCCTTCTATGACCTTATCTACTTCGCGATGCTCTTCGTCTAAAGCATCGATACGTTCCGTCTCGTTTTGTGTAAAAGATACAGGAAAAGCTGGTGCGGTTCCGTCCTGATTTTGAGAAGCAATCTTGTCCCAATCCCTCTGAATCTGAACAAGGCCATACTGGAAAGACGTATTGGGACTTTTCTTATCAAAGACATATTTTACCTTGAGATAATTGTGATAGAGTCTTACCGTGCGATAGAAAAAATACACACATGTTTCTTGCTATTAACTATTTTTTACAGGATGTGTTTAGATTGGAATAACTTTACTTCCTAGCACAAAATAATCAGGCCTGTGTTCCTATAGCCTAGAGTCTCTACGATACTGCTCAAGGTATATACAGACAACCCCAAGATACAGAACTGACACGAACCAGTAGAAGTAACTTCTGAATTTATCCGCGTTGGCCTGCAACGATGCCCCGACCGCCTGCAATACCTTGTTAGTGTATTGCGCGCTGTGACTGGGGCGACTCCCGTTAATCATGTAGCCTGATGTATCTCTTATCTCGGGTCGTACAGGCAGCCACTCTCTGCTGTGGTGCAGACGATTACTTAATTAACATTTGACTGATTGCCCGCTGTTGGATGTTATACCAGGTCACCTTGTCGCAACCGCGATCACTGACTGGGACTATTCTTTGAAGGGCAGAATCAATTATTATCACGGTATCGCTTTTGCTCCCTCTAACATGTGCCTTTCGCCACTTTCTTACGCGCACTTGCACTGTCCGCTCTCGCCCCGATTTGGCGCCTCCATCCTGCACAGCCAAGCAGGCTGCATCGTCTGGGTCGAGAATTTCAAGTATTTACTGTTGCTTTGTGTCTCTCCATTTCCAATTTAACATACCTAATCACTATAGTGGCCGATAGTTGCAACTATGAGTTCGCTTTTGCCTACAACACGATCCAATACTTTACCGCCCCTTCTGCGACTTGCGTCTGAGTTGCACCTAGCGATCATCTCGTTTCTTCCAGATCTCAAGGATGCCAAATATGAACATGATCTAGCACTTCTCCAACTTCGTCGAACGAATCGTTACTTTCGCGAGCTTGTTCCTCCGCCGACTCGCAGTGATCTTCTCTCTCTCTTGAGTTAGTTTTGTCCAAATACTCAGTGTACGCCTGTAAATTCTGTCCTTGTCTCCAACCAAGGGCAAATTTTGCTTCAGCTAGGCTCAAAGGCAAAACGGGACTGAACGGACAAGCCCGACATAAAAGATTTTGCGCAGACTGCGGATTCGATACTACAATCGGCGGGCAGAGTAAGCGGTATTGCCCTAGTACAAAAGCATCTGTTTGCGGAGTTGATTGGATATGGTGCAAGCACTACCAGTTGGTGAAAAAAGGAGAAAAGGCAGATTCAATCTGTACTGGGTTGTGTAAGGCGTGCTATAACGCCTTGGGCTTTCTACTAGTTAATTAGTACACTGCCTAGACGGAATTTACCGTAGAGGTGCTAGTGTTCTAACTAGTACCCGCTATGCTAGTTCAAATGCAACATCAAGCATGATGCTCTTCTAGAAGCATCTACAGATAAAGGGCAAAGCTCTTGAAGTTACCTAGGACATCCTTACCCGGTTTTGAAACTACAGCATCCTTGTAGTATTGCTCGATCGGAGGCGTTCTATTTGAGCCTCGGATGAGGCACTATGTGCATCAAACGTATTGGCGACCGCGCTACCGTAATTTATTGTTGAGAACTAGATGCAACTGCTTAGGAGAAGCCTAGGTACATCACTCATGAAGCCTAAAAACAGGTTCTATGTATGCGAAGAGTAATATCCTTTCAAAGTTGAGGTACCTCGCTTATTTTCCGGTACGAAGGGTTTTCCGGGCCCTAGGGATGGACGTTACGCTTATATCTTGTTCGAGCGCATTTCAGTGCCGCTGGTTGAAATACTGAGTGAAAGCTAGATAGTGCTGTGTTGCCCGACCAGGGTTCTCATTACAACCAAAACTCGTTATGATACTACCTTTACCGCGGCCAGAGTTCGCTGGTCTATTGCCTCTGTTACAACCACAGTCAACCTAGTTATGGCGCCTAATGGGCGTATATCCATCGCATGTATTGCCTCGTGAATTAGTGTGTCTTGTTGCGGAATTTGGGAAATTTCTATCGAAGAATGCTTATTGTGGAAAGGGCAGTCCTCCATATATGAAGAAGTCAGTGCTGATATGGCGGTGGCTTTTGGACATAGACTAGCGTGGATGCTATATAGGCCATGCTTCTGGCAAATCCAAACAAACAACCTTACATCACAACAGGTTATAAACCGGGCGCTCCACACCACACTCATTTTTTCTAAATCCATTCTGGTGAGTACCTTCCTGTTTTCATCGCACACTTGTTCTCTCAACTGACCGTATCGCCAGCGAGAATTACTCTACCACTATCCTATTTCATTATGAAGACCCTTCAAGCCGTTCTCCTCCACAACTCGCAATGCTGAATGTAACTAGAGGGAAGACTGCCTGGCCAGAAAGTAAGGCCCTGCTCGAGCGTAACGGTGTCCGCTTCGACTACGGCGGGGAAGTGAACAAGAACGGGCAGACATTCTACAAGGACCAACTACAGCCCAACGCGGGCAAGATCCCGGCTTTGATCGAGGACTGGAGAAAGAACAATGGTGACAAACATGGAGTCATGACAGTAGTCTTAATCGGAAAAGATGCTACGAAAGAGGAGGTTAGTCAGGCTGTTCATAATTGTTTCAAGAAGGTCAAATTTTAACCTCACACAAGTGGTGTCAGAGTGGAATTGTACAGCATATCGAAGTAAGTGCCTGTTCGATTGTTCCGTTCCGGATCGGACTCTTAACTGTAGTGCTATTTAGTTTCGCGGCTGGGCTTATCTAGATTGGCATAGGATTACGATAGACGGAAGGGTTGTTCGGTTAGAGCTCTGTTTTGTGGTGATAATAGCTTGAGCTGCCTGTTACGATCAGTCCTCAGAGAAGTTTTCGTGCACAAAGAAATGCGATCTGATTAGCTCTAAGAATCTCCGCGCTCATTGACCGTGCCAATATATCAGGGTTATCCATCTTATATATATGATGTTTTTGTAGTGATTGGGTCGTCACGTGATAGTTATGTAACAGGCAAGGTTCGCCAGAAACCTCTGAATCTGGTGTAGTCACATAGTAAAACGGAGTTTCTAGCTGTAGACGACTCTCTAGGCCTCCAGGTAGGGCTCCATCTAGTATGGAAGTGCTAACAAAACAGAGCTCTGCTGAAGACAATGAGATCAAAGGCAAACACTGTGCGTCTTGAGATATCACGACTAAGGGCACATAAGACATCCAATATTAGCTTAGTTGCCTTCTATCTGAACCAATAAATGATTTATATACATCATACGTTACTATCCATAACGTGTTTTACAAGCGAGCGGGCCATATAAGCGAGCGGGCCACCCCACCAACTTTGCGCACCTCTCTAACTCTAATCAACTATGGCCCTATCAAATTAAGCCCGCAACGTCTCTCATGAATCTGATATACAGCTAGCAATCTTAGCTATTAATCAAGATCAAATTAAGTCTCAAAGAGATGTAGCAAAAGTCTACGAAGTCTCTCGAACAACACTCCAGCGTCGACGCGCTGGCATACTTACCCAACGCGATTGCCAGCCTAACTCAAAGAAGCTTACAAAGCTAGAAGAGGAGGTGATAGTTGATCATATAATTGATCTAGATCTACGTGGATTTTCGCCTACCTACGCAGCTGTGCGTGACATGGCTGACAGACTACTGGCTGCGCGCGGCGCTAGCTAGGTTGGCGTCCACTGGCCGCGCAACTTTGTTAAGCGTACAGACAGTCTTACGACGCGTTTCAATCGAGCGCACGATAGGCAGAGGGCTCTATGTAAAGATCCAGTCCTAATTAAGGGCTGGTTTGAGCTCGTAGAGCAGATAAAGGCCAAGTACGGTATCTGCGATGAAGACGTCTATAACTTCGACGAAGCTGGCTTTATAATGGGCAAGATCACGACTCAGCTAGTCGTAACAGCGTCAGAGAGGAGGTGCCGGCCAAAGGCAGTTGAGCCAGGCAATCGTGAGTGGGTGACGCTGATCGCAGCGATCAACGCAGCTGGCTAGTCTATCCCACCGTTTCTAATCTTTACTGGCAAGTATCACCTATCTGCCTGGTACGAGGAGGCAGAGATCCCACGCGACTAGGCCATCGCAGTCAGCGACAACGGCTGGACGACTAACGAGCTAGGAGTTGAGTGGTTAAAGCACTTTATTAAGCATACAGATGGCAAGGTTGTTAGAGCACGTCGGCTGCTTATTCTTGACGGCCATAAGAGCCACCAGTCACTTAAGTTCCAAGAGCTCTGCAAGGAGAACAACATATATACGCTCTGTATGCCGCCTTACTCATCTCATCTACTCCAGCCTCTTGACGTTGGCTGCTTCTCACCGTTAAAGCGCGCGTACAGCCGCGAGGTGGAGAGCCTAATCCGCCATCATATTAACTACATTACCAAGCTCGAGTTTCTGCCAGCGTTCAAGGTAGCGTTTGATCGATCCTTCACGCTAGCCAATATCTGCTCTGCCTTCCGCGGTGCAGGCCTTATTCCTCTCCAGCCAGATGCTGTTCTATCAAGGCTTGATATAAAGCTCCGTACGCCTACTCCACCAGCTATTCTAGAGGTTCTCTGGCAGGCTCGTACGCCTAGCAATACACGCGAGCTTGAAGCTCAATCCACGTTAATACGTGATCGCGTTCAGCGGCATCAAGGCTCATCGCCAACTTCGATTATTATGGCAATTAATTAGCTTAAGAAGGGGGCTGAGGTAATAATGCTCTCGGCTGAGCTTATGCGCGATCGGATAGCCAGCCTTAAGAAGGCGAACGAAGCCGCAACAAAACGTAGACAGCGTAAGAAGAAGCGGATACAGAAGCAAGGAGTGCTAACAAAGGGAGCTGGAGAAGATCTACTCGCTCAGCGCGAGGCTGATCAGCAGATTGCTTATGAAGAGCGTCAAGGAGGAGAGCGATCAGGTGTCAACCGCCAGGCTCTAGCGCGGTGTAGCAGGTGTAGAGAGACTGGCCATAATTCGCGTACATATAAGAAAGATGCTTTAGATAGTGTTTAATCCACTATCTTAATATATATAAATTTTATTTAGTTGTAGTAAAACTGTACACGTAAAGAGGTGCGCAAAGTTGGTGGGGTGGCCCGCTCGCTTGTATGGCCCGCTCGCTTGTAAAACACGTTATTTATAGTTTGAAGACGGTTTTTCCAGTACATCTTGACTGCCGTGATCTTCGTCAAAGACCAGCTCCACCTGTTGAGAATCATAATCTGACACTGTATTCTTGCTGTTTGCTTAAACGTACTCATTCGATGAATCCTCGTTGTCGTGTTCTTCAAAGCAACTTCAGAGGGACTTGACTGTTGAGTAAGCGTTAGCAACTCGGGTATGGAGTCCCAGCAGCTGGAACTACGCCGCCGGATAACCAAGCGGAGCGTGTGAATGACAGCCATGGCGAGGTGCAAGAAGACGACAATCAGAGCAAGTATGTCGGTCGTGGAAGATACTTTGAAGGCATAGCCTGTGATTTCTTGTCTGATGTGGAATTCAGTGAATGTAGACGTCGACATGGTAGAGGGGTTCTCGTATGCTTGTCCATCCTTCAGGAGTTCGGATTGATATGAAGATTTGCGCATATGGTACGAAATCGGATTGTACTTTCTATCCTGGATCGGGATGGTAATATTCAGGACTTGCCAGATGCCGGCGCGGGATATGGCATCGGCAAAGACGGAAGCGAGTAGTTATATGTTCGACATTTGGCACTAGAAACGAGTCGGATGCCGCCATAGACATGAGAGACGATATTGTCGTTCTTGTTTCGGTGTCATTGGGATTCAAAGTATTGTTGTTTATTACTGACGTGTCCCACGGCATATCTATTCTCGCGTTGAGCTTTAAATTGACGGCGTCCAAGCAGTTGGCAGTGATAGGAAGTCGACGCCAAGATTCTTGACGTCCAGCATCTAGACGAAACATATCATATGCCCGGTAAGATGTTTCAGAAATGTCACAGGACTTGGGAGCTTTTGTGACCGAATAGACCTCTGGTTGCACCGCCTGAGCAAGGCCCACGGACAACAGTCCTTGAGCCCATCTCGCATCAACAACACAAGCGGAAAGGTTACATTGACTCTCGTTTGGCACAGAGACTGCAACGTCTCGTCTGACAACTCTGCTGTGCGCAGTTCGGTAGGATAACCATGGCTCTGGCCACCGAAGATTATGTCGTTCGTTATCGCACTACCGAACTCTGGGACGACGGGAAATTGAAGAGATATTTGCCCAGACTTGAAAGCTTTCAAGGGACTGCACACCACTCGCACTGCCGGGACCCATGTTTTAACGATAGACTTCATCTAACTGTAATAACTATCTGTATTTTGCAAAGGGAGAGTTGGAGTCGACAGGTATGGCGTCAGCAGCAATTTGCCATTCGTCGTTGATCCTAGCCGCAACTCACGCCGCGGGACCATAAACACCGGTTGCTGACGATTCTAGTGCTACTCTAGCTCTCTGCGCTGATGCTAGGCTGTAGGGCGGCACTTGTCTTTCTGGACTCCAAATCAGGAATTCCGCAGATACGTGTCGAGAGTCCTTAGGGGCTGACCACGGTCTAGGGTTGTCGCTTGAGGAAAATCTGCTTGCCAGCGCCATATACCCGCCGGCTGGGCAAAGCGCATTGGTGTAGGCATTTGATGAAGAGCAGCTGGCCCCATATATACCAGCGCCAAGACCAGGCATATAGTGCTTGATATTGAGTGTCGAGGGCCAAAGGTCTTCTGAACTGCCGTTAATTCAGTACTTAGTTCCCCCAGCAGGCCAATTACGTTCGCGTAGTATCAGTAGAGCTGCAACAGCAGAACCAGCGGCCATAGCAATGAAGCTTGTGAGCAAGACTAACCAGATTGTTGCTACGTTTCATCTCACTGCCTCCTAACTTGAAGCCGATCTGATGAGAGCAGTTGACTAAAAAAGGCCCAATCAAGTGGATAGTGCTTCTGCTCCTACCAAGCCAAAGAGAACCCAACGGAAGCCTTTCGGAACCCTGGTGGACCAAGTCAGCTACAGCCTTATATCTGAGCATATATGTTTCTTTTGAAGTTCACAAGATTTTTCAATTAATTAGTCTAAAGTAAGGTTTTCTATTGTTGCTATGTTTGATTATAAAAAATTACTCCTACAAAGCTGCTACAGCAGTTAGTGCGACAATTGTATAGCACACGGCATAGCAAAATCCAACGACCGAAAACCTGTATACAGTCAGATGGTATACTATGTTCTAATATGGCCCAATGTCCATCGTTTATGTAGAAACAGAGTTCCCCTACACTGTTAGGAAGATCACATGGATCATAACCTCTATTTTCACAGGTACTTGGTTTTTGAAATTGCGTCACTATGAAATTGCGTCACTAAACTGTATCAATCCAATTCAAAAAGATTGTAATAGCTGCTGCTTGTGCGCCCCGTGTCGGATACCTTTTCTTTTTCTTGGTATTACTGTTTTTACCTGTTTGGGCGCTGTTCGGACTTATTTCCACTCCCCCCCTAGTTGCTCCACCAAGCTATGCCCATTTGGATGTCATCAGACGACTCAATTCCTTTGCAAAGCATTGGTCTTATTAGCATGACTGCGCTTTTCGCGATATAGACTAGAATTGTCTCTGGTTACACACTTGACCCACCTTTTACGAGATCAATTATTCATAAAAGCAGCGTAGCGAATCCTTATTCTGCAGTCATGTGGCACAGCTACCGTATTAATCATTTTGAATCATGTCCGTACCACGTAAGATCGCTTAGGTTTCTTCTCCTGCAGGAATGCTACATACCCATGCGCTAGCGGTAATACTACTAGTAGCTGCATTTGCCGAGTGCGGCTAATATCCCCGACCTGATGAGTCGGCATGAGTCGGCTCGAGAGCCTCGAAAATATGCCTGCAGGGGTTGACTACCACGTAAACATCTTGAGGAGCTGCAGGGTGCCTTAGAAGCAGATGTAAGCAGGACATGTTGTATGCGTATGTTAAGTGTCTGCTGCAGGGTGCCTTAGAGGTAGATGTAAGCAGGACATATTGTATGCGTATGTTGAGTGTCTGCAGGGTGCCTTAGAAGCAGATGTGAGCAGGACATGTTGTATGCGTATGTTGAGTCTCTGCAAGGCGATGTTCCTCACAGAAAATACTTTTCTCCTCACTACTGATACAAAAACGTTGTCCAAGGACGATACATTCAATATGTTAACCAGTGTGAATCTTCGAGCCTTTCTCTTTTGAACTCCTACAAATGTGCAAGCAATCGACCATTTCCTCTTCTCATATAATGAATCGAATAGCCTGAGTTTCGGGAGTGTTGTGGCACGGGCCAAGCATCATAGTCTGGTCTCCCAGTAATCTGGGTTCCAGTAACCTTTTGTGGAGTGAGTAATTTTTTCCAGCAATCAATGATATTGACGAACAAACTGTCGATTGAATACCGCACAAAGCGATCTTTGCCTAAATTGATTCTTGTTTAAGGCGTTCCACCTTCGACTGTCATTCGCTGAAGAGTCATGTGGGTGTTACATTGCAGGAGGAGCTATGGACGGCTTTGTCGAAGACCAAAGATATAAAAGCGCCCTTGTGGCTGCATCTTCAAAATCTTCTCATCATCATCTCATCCTTTCACAATAACCCTACCTAAAAAAACTCTCGGTCAATCAATAGTTAAATTCTCATCATGCTTTTCAGCCGCCTCGCCCTCTTCGCTGCAGCCCTCTTCGTTGGTGCCGACGCCTGCAAATGTGTCAACGGTGGCAAGGACAACGCCGCAACCAGAGCCTGCTGCGCTCAACTTGGCGGAAACTTCCGTAACGGAGATGATTGTCAAGCCGGTTCTATCTCTGAGAAGCTGTCAAACTTTCGTAGATGCTGCCGCGATAGGGGATTTACTTCTGACTGCGACTGCCCTACTTGCCGAGTTGCGGCAGATGGCTCATCGGATGCGCTTGAGGGTGAAGATCAGCTGATTGCTACCAGGCGAGTCACTTCAGAAGATTTGCGATTAAGCAAAGCACAGACTAACCGATTTGTAGACTTGCCTAGATCACCACTCTCCAACTTCCCTGAATCCGAAAAGTGTGCTGATGTCGTGGACTATATGAAACTTAATGCTCTAGTGGCAATAGGGATTCTCTTAGATCCGGCGAAAGCTCACCTACTTCAAACCAAACGGTCTTGTGTCACTCGTTCTGTTTACAAAAGGCTGAAAGATAGTAAATGAACTGAATTCATTCAACAACAAATTTTTCTCTGCAACATATAAGGCTTTTGTGATAACATTATAACCCGCTCTACTGCTTGGAATGTTCTATTGCTATTTCACAACACTCAAGGAATCATCCAAGTTCATGATAGAGCACTAAAATCATTTGATATGCTTCACAATCAGCCAATCATGCAAAAATTCGAGGGAACACATGGCTGATCAATCACTATTATCCATGGTGGGCAGTGCACTGATGTCTTCGGCCTACTTCCACATAGCTGGGACGCGCAGTTTAATCAAAGATGATCGTTGATATGACACATGCCAAGATACCCTATCATAGATCTAGGAAAGTTATCCAAACGCTTTCTAACCACCTAAGGCTCTCTACACATCCCATACATTGCCGTTTTTTGTAACTCTGTCAGATACGATATGTGGCAATGTTGTTCATAGCCGGATCTTATTCGTGTTCATTTGCTTTTATTGGGCAAGGACACCCTTGATATTTCAAACTTATGAGTTCCATAGTTAGACACGACCAGGCGGCTTGCTGTTACTTCATAGTGGGTAAGACTATAATGGCGCCTAAATCGCGGCTAGCGACGTCTATCGTGGTTGGCTACAAGTGCATGCAAGTACAAGGAAGATCACATCAGCCAAGGTGCCGTACCTTGCTGTGCGCTTCTATCATTTGTGCATATACTGTGCTGACAAGCTTAAGTTTTGTATGTGGAGAGGCTAAGAGTGATGATCAGGCTCTTGTCCAGATGAGTCTACCTCTGATTCAGCATTGGAGAGGAACTTTCGGCTGTTCTTATTAATTTAGTGGACGCTACACTGTATATAGTGTAGCTCTCATTCAATACCATAGCCAGTGTCACCCCATGTACAAAACTTAGGCCTAGAACCGTAAACATAGCCTAAGTACAATCCTTGTCAAGGTGGGGCGGGAGATCCTACAGCACGGACGGTCTCATTGACGGCGTCCCTATTGGCCACTATGACGCGTGAAAGGTCACAGCCGATGCACTCTGATCCACAAAAGGTAGGTGCCGCCGCTTGGAAGCGGGATTCGTGTTTGATCTGTTCCGTCCATTAGGCCCCTTTGCACAGCCGGGTAAGCTCCCCGCATCAGATCCAGGTACAATATCGTGCAGACGAAAAGGAGGCTTTTGAAGCGCAGACTTACACAAAAATTTTCTTCCCTACGTTGTTTGCATCCAGAATTTTCAGCAAATACAACATGTGCAGCTCGTATGTGCCGCCCCCATCAAAATCAGTATTTACATCAGCTGGTTTAGCATTGTTATTCGCAATTTTGTCGCAACACTACTTCACTCAACAATCAGAGTTGCTGTCAGAAACTTTGAGCTGGGTCCTACTGCCTGTAATCTTCAATTTCATAGAGCACCTAGGAGTAGCTGGGCAGTCTAAACATACACAAGCTGACGGCGCCCCACAATCTGAATCATCACGTTCCTTGTGGATACTCGCTTTCTGCTTGGCTTCCTCGTCCTTCTACAGAGCTGAATATGGTACTGTATGGCTCTATGTAAGTATTCTACCTTAGGAGTGTGTTCCCCAATAAGCTGACAATAGTTAGCCAATATTGCTGCCATTGATTCAATTAGTACAAGCATATCTCTGGGGCAACGCTTCCATAAGCACTTATAAAACCCAATCATCTTCAAACTCCATGCAGTTAAGCGTGTTGAGTGGGACTTTCGCTGCTGTCATACTGTCTTATGGCGACATTGTAAGCTCTGCCTTATCGGCTATTGCGGTTCTTATGCAGTTTTTGGTGTACACATCTCTGCTGCGTAGCGATGGTTCAAGGCTCAAATATTTCCCGCGGGTCTATAATTTCCAGCAGACTGTTTTTAATCTTTCGAAGAAGACTACGCTAGCCATGATGATTGCGATTGGTCTACAAGCCAGATTTCTTGGTTTCGCAGCAGGCGAAATTCTCCCCACTTTGTCCTTGGCGATTCTCAAAGCGCTCTCATGGTACTTCATAGCTCACACTGTACGTTCTTTCATCAAATACCTAATGAAATCCATACAATTTAAATCTTTTCTAACCGTATTTAGGCACAACAGACATCCTGGACTATTGCTCCATCAATCCACACCACTGCACTCATGTGTACACTCCAACCCTCTCAACAATCATCTCTGACACGTGCATCTTTCTTGGTAATCGGGCTTCTCCTAGTACTAGCCCAAGTTATCCAAACCCTGGACAAAAAGGTCAGGTTCCGGAACTACCTCTGGATGTTCTCCCTGGTCTCTCTCATTCCGTATCTTATACATGTCTATGCCATACAAAGTGCGATTTTGGATGCAGAATCGACCTACAACAATTATAGAAGCCACCCGATTGAGAAATTGATTCGGAGTCAAAGTACAGAGTTCCACGAAGTCCTCCGAAGACAGAGCCAGACCTACAGTGCAGCACACAAAGAGTATGAACGGAGATACAATTTCAGTCCACCCACTGGATTCGAGGGCTGGTACAGCTTCAGCGTATTGCACAAATCGCCTATCATTGACGAATTTGATACGATACATCGTTCAGTCTCACCGTTCTGGAAATTAAGCGGAAATCAGGTAACGCAAATGATGGAAACAGCATACACAGAGCCTGGAAGTGAACTATGGCTCTGCAAGTACAAAAGCAAGAGTGGCAAAACTACTTGTATACATGCTTGGAGGACCTTTGATAGGCATATCACGGTATTGTTTGATAAACTTTTGGGGAGTTTGAAGGGTGCGATCCCGGATGTGGTGTTCTTGGTGAACCACCTCGATGAGCCGAGGGTGGTAATACCGCCATTTCTACACGAAGCAAGAGAAACGCCTGTGAATATGACCGACTTATCACATCGACCCATCTGGAACGAGATAACAAAGTCGTGCGAAACTTCAGCCTACGAAGACGCTATCGTATCCGAAAGGGACATAAGCACGTTCAATCTCCCTTTTGTTATTTCTCAAGAGTCATCTCTGGACCTCTGTCGCCATCCTGAATACCGCAAAATGCACGGGCTTTTTCAGTCACCAACATCCTTCCGCTTGATCTCAGGTTTCGTTCCCGTGCTTTCCACTGGTGCACCATCCTCGATGGACGATGTTCTGTTTCCTAGTCCCGCGTATATTGAGGAAAATTTCCAATATAATGCGTCCAAAGATATCTCTTGGGATAAGAAAATCAATGAGGTATACTGGGCAGGTTCGACGACAGGTGGATTTGCTAAGAATGACGAATGGAGAAACTTTCATCGGCAGCGCTTTGTCACGCTTTCTCAGGGTCTTGGGAAAAGGCAGGTTGCGCTTATAAGGAAACGAGATGGGGAATATCAACGTCTACAGTCCTCATTCCCAATGAACTGGTTATTCCAGGTCGCCTTTACTAGAGTCTTTCAGTGTGAAAAGAACCACTGTCGAGACCAGAAGGCGCACTTCCACATCAAACCCTGGGCTGAAAGGGACCGCTCATTGAAATCACGTTTGACCTTTGATATGGATGGAAATGGGATAAGTGGACGATTCTATCAACTACTGGCTTCGAGATCGCTGCCTCTGAAGCAGACCTTGCTCCGAGAATGGCATGATGACCGATTATTTCCTTGGGTACATTACATTCCCATCAGCCAAAGTATGGAGGAGCTACCCGAAACTGCCTCATATCTTACATTTAGCGAGTCAGGCCAAAGAACAGCACATGAGATTGCAGAGCAAGGGCGTGTATGGTTTTCGAAAGCTTTCAGAGAGGTGGACATGAGTATCTACGTGTATAGATTACTGCTTGAGCTTGCACGCCTGCAAGACCCTGCACGGGAGGCTGCTGTATATTACTAAGAATCTTAGGACGTTCATCGTCAATTTCCAATCTCACTAGACTTTCGAATGAGGAGAGATTAGGTGCCCGGTTTCAAGAGAGGTTAAATGTCTTAAATATCGTCACAGCTATAGAATTGTCAGTATCATGTAAGACTGATTTACAGCTGATAGTATGATGAGTTTTCAAATGAAGCAATGATAACATATTCTTTCGTATTTGCAGACCCATCCGGTTAGCTTTTTTCATATGAAGCTTTCACCTGATCTTATTTCATGACATCTACCAATTTGTCAGTACTCAGCTCTGGCTTAGAGATGCTATGAAGAATGCCTCAAGATCTCTGACTAGGCTATTGACGAGATCATTAAGAGCACGAAGGTCCAAGATGCATTAGCTTTACAACTGCTATTCTCTACGTCCACCCATGCGTTTCTCAGGCAGGTACCTCCAATTCCTAGATGGTCTGGAGCCAGCTTTTACGATACCAAATGGTCTACATTTATATTAGATTAGCACTAAGCCGATACATGAGTTCTTCGAGAAAGTATGCAATCTTGCGTATCATCATATTTCTTGTTTCCAGAACCAAGATATTGTCAACGACAAGGACCTACTATTTTTCGTAAAGTGAAATGATACTAATTCTACGAGTTCCTCTAAGGCTCAAAGTCTCTGAATAGTGTTCCAAATCCAGGGCTCGAGATTACGTTGCTAGGAGACTTGAGGGAATGTAGACGCCTGACTATATATCTGAATTTAGCTGACACATGCCGTACCATCACTAACATTCTTTCTAAGACATATTCTAGAAAGTTAGCTATGGATTACGCTCAGTTTCAAACAACGATGCAAAATTTCTGAAGAAAAATGAAAATTGATATGTGTTTTTCTGAATATCTTATGACTGATACATAGCCTATTAGCTTTTGCCAAAGTATCGAGATTGATAAACTTCACAATACACTCTTCAGTCGGTTGGTTCATATGTATTTGACCCTATTCGATTTGTGTCGTAGTATCTGGACTATGGATTACCGCCGCTACGAATTGCGAGAGGTTACGCACTCCACCGCAGCTCTTTCCTGCCAAAGAGTAAACAACCACAACGGCCCGGGCTCTGCGCTCGATAAAACATCAAACATCTAAGATACTTACCTAATTTGCAGAGCGTTGCATCGCCAACTCCAGTTAGCTACATTTAATGACTCAGGCTCTTCAGTATCATGAACAACTCGAAATTCCTAATTGAGGCAAAAGATTACGTTCATTTCAATAGTATGCAGCCGCAGCGTGATGAAATTTGTTACATCTAATCATAGTTAGAGAGATATTCAAAGACCTATGTTGAGGTGGTGCACGTGGCTTCTAAATCCTAACTTGCTGTGGTTTGCATAACTGGATTGAATGATATGAACGACGCTACTGCTAGGACGTAAAATCAAAACTATGCATTTGATCTCTGCTGCCTTTCTCTACTGCTCTTGATATTCAAAACTTGTATTCATTGAAAAAATGGTTAAATGTGGTCCTCAAAGCAGTGCCTTTCGATCAACAGTACACCTTGCCTTCTCATCATGTAAGCAGCTAAGTTGTAAATCAATGCCATTGCATAATTATATGAAATGTTACACATCATATGTTTTGTGCACGTTTCTGACTTTGTTAGAAAAAAGTTCTTGTTATTTCTACAAAGATAACCAGGGTCAGCTTACGCACGGTCGAGTTCAAGCATATGCTACCCCATCTTGCAATTTCTGCCTGCTAAAAGTGTCATCGAACACTATCTGAGCTCTTTCATCTTTCAGTCGAACCCATACCCTTTCCTTGAAGACATCGACGGTTTCGATGCCACCCCCTGTATTCTCGAGTTTACTAGTGTAAGCCGAGTTCATCGCAAGTGCAGTCAATTCCGAGGGTGAACCCCAGCTATTTGAATACCACCCCGTCATAGCTGAGTAACCAATGTGAATCGAGACTAGTAAAACATATAGTGAAAGAGCAATCATCGCAGCAATCTGCGTTTTACCTTGAGGGCTATATGCATAGCCCAAAATTCGAACTTTCATCACAAATCTAGTGGCTTTCGCCTCATCGTCTTTGGTAATGTTGAAAGCATTGCCGCCATACCCCAGTCTTCCGTTTTGAGGGAGGATTTGCTTCACCCACATTCCAAGGCTCCATGGGTTTGAAGGTTCGTTCAATCCACTAAGAGTCCCAACCATGGTTTTGTCAAAATTTGCTCCTCCGATCGCGTTTGTTAGCAGTGTCGCAAGGATGTTCTCGACGATAATAGGAAACCACTCTGAACTAATAGTAAAATCTGATGCCCACAGACCAGCTGTTTCTGCCAGAGCAGAAAAAACAGTATCATTGGTTTGGTTGGAGGTTGAAATAGTGGGATTTAGATACCTGGCCCAGTCAGCACTGAGCTTGATTGGTCGGTACGCGGAATTGAATGTTCCCACGTTATCAAAACCACTGGGAGCGCTGAAGACATTCGTAATAGAGTTCCGTGAAGTTTTCAACGTAACGTTTGCAAATCGACTGTCAATGCTACAAGTGTGATATGCCGCAGGACCTGCTTTCGACTTTGGAATTGTAGCCACAACCATCAACGAGGTCTGGGTCTTTTGCAGAAACTCAGAATCGTCGATCCAGTATAGCGAAGGGCGGCCACTGGAAACGAGTAACTCTTCTATCGGAGAGGTTATCGATGTATCGTCAATGTGTAGCCATTCTCCAAAGCTGGCATGGCTACCTAAATGAGCTGCAGACCCAGGTCCGTGACTGAGAGTGACGTTGCGAAAACTCGGAAAGCGTAATTTAACTGCTTCACCTGACACATAGTTGGTGTTATGACACCGTGTCATAACCAATGACTGTAAACAGTCTGTTGTAAAGGAAGCATCTCGGCGGTATTTGAAATTGCCAATATCTGAATTTGCAGCTGCATTGATCCATAGTCTTTCAAGGTCGACTAACGCATCTGCAACCGGGGAAGGTGAGACAGTTGCTAAGGTGAATGCGTTGGCCCATAGGAGTGACATGGGAAAGTTGCGGATGTTCCTCGTGCGCAGGACAAGTTGACGTAATGATGAGCGACCAGGCATGAAAAGTGACTGTGGCATAGCTCCCATACCTCCAAGGGATTTCCAATGCGGAAAATATTGCTCGTTGAGAATTCGCCAGCCGCTTGCTGGGCATGACGTGTCTCCATCTTCAACGCTGCAATGACTCATATCAGGAATCGCCTCGATTTTATCAGGGTTTAGTGATGCTTCTGTAGCGTCGATCCAAAAAGTTGTCCCCCCTGCGGGCCATTCATCCAAGCGTGGCCTCATAAGAATTCCAGTGGATGGCCCAACTGTTAGTCCAGCAACAGAGCAGATGACAAGCAAGCTGATGACAATCCATTTCGTTCTTCTCTTCTCCCATTCGTGGTAAATTGTGCCCCAAAGCTCTGGCGACCATAGGAATGTGAGGTCCTTGAATTGAGTTGCTGAGAACACAGTACCGAAAGGGACGCCATCGCCAAAAACCAGTTCCTTCCGGATATAAGTGATGACCATAGCGCTAAGGGATGCAAGCATAAATAGCTCATGCAATTTTGCGGCAAACAGGAGCGCCGCCAGCTTCTGAGTGTCTTGCCCAACAGCGCCACTGAGTTCACCGCCGATATAATGGTTTGACCCGTTGAGAATCAGTAGAGCAATTGCCGCCGAGACTGGGACTAGATGTACAACACATCGAAGTGTCGCCTTAAGCTTGTTCCTCTTCATAACAACCTTCTTCTTCTCTGTAACTGGCCAGCCGCAGTTTTTGGCAAGCAGATTAAAGCCAGCTGAGAGCCCGAGAGCCTTGAAGATCTGTTGAAGGTGCGAGCGAAAACCTCGATCAGGCTGAGAATTATTACAGGCATTTTGGAGAATATATTGTCGATCTGAGGAATCGGAGAAGGAATTGGAGGTTGTGGTTGTTTCTGAGCTTTGCTTCAACATTAGCCTGCGGTCCCTGATCCATAGTTTGTCACTCAGGCCGGTATAGCTACTCTCACTTGCAAAGACTAAAGTAATAATTCTGAACATACAGATTGATAGTGGCTGAAGATGTCAACAAGGAGTCTGGTTTTCGGTGGTCTGACGCAGGGGAAATCTCTCGTTCGGGTGTTGCGGATTCTAGTCTTTCCAGCTCTAAGGAAGGCATGATGCCGAACGAAAAGGAAACAAATGAAATCACAACAAGGGAGGAGCAAGATGGTTCGAACAGATTGAGATGGAACTTGAAGACGGCATAGGGATAAGACGACCACACGGAGGAACAGCCTGGTTTCATAGCGGCGCCTATGGAGGATGTGCAGCCCCTGCATGATGCACTATGCGGAACGCATCCATCTAAAAAGACGTGCAAGGCAGTATCTTTCCCAATGTGATAGATTCAAGGGTATATCTAAGACCAAGAAATGCCAGAAAGTGCTGCGTGGAGCATAGGAGGACAGGAATGTAGATCTGTCAAGTAGCAACTCCAAGGTGCGAAATTTGAATATAATCAACGCCTTCTACGATGATGCATTCAAGTCCTGCGAGCGTTAATTTGTGAGATGAGGGTTGCCTCATCAGTCCAGGCTGAAGGGCGCTTAACAACTGACCAGGCATCCTCCTCAGGCGTGGATGGTATGGTAGCAGATGTTGTGTATGTGGGATCGGCGCGGGACGTCCGAGGTGGGCCGATAATTAAAGCACGCGCGTTGGAGTCTTCCAAGCGGCTAGAAGCGCGACATGATTGGCGAGCGATGGGGCAGCCACCGTCAGGCCTATGCCTGCCCGTGCCTAGTGGAAGAATCAGCCCCTTGCATGTTTCTCGGTTGGACTTGGAAGGATCCTCAATCTACCTGTTGGCTTTCTCTCACTCAATCTTGTTCAGCATGCCTTCACGAAGCTTCAATGACAGCATTAACGCGCTACTTACGGATTCTCCGCCGTCGCTCGACCAAGCAGGTGCTCATCCTTGCTTTTATATTGTTCAACATCTTCGACATCGCCCAGATACTGCGCTGCCTTTCAAGCTCTACAGCTGAGCCGATTCCTCGACGACAAGAACGTGTCTACATCGCTAGTTTACATTGGAACAACGAACGTATTCTTCGAAGCCATTGGAATGATGCTGTTGTAGCTTTGGCCAATGCTCTCGGTCGGGAAAATGTCTTCATAACTGTATTCGAAAGCGGAAGTTGGGATAACAGCAAAGGGGCTCTAAGGGAGCTAGATAGGGCATTAGAGGCGCATCAGATCAGACGAAACATTACTTTGTCCGATACTACCCATCTGGATGAGATATCCGCAGTGAACAAGGGTTCCGGTTGGATCGATACACCCCGAGGGAGGAGGGAGCTCAGACGAATACCATATCTTTCCAGACTTCGCAATTGGACCCTGGAGCCCCTACAGGAGCTCATTCGGCAAGGGGAGAAATTTGACAAGGTGCTCTTCTTGAACGACGTTGTATTCACTGTATGTCTCCAGAGTCTATTTGGTCTTTGAAATACCTCCAGTAGCTGATCAAAACTCAGACTGAGGACGTCTTTCGACTCCTTGACACAAACAACGGAAACTTTGCCGCTGCTTGTTCATTAGACTTTAGTCGACCCCCACAATTTTATGACACGTTTGCACTCCGAGATGCTGAAGGTCATGAGATGTTAATGCAGACGTGGCCTTACTTTCGTGCGAGGGACTCTCGACAAGCTATATTGGAAAATCGGCCCGCACCAGTGGCGAGTTGTTGGAATGGCATGGGTGAGTTCAATATATTTCTAGTTGGCTGTACAATTTCCTTCCTCTTTTTCTGCTGCTCAGCTGTTGACTAATTCCGTGTGCTGGAACGCAGTTGCTATGCCCGCTGAACCCTTTGTTTCCGAACCTCCGCTACGCTTCCGAGGCATTCCGGATTCCCTTGCCATGTCACACCTTGAGGGATCAGAATGCTGTCTTATTCACATAGACAACCCTCTCCGCGCAGAGAAGCAAACGTACGTCAACCCACAGGTACGGGTAGGCTATAGTGCTGAAGCATACGATGCTGTAAACCCGCAACGGTATATGTTATCTGCTTGGTGGATTCTCAAAGCTTTGTGGGAGAACCGCATTCGGCGCTGGGTCACATCGCCTTCATTGAAAGAGTGGAGGGTACGAAGAAGAGTGAATAAATGGAGATCGGTAACCAAAGAGAACGAAGAAGCTGGGGAAATATGCCTTATCAACGAAATGCAAGTACTCATCGAGAATGGATGGGCTCATGTTTAGATGTCCAGCTCACCAAAGAGACTGCACTAGCAGACCTAATTTATTTCTTACTGGAAAATATATGTATATCACGCAACTCAGCCTTTAACCAAAAACAGAAATAACACTTCTCTCTACTGTGCAATTGATAACTGCTATATTTTACAAGATATCGGAATAATTGTACCCTCAAAAAGAAACGAAACAATACAGGAGAAACGAAATGAATAATCCCAAATTTGAGTCAAAAGGTAAGGATTAGCGAGGCACAAGTACATTGTATAACCAACAGCCTAACACTCGGCTAAAGAAGATAATCTGGCTGGTCAGGTGGAAACCCATAGATTCTGTTTGATTCGTACTCGGAAGGGGTTGGAGGGACGAAGACCGAAGTATGACCAAAGATACAGACCCAGGCTCCCATTTCAAAAGTGCACGTTTAACGCTGTCCACTATGCAACAATGTATGGCGGGAAGACGAGAAAGATCACACAGACAGATGAAAAAAAAAAGGGCGGGACTTTGTATATCGATGCTTCAGTGGTAGTATCTGTATGTGGTAAAATCTTCAATGCACCATAGAGTTGCTGCACCTAGGCTCGTTCTTTTAGAACTGAACGTACGCTGAATTTTGATTCAGAATCTTGCCTGTTAGTCACACTGTCAACGGGTATGTCAATCACCATTCACGTTGTCTAACACTTCGCCAAGTTTTCTGCTGATTTGGGGCCAAGCAACCCTCTCCCGGTCAATGAGTCTCGTCCATGCCCTGTAATCAATATCAATGTGATTGGCTGTTCTTGTTTGAAGCGCCGTCCGTATCGATGACTTCATTCATGGCTGTCTCGCTATCTCTGCTGTTGGTATCGCAGACGTCGCTGCGATGACTGCAATGGCACCCTTGGTCACACAAGATCTCACTGCCGTCGCTTGGTAGACGATTCATAGTTTGGAGATAACCAAAAATGGAGCCCATCACAAAGAGTCCGAGAGGTTGTATTGCTGTCGCCTCAATCAACGTTTTCCAAGAACCAACATCCTGCGGCTCTTCTCGGAACGACAATGCCAGAGATCAGCACCACCTCCACCTAGCACCAGCTGCGGACAATGATTGTAGAGTCATTATCGAGCTACGTTTGTACACTAGATATCGACCTTGCGAATTCCTGGACTGAACGGGTGTGAGGTAGTCCGTTTAGCTCACTCGACTGGCAGGAAGATAACACACAAGCAATCAGCGTCCCTGAGATTGGCTCAAAGAAGGAATAACAAGATAAAATCATAGGTGATAAGCAATAATAATTGAGACCGTGGCTTTAGCGCTTTCCACACGAGAAAGGCTTTTGAACAAATTAAACCCTTCAAACCTCTGTTTCAGTCCAATGTTTCTTCAACTTTGACCTTGCACTGGAACTTCTGACCATCGCGAAGGCGTACTATCAAGAGAAGATGTTTTTCATAAAAAGATTCTGCTGTGAGTGTTTAGAGGGTGTTGCTCGATACTGGCGATGCTTTTTTCGCTATTTGAAATTACGTGCGACTGTAGAATCCAAAATGATACGGACAGAGCTAGAAGACCTGAGTTCTGAGATGTTAGTGCGGATGCGGGCAAGATGCATGTGAGTTGCCTGCAGGGCTATGTTCTTTACAGCATGCAGGATACAAACAATGAACAAGATTATATAAGGGAAGGCTGCATAGGTAGTGGCGTAGTCGCTTGTTCTGAAATACCACGTAGAAGCAGATGGGTGATGTGATCCTTCGAACGTGAATACACTTCATAAACACTTTGTCTCCGCCCGATGTTAGTATCTATTCAACACCAAAGGTGACATGCATGAGCGTTGCTGCAGATTGAGGATTCGGAAGAAATGAACAACAGTTGAACAAATGATGTTGGACAGCGACTGCATTTTTGCGGTTGGCGTAGTCAACCTGGGTGTTTAGCTAAGCCACAAATTACGTTACAACAGCTGAAACGGTAAAAAGTTGATTATATGATCGTGCCTTACGTGGGTTGAGACACGGGAAAATAACAAGGGGAAAGTCCTCTTAGTGTTTTGTAGGCTGAAAGATGGAAGTCTCTAAGACTGTACTAGCGATTGGGTAGAGGTGAAAGTAGAGTACTAGGGTCGGCGAGGCGATGGTATTTAGAAAATCGTCAAAACATATTGTTTGTATTATTCATAAGATCATCACATTTGAAAAGATGAGTGGATAAACCACAATGGACGTTAAAGGGAGTACCGCATATACGATCTCTATTTAGCGTCATAATAAAACAGCCCGTAGATGATTTTCATAATTAGAGAGGGTTACACGAACCCAACAACACGACAGATTCAGATGCTGATGACGTCACAATACGTGTCCATTCCTACAACGTTGAACATTACACACAACAACGATGACCCAAGGAATTGTCAGATGTAGATTGCAAATTGATATAGACGTCTTTCTCTCCATTAGTTACTAGGCAATATCCACCCGTACTATGTAGGCAAGCAAGATACGCAAATCTTGCTACCTTGGAACCGCTTGATAAAACGTAGCTACGAGAACCTACAGTAAACAGCGCAAATGCTGTTCGTAAAACAGCACGAAAAACACAAGATTCCTCTATCAACACAATCGGCTATTATCGAAATGCTTACGGTCCTCTTATTCATCCTTGGCCTCAGCACGACACTAGGGGCAGCATGTGACGGTATGGAGCAGAACACAACATGCGTGCTGGATACCGATCCACTACAACAACCCTTTCACTTCTTTTTTCCACCTCAAGATGCAGCAAATACCTCTGCATTGTTTTCGATGCCGAAATGTCGAGGAATCACGCTCGAAGAAGCCACTATCGACCAACTGCAAGGGTACCTAGGTGACGGAACCATCACATCTGTCGATCTCCTCAGATGCTACCTCGATAGAGTATACCAAGTCGACAAATATATCAATTCTATCATGGAACTCAATCCGGATGCCGAGAAGATGGCTGTTGCACTTGACGCCGAGCGTGCTGCTGGTCGCGTACGAGGCCCACTACACGGTATACCATACATTGTCAAAGACAACATTGCAACAAAAGATCGAATGGAGACTACAGCGGGAAGCTGGATGCTAATGGGAAGCATCGTGCCTCGGGATGCGCATGTTGTTGCAAAACTACGGGAAGCAGGCGCTCTTCTCATAGGCAAAGCAACGATGTCTGAATGGGCAGACATGCGATCGAACAACTATTCGGAAGGGTACTCTGCAAGAGGTGGTCAGGCGAGGAGTCCTTACAATTTGACTGTTAATCCTGGCGGAAGTAGTACAGGAAGTGCAGCAGCGGTAGCTGCAAATATCGTTACTTTCTCACTAGGCAAGTTCATGTCCTCAAAGATCCATCTCCAATCCAACACTGACACACCACCAGGCACCGAAACCGACGGCAGTGTCATCAACCCCGCAGAACGCAACGCCCTAGTCGGCATCAAACCCACCGTAGGTCTCACTTCGCGTGCGGGCGTCATCCCAGAAAGCATCCACCAAGACACCATCGGCACTTTCGCCCGCACCGTCCGCGACGCCGCCTACGCCCTCGACGCAATCTACGGCATCGACCCCGACGACAACTACACCTTCGCCCAACATGGCAAAACATCCCAAGCAGGCTACACATCCTTCCTCTCCAATGCCTCGGCCCTCTCCACCGCAACCTTCGGCCTCCCCTGGCACACCTTCTGGACACACACCCCACCCCCTCAACAATCCCACCTCCTCTCCCTGCTCTCCCTCCTCCAGTCCTCCGGCGCAACCATCCTCAACGAAACCGAACTCCCACATTACAAAACCATCATCTCCCCCGATGGTTGGAACTGGGACTACGGCACCTCCCGCGGCTACCCAAATGAATCCGAATACACAGTCGTTAAAACAGATTTCTACAACAACATCCAGAGCTACCTTTCATCTCTAGAAAACACTTCCATTCGCTCCTTGGAAGACATGGTAGCATATAATTATGCCAACGATGGTACCGAGGGTGGGAACGCGTGGCCAAACGGTATACCCGCGTTTTACTCGGGCCAAGACGGATTTCTCGCATCCCTGGAAACGAAGGGTGTCATGGACGAAACGTATTATCAAGCTCTATCTTTCATACAAAGGACGACGAGGGAAGAGGGAATCGATGCGGCACTCACGCATAATGGACGTAAGATAGATGCGCTGCTTGTGCCGGCGGATGTAGGTCAGACGTATCAGATTGCGGCGCAGGCGGGGTATCCAATGATTACAGTGCCGGCGGGAGTGGGTGAGGAGACGGGAATGCCATTTGGACTGGGGATTATGGGGAGGGCGTGGGGAGAAGGGGAGTTGTTGAGGTGGGCGAGTGCGATTGAGCATCTTTTGAGAGGGGAGCACGGGAGGGCGGATATGCGGAGGACGATGCCGAGGTGGTTTGGGTATTTGGAGAGGAACATTCCGGTTAGGAATTTGTAGGGTTAGGGGGAAGATGGTGGAGTGGGTAGGGAAAGATGGGATACAATTTTATCATGCAGACACGGCACAGCGGTACAGCTGAAATCTTTCTGATAGTCCGAAAGTGTGGATTATTCAAATTACAACTTTAACGTCTTTACCAAGAGAAACCCACGAACAGAATTAATTTTAAAAAATATCCTCCAAACCAGCCTCATCCCACGAAGTTTCGCCCTTCGCAACACGGTCTCTAATCTTCCAGTACTCGTGGTTGAAAACCCAGTACTCCTCACCAGTAATCTCGCACGTGCCCTTTGTGAACCATCTAGGCTGGAACTCTTTACCCTCTGCTTCTCGTTGCCGTCTTGTAGCACGCTGCTTCTCTTCTACGCGGTTCTTTTCGGTGGCTGCAAAGTCGTACTCACCATCTTCCATGGCGCGCTGATCAGGCCGGAGTCGAGTGTCTGTTGGGGCAATGATTGGGCGCAACTTATCGTTGATGGCGTTGAGCGTCACGACAAACGGAGTAAGATTGAAGGGTATGCCGGTTGGACGTTCGTGGCACTGCCAGACGAGGAAAGCCTTGTTGTCATCTTGTTTTGATGGCTTACCGCCCTTGTCAATGTCTGCATCCTCAAAGCCAGGGGTGAATCTAGCGTAGATCTTGTCATTCCACCGCCCGCCGATGCTCCAGCGCACTCGGCCTTCTGCATCCATGACTTTTCCGACAACCTGGTATGCTGAAGAGGCTTTCCAGCCACGGGGTTTGAAATCCAGCAAACACTTCTCCCCAGTAGTCCAATTGGTGATTTCCATGAGACCGTAGTTGTCGATGACGGGATTTCCGGTAATGATACCGATGACGGTAGATGTGACCTTCTTCCACGTGTACATTTCTTCTTTTCCGCCTGTTGCAGACGGTCGCAGTCGCAGGAACCAAGTACCCAATGGATTAATATCGAAGGATTTGCCGTAAAACTTTGACTTTACTGCCGACTCGCCCTATATATCGTCAGATGATGCTATAAAGCTTGAATTCCACAACGTACATAGTAATCCCACTTCTTGGACTCTGCAAAGGCAGCACCAACGGGTGGATGATGGCTGACCTGCTCAATGAAGAAGCGGTAGCCCTTGTCCGCTCTGGCATACTCATAAGTCTCAGCAAGGAGGGGATTGAAAGGCTTAGCAACACGCCCAATAGTAGAAGCGTATTCGGAAGCCGCAAATGCAGCGACATAAAGCAGTCGTTCCGTGGAGTCTGATCGTTCGGCAGCAGTGTCTAGAAGATCAGTGTATTCCATATCCTCGGCCACACGTTGGAGTAGCGATGTTGGCTCGTTGAAGGATACCGGCAGTGTCATCTTGGTCATGTCCTTGCCAATCATGGACTTGAGAATTCCCTAGCCAGTTGTTAGTATTGTGTAAAGTGGCAGTGAGATTGAACATACCCAAAGTGAAATCTTCGGCCTGTCATCTGCATCCATTGCCAGTCGCTTTCGTGGACCATCTTCGTAGCCTGTCCACGCAGTGGCAATCTCCATAGACTTTTTCTCCAATGGATCTTCGGAAGAGTCCGGGGCGCTGCTTTCCCCCTCTTGAGGAACGCTGGGAGCGGGCATCTCCACAACCTCGACTTCGCCAGCACCGATTGCATCGAAGAACTCTTCGTCATCTTCAGACTCAGAGTCGGAAATGTGGGCTGCAATGTCTGCCAGGGTAGCCTTTTTCCTAATTTTTTGGTTTTGGGTGAATGCACCTACGGGCGCTGTCGCCTCCTTTTGTTGCGCACCGTCTTCTTGTGCATCAGCAAATTCATCTTCGTCTTGCTTTGCTTGTGTTCCAGCTTCAGTTTTCTCAAAGCCTTCCAACGCTTCCCGGAGTGCTCTTTTCTGCTTTCGCCGCTTTTCCTCCGACTCACCTATCCTATTCTCAAGCTCTTCTTGCTCCTTTGCGACCTTGGCCATGCTCTCTTCCCACATGCGACGCACATTGGCTTCGCGATCTAGTCGGTATTGCCAGTAAGCATCACGGTCCCTGGATATTCTGAGAAGATCTCCAATTAGTCCTTTGAGGTTGCCAATGGCTGATTCGTACGAGGCCAGCGCCTGCAACATCATAGGGTCAGAAATCTGCATATTAGGCGATCGTTCCTTTTCTGTCTGCAGTGCTGCAGAAACCGATGTCAACAAATCAAGCTGTAGCTTCGCGGACTGCGCAGTGATGTTGAAGGCATCCTTGCTCTGCGGCTTCATCTCGTGACTGCTCGAATCGTCCCCATACTCATCATCGTCGTCGTCATCGCCGGCAACGGTCGCTGTTCCCATGTGACTGACCAGTCTATCAAGACCCTGGCTGTGCATGCTAGGCTCATAGACGCTACCGGGGTCTTCTGTGACACTAACCGCAGTTCGTGAAGACGTAGTATCGACACTGTTCAAAGGAATGTTTAGATTGGATGCTGGGATATGTTAGTATGTAGAGAGACCTCTTCTAGAGCAACTTACTGGTCGGATGCTGCTTGGAGCTGCTGGCTATCTTGGAGCTCCCAAGGCTAGAAGAGTCACCCTCGCCCTTGATTTGCTTAATCTTGGCCTGCTTGAGCATCTCTTGGTCCTGAGTAGCCCGCTTTTCTTCTTCGCGCGCTTCGTCCTTGGCCCACTGGATTGCGTTGTTCAATGCCCAGTACCATCGTTTGGCCTCGACTTGATGGTTTGCCTTGAGATGGTACTTTACAGACGACTTGCCTTGAATCTCAAAGCGCTGCTTGTCTTGGGGATCCATGTACAGCTTGGCGATGCGCATGTTAATCGCACCACGGCATGCAGATGCCGTATCATCTTGGTGCTTGTAGTAGCTCAGCACACCATCTTCAAGGACGAACCAACGTAGTTTGTAGCCAGTCGTATAGTTTGTCCACTTCTTCAGGTATCCCTTCATCTCGCGCGACTCCTTGACGCCCATTCCAACCTCTGCAGCTGATTGTCCTGGTGGTACACCGGCGAGGATGGTCTTCTCCTGTATTCCTCTTTGTGCCGCTGCAGCGGCGGGTGATCGCTTCAAGATTGCGCGGGTACGGTCATCCTTGGTGTAGTCCTGAGGAAGCTTACCCTTGCGATCGCGGCGAAATGGGTCGGCTCCGTTCAACAAGAGCAGCTGAGCCAGCTTGACATCCTTTTTCTTTGCAGCTTCATGCAGAAGTGTGCCTCCAGCGTCGACGACAACCGGGTCGGTCGCTAGCTCGCCGCCATTGACATCGAGAGTGCTCTTAACCCGGTTATCCTGGAGGATCTTCTCCAGCGCATCCATGTCCCCTGACATGACCATTTGTTGTATCTTCTTTACGTACGTGTCGATGAAGATGGACCGCGACAGCTGCAGGGCCTGGAAAATGTCTGGTGTACGGGCGAGATCTAACGGGGTTTGGCCGTTGTAGTTGGTCACCGAGTCATTGATGCCAGGCTGGTCGAGTAGCATGCGCACAACTGCAGTGCGACCAAGTATGGCAGCAAGGTGGAGCGGTGTGTTGCCATCGCGGTCGCGGCCGTTGATATCGACAGGTGAGTCGGACGACGCAGTGACGTTTGACAGGACGAATTCAATTACTGGTAGCTCTGCACACTGTATGGCTAAGTGCAGGATTGAAGTTCCCTCTGTGCGTGTATTGGGGAGCTGTATTGACGACCTGCTGCTCTCGCCATCGGCTGGGCTTGACTGCTCCCGGATTGCGCGCGATATAGCTGCCGTATCGCCATTTCGCAGCGACTCAAAAACTCTAAACAGTTTCACAGACTGCTCGATGGATGTTGCCTTTGTGGGAGAGGTGGGTGTCTGCTGGATGCTGGGAGACGAGGGACTGAGTGCGTCTTGGCTTGGGCCGGGGCCGGACATGCTAGTGGAAAGATGCGGGTTCTTTTTGGAGAGACTGCGGCCGTGTCCCGAGGCGTTGTGTCCTTTGATCTGAGCAGCGTGCTGCGAGGTGGCCGATGTAGCTGAACCTGGGGGAGAGTTGTCACTAGGTTCGGGTGTGTCGCCGTCGGGCCTTGACGACACGCGGGACAGGAGGTTCTTCACACTGGCCGACTTGGAGCGCTTGTGCCTGTGTAAGTAGGCAGTCAGCGATGACCTTTAGCAGCTGCAAGCCGTGTCTTGTACACTGATCCCCGCCATGACGACTGGCAGGCTTGGGGCTGGGCACTTACCCTTCCATGGCCGCTTGATTGGCCGACCAGCCCAGAGATACAGCAAAGCGCGTGTAGGATGTCAGCAAAGACGGAAGGGTTTTGCGGGTTTGGTGTTCAATTGACGTTGATTAGACTGCACAAAGGAAGACCGTACAACCGATGAATGCACTATGTGTGTGCTTGACAGCCAGGCTTCGTATAGGGTCTGGGCTTTGCTTGCGGCTAGGGAAGCTGATAGCGGGGCGCTCGTCAAGCTTGGGGTTTCGTCAGAGGCGCGGGCTCACCAGCCACAACAGCCACATCAGCCAATCATGGCCGTCGACGTGCATGCAGCCTCAACGGGCGGGGCCTGGGGTGTTCTGCTAGCCAATCACGTGCCTCGGAGCTTTGCACGTCGCCGCTGCCTACCATGCCCTCGTCGTCCAAGATTCTCTCGACTGAAGCAATTGATATGTTATGTTACATACACTAATTTACACTCGTCTGGCACCTTATGACACGTTCCCGCTAACTAGAACAATGGCGCTTCCTAGCTGTCGCCGCAGGTCCTCCCTTTGCACATCGTGTGTGTCTTCTACCTCACCCCACTGCACTGTCTGCCACTTGACCTCCAAACTGCTTGCCTCGGCCGCTTCGTTGATACCAAAGCGACTACCCTCAGCGGCGGACCGTGATTGCGCAAATACCTCACTCCATTCATGCACCAGCCGTGCGCTGACGAGCAGGCTCTTGGATGCCAGCACTGCCCGCTCCAGCCCCGCAAGCTCATAGGCGGGGAGACCTGCACACCACCCGCGAATTACTTCCTGCGTCATCTTGGGCTGCTCCACGGGGATGATAGAGTTGGGGTCGAGCGTGGGCTTGATCTCGATACCAGGGAACACGTGTGTCTGGAGATATGCAATGATGTCCGTAGCCACCTCTTCCTGGATCTGGCGCAGCGTCTTCCCGTCCTGCAGCGTGTCGTTGATGACCTTTTCGGGCGCCCAGCAGAGCAGAGTGTCGGTAGCGAGCACACGCATAAAGTAGGCGAGGATGTCGTTCCGGATGTTGGACTGCCCCGCCTTGTCCGCCGCCTCAATGTCAATGGCACGCGCAGCTAGCGAGGTCATGGGTATGTAGTCGTTCTTGAGCGCCTGCTGTGCGCTCATGAGAAGGTCCCATTCGAGGGCAATGGCAGCCGCGAGCTGGGGCTTGGAGGCGGGGACGGTGAGGATCTGCTTGTTAGGCATTCGAACGGGGCGGTGATCGAGGAAGACCTGCAGGCCGCCATCCGTCTCCTTGACCGAGACGTCTTTCCAGAAGCGCTTGGCCAGCATGCTCTTTGGCTTGTTGGAGGGGGTGTAGGACTCGCGCATCTCGCGCGCCTGCTTCATCATGTCGGCCTGCCGCCTCTTCCTCGCAACCCGTTGCGCTGCATCTGAAGGTTGGGCCTGGGGCGTCTCAGGTGGTGGACCGGGCACTGTGCGGCGTCAATGGGTGAATGGGCACATGTGGTGCAAAGTCGTGCGTACCTGACGGGTGAGGCAGAGGCGTGGCGCCCCGCGCAGCCGATGTGTGCAGACATTGGCATAACAGCGGCCTACTGTAGACTCGCTGTGGTGCAGCTAGGCGGATCTTTGCCAGTGCTGGGCGGATCGACTCCATGGTGGCTGGGGGTGGGATGGATTGTATGGTATGGCCGACAATGATGGGACGTCGAGTAGGCCCGGCGCGGCGACTTTTTTCCTTGCCTGGTGCGCGGACATAGCGCCTTGTGAAATCTGGGGTTCTCCGCTCCACACGCACACGCACACGCACACGCCGCACACGCAAGCCGCACCACCGCTCACCTCACCACCCCCGTCCACCCCTTCTCGGTACTCGGGTGCTCCGTACTTACACTACTACATACACCTGCACCTCCAAGTAGTCGTTGCAGCATCAGTCGATGGACCCACGCCGGCGCCTCTGAACATGCGCCTGCTTCCCCACAGCTTCTCGTCCCTCTGCATGTTCTCCACCCTCTGGTCTGGCTCGTCTCCGGTCGGCCGTTGACGCGCTTCTGGCTGTCGCTACCCCACCCAGCACCTGCTCCCCTGCATCGCCGCATCCCGCCTTTGATGCGGCCCCTTCCGCCCATCTCTAGCCTCAAACTCTGCTTTTCATGAATCAAGCGGCTTCTCCGCCGGCCTCTGCGAATGCTGCCGTGCCCCAGCCCAAGCCTATCCGCTTCGTCACCAACCATGACGGGCCCTATGCCAAGCGCCGTCGCATCAACTCCGCCTGCTTGACATGTCGAAAGAAGAAGACGCGCTGTTCCGGTGAGGTCAGCCATATCTGGATTACAGCCATTGACACTGACGGTAGAATAGGTGAGCGCCCGGTTTGTGGTACCTGCACCCAAAACAAGCACGAGTGCGCTGGCTACGGCGACGACAATGGCACGGGCGATGCGCAGAAGAATAGCAAAAAGGTTCCCTCCCGACGAGCGAGCATAGTATCCAACAACAGCACCTCGGCCCTGAAAAATGAGACTCCTATCGATCCCCAGCTTACGCGACCCTCTATCCAACACACTACCTCCCAAGCGTCTGACTCCAGCACCGTCAATCCGTCACCCAAATTGGATATCGCCACTGGCAGTTCCGGCCTGACTTTGAGCACGCGCAATAGGATGCCGTACTTTCGGTACTTTGGCCCCACCGCCATTGTGCCTGGCCTGAGACAAATGGTCGTCAAGGTGCGCGGGAAACAACACGGAAGTGCGCAGACTACATCCGATCGTACGTATTACCCCGGCTTAGGCGTTGAATATTGTCATGTGCAAAATCTATCGCCTAAACAATTGAACCTGAACTGCTGCTGACTTTACCAGCGCACATTATCGAATCCTCACCTGCTCAGCCTTCTGTCGGGTCGCCACCTGCACAAGAAGCTCGTACCCCGCTAGAGATACCCGTATACGATGCTTCGTCTATGTCTCCGAGTCCGCTCATCACCCATCTCTGCAAGGTCTTCTTCACCCACCTCGGCTGCTCATTCCCGTTCCTGCAAAGAGAAAGGTTCATGCGCGACTTGGAGGAGAAGCAAGTGGATGCCATACTTGTAGACGCCGTTTGTGCCTTGGCGGCCCGTTTCTCGGCACATCCCATGTTGACGGGCAACAACAACGATCACAAAGACAGTGAGAACGAAAGCTCCATGCTTCAACCCTCGGAATACGGCCAGGCATTTGCGCAAAGAGCAAAGTCCGCAATTCCAGACGCCTTTCCATGTCCCAGTGTGGCTGTGGTGCAAGCTGCTCTTCTCCTCGCTTACGACGAATTCGGCGCAAGCCGTGATAGTGGCCTGTGGATGTATCTTGGAATAGCTATTCGCATGGCTCAAGATTTGGGAATGCAGTCTGTAGGAGGTCTCAAGTATGAAGGTCGCCACGGGCCAACGCCGAGCTCGGTCAAGAGTAACACAGAAGAGTCACGGCCGTCGGAACAGTCTGCGTCAAAAGACAGTCGTCAAAAGAGCGCCGAAGAACAAGAGCAGCGGGCGGCTGAACGTGAGAGATTGGACACTTTCTGGTCAATCTTCTTCCTGGATCGAGTCATTTCATCTGGCACCGGGCGTCCAGTCACCCTGCGCGACCGCGACATTGAAATTTCTTTCCCTTCTCTAGACGAGGTCGATTCTTCTGGATGGCCACTGCCCTACCCTGCTTTGATTCGGGTTATCCACCTGTATGGACGCGTGACTGATTTGCTGAATCGCATCAGAAGTGCTGCTGACGTCACACCAGAACTTCACAAACAATTAGGAGTTTGGGAAGACCGACTGACCAACATCTATCAGAACCTCTCGCCTAAGCTGCACTTTAATGCTGTAAACTTCCAGCAATACGTCAAGCTAAATCAGGGAACAAACTTCTTATTGCTCCACTGCTGGTTCCATACGCTCATCGTTCTGCTGCACCAACCGACACTCTTAAGAACTTTCGAGGGTACGCCTCAGCCACAATCCAATCATAGCCGAGAATTGTCAATGTCTTCTGCAAAGACTGTTGCCGATATACTAGCTTTCACAGAGCTTATAGATGTGAAGACTGGCATGGGTAATCCGTTTACTAGGTTTGTGCTTCCATGTCCTACCTGTCTCAATGGTGAAACTAACACTGCTTTAGTCAGCCTATATACATCGCTGCGTGTGCCTTTCTCAAGGAGACGGCTATCCACTCTGCATCGTCTCAACCCCATTCCCGTCCTACAAGCCCTAATCGAAATGAAGACAATGACCAGAAAGCATCCATTGGCAACTCGCTTGACCGTCTTGACACTGCCAGTTCTTCCGTCAACGATCGCGAACAGAAGCAGACTGCCGCCAAGCATACACTGCTTGCGTCTGCTGCCAACCAAAACTACCAACGTTGCTACCGTGCTCTAAAGGCCCTTGAGACCTACTGGGCAGGGGTCAAGTACATCATGACCGTGCTCGATCAAAAGGCGAAGGGGGTTTGCGATCCCCTGCTTTACACTGCGGAAGAGATGGAGAGCGCTTTAGAGGCACCCCGACCGGAACCATCATTCACTAGCCCGGGCTGGAGAAGGAAGCTTAGTTGGGGCACATACTTGACGGCCCAGAACTCGGACGCGGATGTTGCTAAGATGGCAGCTGCAATCAGGAAAGGCGCGCGATCTCCAAAGTTGCCTGGCTCTCCAATGGTGCACCCTAGTCAAGGTATATAACTCATCCTGACATTTTGAACATCTCATTAACTCGTGCGTAGCGATAGGATGGTCACTTACTGGGACCATGAACTCGCCTTCGACCAACGTGGCCGTCATGTACACTTCAGAGAACGGCGAAGGTCGAACCACAAAGCCACCGCCTCCCCACCAAACACCAGCCAGCGCACAACCTTCCATCGCATCCCTGATATCAGACCCACCCATCAAATTTGAGTCACAACAGTCCTTAACATCACCACCCGGTATCTCACGCTTCAGCTCATCATCGATGCCCCCACCCCTAACCAACCAAGCCTACAGCAATATGCCTAACCCCGACCCCGTCATGGTCTCAGACGCTGACCTCCTGCTCAACCTACACTCCCCCTTCTCCGGCAATTCCCCCGCTGCAGTCCGAACCCCGATCCCCACCCAACAACCTTTCACGCGTGCCCCTTCGCAAATGCAACCTCCACCCCCGCAAAACGATTTTTCACCCACCTTCACCACGTTTCACGCCCCGTCGGATCATGCTTTTGGGGATATGGTTATTGATACCCAAGATGTCGATATGTCGCTGCTTGGCGCGGATATGATGCCCTGGGATCTCGAGTATTTGCCACATGATATGCTGTCGTTTGGCGATGCGTCGTTTGGGGGTTCTGGATTTGGAGGAGGTGATGGGACGGGTGGGAACGCGCCTGAATGAGTGAGGTGAAATGAGTGTTTGTGGGGGTATCCTTGGCCGCAATCTTTTATGATTGCCGAAATTTTTAACATGTATGATAAGAGGGTTTATGTATCGATGGAGTAAGTAATATTGAGGGGGATTTGACCAAGAAAGATAAGCGAGGGGGGTAGTTTTTGGCATGTTAGGTTTATGATACCATTTGTTAATTCTTGTTCATTTTTTCCCATTGTATTATGTAATGATTTTTCGAAGATACTTGAACACAGCACCAAAATCTAGTCAAATAACGCATAACATACTCATTTCCTTTTTTCTACAAGTACAATTCAAACACTACTACTGCAACATGCCCTCCAAACTCTCCCCGAGTACCTCCTCCATCCCGTTCTTCCATCGCTGACACTCCCGCTCAACAATCTCATCATCATCCTCCATAAGCTCACTAATGAACGGCAGCATCTCAGGTAACAAGCCCAACCACTCCTCGCCCAACCTCCGCGTAAGACTCTGCTCGCAAAGCACAGTCGCCAAGCGCGTATTTCGGTCCTCGCTGCGCATATTCTTGAGCAAGATGCTGTTCATCTCGCGGTGGTTCTCCATGCTGGATGAGGAAGCGGCGGCGAGATCGGTGATGGTGGTGATAACGTTGTTGGTGTTGTTTTCCGGGGTGGAAGATGAGGCTGAGGGAAGGGAGAGGAGGGAAAGAAGAGGAGGCATCATGGTGCCGAAGTGGGAGGGGGCTTGCCAGAAGCCGTCTTGGTCGTGCTGGAACGATTTTTGAAGCGCAGAGAGGACGGCGGTGCGAGTCGAGACTTCCGTGTCGTTTTTGGCGAGGTGGGTGAGAATTTTAGCGGAAGGCTCGATTATGTAGCTTGAGTAGCTTGTTACAAGGGACTGGATGGGTGTTAGCGGCTGTAGATGGTGAGGGTCTGGAATGATGCATACCTTGAATTTGTCGAAGAAAGCTGCAAGGAACTTGTAGAAGGTGATGGCGCGTTGAGGCTTGGCGGGCAATGGGCCTTCTTGGTCTACAAGCTGCACGAAGAAAGGTCGGAATGTGGCGTCACTGAGCTTGAGAACCATCGCGATGACTGATTCAATCAGCGTTGCTTCGAGTTGCTCAGTTTCTTCCTCGTCAATCTCTTCTTCAGTCTCCGATTGGAGAGTGTCTCGCATACGGAATGTTTGCAGGAACAAGCTGAATAGTGGCGAGCTCGCCTTGACAAGTTTGGCCTTGGTCTGAGCATTGATAGTGGACTGCAAAAGTTGGAGCTGTTCGAACAAGGCGTCGAAACCTTGGGAGGCGGCATTTGACCACGTCGCCTTGATAGAAGAAAAGACTTCTTGTCCACTGAGATGCTGCGATACACTCTGGTAGAAGCTAGCGCGGGTTTCATCGCAAGCATCCTCCAGGTCAGCAGCAGCAGAACGTTGAGACAACCGCAAAGCGGTATCCAAGTACTCCCGCGAGAAGATATATCCCAGACGGTCGACAATGTTTGCAAGCAGAGTAAATACAGCATTGTGAAGGCCAGCCTTTTCTTCATCAATCGCGTTCGACAAGTACTCAAACGCAATGGGAACGATTGTAGGTAGTAGCGAGATGGCCTCATCCTCAAGAACGTCAATGACAGATGTCAGACAGATCAAAGACAAGATGCGGATTCTGTCGTCGCTGCTTGATAACGATTCAGAGCCGGCAATGGTTTGAGCCACCGAGGATACAGCAGATACATCCTTCTTGCCGAAGCGCTCAATAATGCGATCGATGCAGCTGACCGAGACCATCTTCGCATCCATCTCAGATGTCTGTTGCAGAAGCGTCTGAACGTTAGGCAAGAAAGAGATGAGTGCTTCTACAGACTTGCGATCATTCTGTTTGGCAGAGCCCGCTCGAAGCTCGACTGACTTGATTGCAGCGACCTGCACATGAGAGTCTGTGCTGGAGAGGAGCAACTCAGCAGACTTGATGAGATCGGTCGTCGGCAAAAGATCCAGACAACTGGCGAGAACACGGCTGCATCCTGCATACGTCTTTGAGTTCGACGCCAGTTTCTTGGAAAGATGGATGGTGGTTTCGATAATGTCTGCAAAGATCCTTCGTGGCCTTTCCGGGTCGTCCTTCTTTCGGTACGCTCTGGTGACGTGTGCCTTTACCTTGTCGTCCAGGGCCAGATCGGTCAAGCATGTAAACATGCTTTGGATTCCCGAATCAAACTTGTTCTCCTTTGCCTTTTCCTTCAGTCCAAAGAGTGTCTCTGCGACCTGTGGTTTCGGTCCGGTGGCATCGGTGAGAAGATCAAGGTAACCCTTAAAAGTGACCAGGGTGTTGATAGGATCGAAGTAAAGCAATAAGTCTGCGCAGAACCTTCGTTGCTCCTTGCTATGGTACCGGTCGGCGAGTAGAGCAACAATAGCCGGGAGAGAGTCTTCGGGGCCCAATGTGCGAGCTAACTCCGCAAACAGCTTCATTCTTCTGTGTAAGGGAATGTGTTCAAACGCTGCAGTAAAACTGAGCAGCAAGTCCGAAACTCCAGCAATGAAGTCCCTGTGCTTTGAGCGAAGCGAAGCAGCCAGTTGCGGTACGACGCGGGAGATTGTCTTATCAACGACCTGAGCTGAGTAGTCATCGTGCTGTCGAAGCAGAGTAGATCCGATAAAAGTGAAGATAGGCATGAGGTTGTGCAGAATAAGATCAGGAACCCAGGAAGCGAGGTTCGAAATCAAGAGCAGGGCGCTATTCTGCACTTGTGGGCTAGAGGAGTGTCGGATGCAGTCGATCAAAAGATCTGCGCGTACTGCTGACTGGTATTCGGCAGTGTCTGGCATCTCCTTGAGTGTCTTAACAATGGGACTTAACGAACCGAGGATGATACTCTGCAGGTACACCAATTCAGATTCCGACTGCTGCTTAAGCGGTTGCATTTCAGCAAAGATGCCGAAAAGGCTCTTGAAAAGCTCTGGATGCTGCCCTGGATTAGATCCTTCGACCAACTCGAGTACCAATGTGAGTCTTCGAAGAAGTCTTTGAACGTCATCTTGAGAAGAGAGCTCGACTCGTGCCATTTCGCTTCTGCTAGTCCGTCTACGCTTCGCTGATGGTGGTCCTCCGGGCATCGCAGTGGGCGAGGGAACGCTGTCCAAGAAAGTAACAAGTATTTCGGAGTCAAGATTGACGTTGCGTAGGATCTCTATAGATTGTTCTCTGCAAAGCTTGTCGAAAGAGCCATCGCTCTCGCTCAAAGCCAAGCCCAGCATGCATTGGGCAAGGGAGTGTCGAGATTCAGATCGGAAAGCAGACCATGAAGCCTGAATCCGACCGAAAGCAGCTACTACCAACACTTCCCGCTCTTTGTTGAGTGTTCCAGAGATGATATCCTCCAACAATTGAGTACTCTTTGCCTCCCTGGGTATTATTGCAGCGAGGTGCGAGCGCTCGGCATCATCAAGGGAGATGGCTTCACTGTTGCACTGGTTTGCAACAGCATCAATTGGAAGACCACACCATTCGTTCAACAATGGAAGCACGAAGTTGGTGCGGACCGTGTCTGAGACCTTTCCACGAATGTTGAACATTGGCAGCAAACACAACCGGACTCTCAGCAAGGGCGTACAACCGGCGTGACTTGCGAAGAAGCTGAGTATAGCCGTTCGTGTTTGCATTTTGATATTTTGTTTAGGTTGGTTCTGCGACTGCGTTCCCTCGAGGACACTTCGGAGCGCAGGGATGATGAAATGTGAATCCATAACGCACTCCTCAAGCATTGGCTGGAGCATTGAGACAATAAAGATGTATACATCTTCAGGCTTCAGCTCCGAGATGTTCTTAGAAGCTTTACCGTACACGTCAGTCTTGCCCCACGACTGAGCTTTTGATCTTGCAGAGGCCTTTCGGGTCAAAAGACTGATGCAAGCAGCAGTAGACCGTCGAATGAGAGGGGAGGGGTCGGCGAGCGCATGGACAAAGTACGGTAAAAGGTTCTGCAGGGTATGAGCAACCTCTGACTTCTCGAATGACAAGGCGGCAGCGCGTAGAGCGGCGATACGAGCGGCAACCGGGCGGTTACTAGTCCAGACACGGGCAAGGAAGGATAGATAACGCGTTTGTTGAAGTGCAGCTCCCTGGTGCAGTACATCAGAGGCAAGAAATGGTTTAGCCTGTTTGGTCAATACTGCCTGCTCAAAAGCATGAGCAGCCTTGGCGAATTCTTTTTCTGATCCTGCATCGAGGAAGCTGGGAACCGTAATCTCTGGCACTTCTACAACGGGCTTTTCAGTGGCCTCGTCAACATCAACCATCTCTTCGTCAGAATCCATTTCTTGGATACTCTCAATTTCGAAAGTTTGTGCAATGGTCAGTCCGAGGGATTCCAAATCGACATTGTTCTGCTTTGCCGCATCCTGCAGCATGGATGACAGGTCCTTCGATTCGACTAGTTTGGTGGCAACCTGAAGTAACTCTCCATGCGTCTCAGAGCCTGGCGCACTGTCGCGCAGAAGTTGGGCTACTGCTGATAGTACGATTTGAATGCGGGACTTGCTGATCAGACCCGATGCGATAAGCTCATGGAAGATGGCATGGTTTTCCTCTGAGCTGACGTTGAGCGCGCCGAGCGCGCAGCCTAGTACAAGACGCTCAGCCTGACACTGCTCAGATACATTCTTGAGCCTTTGCACAAGTTGTGGCACCCTGAGGAGCTTTTTTGCAACCTTGGTCGGCAGCTGTGCCTTTGAGCGTTCGTTTGCGATGATCGCCAAGCAGCCTAGGCAGGATTGAAGTGATGTTTCGTCATGAGCTGCAATCACAGCCTCCATCAGACCATCTAAAACCTTGTCTCCGACCTTTGCCTGGTTCACCAACATGATGACGATGGCGTAGCAGGCTAGTACAGTGTCGGCTCCATTCTTGGCATGCATGCAGCTGTTGAGAACTGGAAGTAGATCCAGAACCAGCTTCTCAGTACTCTGGTCTTGGAGATGTTTTTTGCCGGAATTTGAGTTGCTCAGTATGCCGTAGATTGCCTCAACGGTGATTCCAGACCAGAAGGACAGCATGTGAGCAGCCTGGTGGCCTGCCTCCACTACCTTGGCGACATATGCATGGTAAGCCTTGAAGAATTGGGGCGTATTAATGGCTGTGTAGGCAATGGTTCGCTGGGGTACATTTGTGGGGGCCTGGATGTAAGGGAAGAGGAAGCGGATGGCATGCGATGGCTGCGGGGGTAGGATGGACAGCAGGGCGAGGAATTGGGGCGTGTTATGGTAAGGTAGGTAGGTGAAGACAAGGCATTCGGTGTTGTATTCATGGATGCTGTTTGCAATTAGCTATGCCAACAGCGCAAGCTTGTGCAGGCGAGATGGTGCTATTAAACGTACCGGAATCGCCTCACAAGCCACTCGAGGGCCTTCTCTGCTGGCTTGAGCAGCAATCGGGGGCCGACCAGCGTGATGAAAGCCTCAAGCGCAATATCAAGCTTAGAATTCTCATCCTTAGTCATTTGGGTGCGGTCTTCGGCTTTGCTCTGCTCGCTGAAGAGATTCTTGGAGAAGCACAAAAACCTCGAATCAAGCGCGCACAGCTCCCGATAGCCCTCGTAGCATATTAAATAGACATTTTCAAATGACTGCGATGCGGCGATCTTGGGTTCGAATAGCAGAGATTTGCCATGTGCCGCTTTCTGCGCGCGCAGGTCGAGCTGGTGGGTGCTCGAGGCCGCGATGGTCGCGAGCTGTTTCTGAAGCGCCGTCGCCATTTCTGGGAATTTTTCGTGTCGCACAAGATATCAACGTTTTTTTTCGAAAATCCCAGAAGCCATAAGACACTGCGAAATAGTGTGGAGGTTGTCGTGGCGGGTTGGATGGGAAAGCTTGAGGATGGTGATGCGCATTCAAAATTTCGAGACGGACCATTTGCAAGATTTCACGCTAGTGGGTTTTTACGGCGGGCCGCTTCAACCACATGCGCCATCGGACTCCCGAGACACGTGCTACCTGCCCTTCATTACACACAGCCCTCCGTCCTAGGTATCAGGTGTTCACAGCATCCACAACTTCTTCCAGGAAAACGAAATGAATTTGGCATTGAAGTGGTAGCCTCGCGTCGGATTTGCACCATCACTCGACTCATGCTGCATCTCTCGCACCCTTCATCGTGACTACAACAAGAGCACCATGACATTAGCTTGTGTTGTCTCTCAGTATTGAAGGATTTCGTTAGATGCTCACTTCTTACAATGAATGCGAACACCTCGAGTTTCGCGAGCTTCCGGCCAAAGCCCAAGCCCGCTCAGGAACTATCCAAGGAACCCCAACAACATGGCAAATCTGATCAGACATCGAAAGAAAAGGATCGGCACAGAAGAACTTCGAAATCACCAAGCCGACAGATCCGGGAAAAAGACGCATCTGCAAACAAGCCCTATTTCAGCGATCGGCGGGGAGATGCGGACGTATTACGATATGGTACCTTGAACCGTTATGAAATTCCACCTTACCGTCGCTATGGCCATGGATTCGTCTTGGGTCTTTCATTGCGGCAGAAGATTGACCGAGAATTATCTACGGACAAGAAGATATATGTATCGCCTGCTACGCGCCGACGTCAACAGCGTCTGCTCACAGAAAAATCTACAAAGCGGTCAGGTGAACGTACGCTGCGTCTAGTAAAGGCCGGCGGCAATGCCTCAGATCTCAACCGAGACTTTGTGCTCTTGTCTGCAACCAGCAAAAGGAAGCGCCCTGACAGTGATGATGATGATGATGACGATGACGACGACGACGACGACGACGAAGGAACACTACAATTTGACTATCGAGGAATAGAAGAGCCAAAACCTGCCGAGCCAACTGACCCAGATACGCAATATGAGTCTGATGTTGATGTTACATTTGATGCTGAAGTCGCCCGCACCAACTCGAGACTCGCGCGGCACACCAAAGAGCACCCTGAAGATGTCTCAGGATGGCTGGCGCTGGTTGCTCATCAGGAGGCCATGCTGAAGCTTGAGCGGCCATCTGCTGAGTTGACAGTTTCTGACAAAACCCATCTTGCTGATATACGCATCGATATATACGGGGAAGCCCTCAAGAAGATCGGTAAAGACCCTGAGAGCCAGCTACAACTCTACAAAGGGCTATTGAAAGAGGCTGAGAGAGCATGGGAAGGCGCCAAGCTGGCTAGTAAATGGAAGGACGTTCTCGCAAAACATCCAGAAAGCGTCGAATTGTGGATGATGTATCTCGACTTTGTACAGTCGCGATTCACAACTTTCAAGTATGAGGATTGCCGAGCTGTCTTCTTCAAGTGCATCGAAACTCTTAGTGCAAGTACACAAAAAATTCCACCTACGAGCATGCTGCACATAATACTGCGCCTTACATCCATGACATATGAAGCCGGATACCAAGAGCTTTCGGTAGCAATCTGGCAAGCTTTGCTTGAATTCCGTATTCTACGGCCCGCAGAGAATGCGACCATTGAAGCATTTGAGACGTTCTGGGATGGTGAGGTATCACGCATTGGCGAGCCACAAGCAAAAGGGTGGAAGCAATACAGTCCAGCAGACGAGGCTGCATCGCTTGGGTTTGCTCCTTTACTGGAGAGGAACCATTCGGACTCGTTCTTTGAAGATTTCGAAAGACGCGAACCGGAAGCGACAAAACGACTCGTGATACCAGGCCGCACGTCTGACGACATAGCAGAGGATGATGCTTTCCATACCATTCTCTTCGATGACATAGCACCATACCTAAAGCTTGTTCCAGAACATGTACCGGTAGGAATGCTTGTGGAGGCCTTTCTATGCTTTTGCGGACTACCTCCGATACCAAAGTCGGGCGCGCATCAGCAAAGCTGGTGGTCCGATCCATTTCTGCAACACCACTGGCCATCGTCTCCCCTCAGTGGACAGGAATCTTCCAACTTTATACAAACGCTCGAGCACTTCTCGAATTGCCCGTCGAAAAGTTTTCAGATGACAACTGAGCTTTTGTTCGACCAAAGTTTCTCTACCAGTAGCATCGGACTAGATACTGATTTCATCAGACGACTGCTCAAACTCGTAGCCTCGGATCGATCGAGTGAAGATGTCTTTGGGGAGTATCTTCTTGCGTTTGAACTTCGGCACTACCCTAATGAAGCTTTCAAAACAGCAAAGCGACTGCTGAAGGCTCGGCCATCAAGCTTGTGCCTATACAATGCTTATGGATTGGTTGAATCTCGGCTTGGAAACTCGGACAAAGCAGACCAAGTATTCCGCACAGTGCTTGCTATGCAAGCAGCCAAATCAGAGAATTTAACTCCTCAAGTATTGGAACTCCTCGACAGCTGGGTCTGGGATGCTCTTCGTAGAGGAGAAAGAAACATTGCACTATGGCGACTTGTCTCGCTGCAGGGCAACCTTCTCGCCGAAACTGCACAATCGCAACCCGACGAGACTCTCGTAAACAGTCTTCGTACAAGACTCGCCGAGATCAGCGAGCAAGCCCTACTCGCCCAAGACCACACAACCGCAATCCTCAGTACCTCCCTCTCCACCCTCCTCATCTACCTCACAAGCTCCTACGACGCCTCTCGCGCCCTAAACCTCCACTCCCACCTCTCAATCTGGTTCAACTCCCACGGCGCCACGCACTCCCCCTCAGCCGAACTCCACGCACAATTCATATCCCGCCTCCTCACCTTCCACACTGCCCACGCCCCCATCGTCAAACCCGCCCTCACTCGCTCAACCCTCGAGCCCCTTCTCGCCCGCTTCCCAGACAACACCCTCCTGCTCTCCCTCTACGCCGCAAACGAATCCCGCTTCTCAATCGACGACCGCGTCCGCGGCGTAATGCAGCATACCGCGCTCCAGCGCACCGAAGAACGTAGCATAGCTGGCTGGGCTTTTGCGATTCACTATGAGATGCGAAGGGGGGAGGTTGCGGGCTCGACGGAGCATTCCATACGTGCGCTGTATAAACGCGCAGTTGAATCTAGCGGGAAGCATTGTCCTGCGCTATGGAAAGCGTATATCAATTTCGAAGTCGCGCAGCTACGGCGTCTGCAGAAATCGAGACAGATAAGGAATAAGAAACCACGGAGAGATGGCAAAAAGAGCAAAGCAGAGACTCGAGTAGAAGAAGCGAAGCAGAGGGTTAAAGATACGTTTTACGCGGGTTTACGCAATTTGCCTTGGTGCAAGGATGTTGCTATGCTCGCTTTTGGGGATGCAAAGGATGTTTTTGAAGACGAAGAGAAGTGGAGGGTCTGCAGGGTTTTGGTGGAGAAGGAGATGAGGGTTTTTGTTGAGGTGGATGATGATGAGGCTTGGGGGGTTGCGAGGGAGCGGGGGTGGACGGTGTGAGGGTGATGTATGTATGTAATCCTGTCGCATTTTGTCACATTTTGAAAAGTCATTTTCGATCGTATTGTACCAGCTTAATACTAGCGATATCATGCGAAATATGCGAAAAGGTGGTTATATGCAAAGTAACAAGGAGAGAATGTTGGCACCAAGGTTTGTTGAGCTACGTTTCCCTTTGTGGAAGCAGTGATGCGCAGATGGTGTTGAGCTTTGAATCATGTATTGGACTTCGGTACAGCTGTGGCGTTTTAGTGCAAGTGCAAAGTCAGTGACGATGGATAATGACTTGAGGTATAGTAAGGGGTTTGTCAAATGCCAGAATTCTGAGGGGAATGATAAGGAGAAAAGAGGTGAGGCTAGAGATCAAGCACACAAGTATGGGGGTAGTTTAGAACCGGGTAACTAAATTTGCAAAGGAAGATATCGGTATTGGAATTAATTCCTCATTTATCTAGCGCATCAGCATGGTGCTGTTCTAGATCGATTCTATGAGATCGCATAATCGAAGCCGTTCACTCTTAACAGCCGACCACGCACACCGAACGAACTATCCCATTCCTTCATGTAGCTATCATCAAAAGCCCTTCCACCCACACTCGAAGACCCGTTTCCATCCGTTCGCCATTTGCTCCCAGTCCGCATCGTTCAGGTCCTGGCACCACAAATCCGACGGCTCTAGAAGTGACTTCAGATTCAGCCAGCCACATTCGAGATCACACACTGAGACCATGAAAAATTCGCTTTCAGTGAAAGTTTCGGTAGTCATATAAGGCCTGCATACACCGCCATTGAAGCGTTTGCAGCCTGGCATGTCCTTTTTGATAGAGAAGTTCACAACACACTTGTTGACATCGTGGGGGTTGGAGACAGTCATGTCAACTCCGAAAGGCATCATGTGCTCCAAGGGACGATTGACCGACTTGATGTAGTCTTTCATCTCCTTCATGTCGTTACCGTGGACGTTGTGCTCGCCAGCGTGGTTGCCGTTGGGGTCGTACAGCTTCCAGTTGACCTCGGAGTAGTCGTTGAACATGTACTGGTTGATTTTCACCTTCCAGTGTCCGAATTTGTCCATAGGGTCATGGCTGGGGCCAGGCGGCGCAAACGAGGTCTTGGTTGTTGTGGGTGACGAAAATGAGGTCTTGGAAGGAACCATGCTAGTCGTGTTGCTAGCGAAGGTTTTAGACGTGTGAAATGGATCATTGGGGCTGTTGTCCCCTTCGTCGTCATCCAGAGACAATGGAGCTCGAGTGCAGGCAGGGCCATTTAAGCTGGCCGTATTGGTGCCGGTCTGCGTCGTTGTTGTGTCAAATCCGGGCATAGCACCACCACACATGGTCACCGTAGCATCGATCATGGGCAAGCAGAGCGAAGAAACCATTGTCGAAGTAGTTCCTCGAAGGCTCGATGGAAGGGCAGAAACATTGAATCCCTCAGTACACCATACGAAGCGTTCGGTGATTACCGTCCTCTTGCTGTCGTCACAGTCTTCTGGGTCAGGTCGATTCGGTGGCTTCGTCGGTGCTGGCCCAGGTTTGGGTCCGCAACCACCAGAGATTGTACAGCCAGGGCGACTGCAAATATCTGAAGGACAAGGTTCGCATCCTCCTCCTGGACAATACCCATCGTAACCGATAAGACCCGATGGTTGTGTGCCAGGGCATCCGAAGAAAACACAAGGGTTACAGCCGAAAAGACCGCAGGGAGAAGTGATTTCGACCTCTAGTCCTGGGCATCCGGGTCCAAAAGAAAGGCCCATCCAGCCGCAACCACAACCGAAGAGCTTACACTTAGGATTCTTCTCCTTTGGACGAGATTTTGGCTTGGGCTTGACCTTGGGGTCGTCGCGGTCGCTGTCGCTGGGACTGTCGCTCTCACCATCCTTGTCACACTTTTTGGGAACGCATGGGCAGATGGGCCGCTTGAACATGAAGAACGTGACAGTACGCCACACCGCACATTCCGCAACGCAGTTGTTTGGCTTGCAGTCTGGGTCACTGTCCGAGTGCGAATCCGGATCACCGTCATGGTGCTCGATATTTCCAGTAGGCGATGGCTTTGCAGAGCTGGAAGTGGAACTGACGATAACAATCGGTAGGACAGTGCTGGCTTTGGATGGTACGATGCCGGTGGGGGTGTTGCTAACCACAGCGGAAGTTGGAGGACGAGTGGCTGTCTCGCCACCGGAAGACTGCATTGGTGAGCTTCTTGGAGGCGAAGAGGAGATAATCAGGCTCGAGCTGCTGTTGGGAGACGACTGGACTGCTGAACTGCCAGGGGGAGGCGGGATCCAGGATGGGACCTGGCTCGAACCACTTGGGAAACCTGCCCACGAACTACTCGCAATGGAAGATGACCCGACTTGAGTGATGGGCGTTGTTGAAGGCGTAGCTCCACTTGGAACGATGGGGACGACAGGGACTATTGCCGTGACAGAAGGCCTTGTAGAGCTACCCGACCAAACAGCAGAAGACCCAGCACCAGATGAGCCAGAATGCGAAGAACTTGGGGCCGATATGCTGGCCGCTGAAGTGATACTACTCCAAGGTCCAGAAGAAACCATAACCGAGCTTCCCAGTATGGTAGTTCCAGGTCCCGTCCATGTAGTTGAATGTGATCCAGACTGGGATGGAGGCTGACTCTGAGATAGCGATGGTGATGCCGACAGAGATGGCAATGGCGACGGCAATGGCAGTAGAGACAATGATGAGGCTGGAGCTGGAGATGGCGATGGCGATAGAGATGTCGGTCCTGGTATCTGCATTGATAACGAGACATCAGGATGACTCAATGTGGATCCGGATGTTGGTAGGCTGCTCCAAACAGCGGAAGATGGGGTAGGAGATCCTTGCGATGAAGGGTGTCCAGACGCAGAGGGCGCAACAGAAGGAGAATTCTGGCCAATTGAGCTGTTGGGTGGCTGGGGTGCAATTGGACCCTGCGTGGAGGCAATCGATGATAGTATAGAAGACGAGGCAGGGTTCGCAGACGCTGTTGGAGCGGACGATGGAAGGCCAGGCTGAGTGGGGGACGGAATACGAGATGGAGAAGAAGACGGAAGGCTGGGCTGAGCAGAGGGTGGGAGACCGGGTTGAGCAGATGATGGCAGACTGCACTTGGGAGCATCACGGCCAACGAGTGAGTGATTTTCGAAGTAGGCCTCGATGATCTCAAGGGCGGGTGGGAAGTCGATGGTGCGGGAGCTGCTAGCAGAGCAGCCCACCAGCAGCGCAAACAGCGCAATGATAAATAGACGCATTGGGATGACTGCTGCGTGGATCGAAGTCAAGGAAGAAGAAAGGTCAATCAGGATCAAGAGAAGAAGTTGACCAGTGTATTGGGAGAAGTTGTGGGAGAAATATCGGGAGGGGTGGGAGCGGTACATATATTGGTAGGAAAGTGGGCTAAAAGCCGCTAGCAAGTGAAAGTGATAGTTGGGCGCCAGGAAAGCGCGACTGGATGAGAGTGAATGTACTTATGCGGATAGTAATGCCACGCGGCCGACCCTCCTTGTCTAGGTGGTACAGCTATTGGAAGACTTTTTCAAGACTTGCTGTGCGAGTATTCGGTTTTCCACGTTCATGCACATGATAATTGGTAGACAGATCGAGTTTTCTGGAGTCTCCGCATTGCCATTGGGATCGGTGACGGGGACCGATTGGTATGTCTGGTGTTTGCTGGTATCGCGCAAGACTAGATAAGGCAAATGTGCCCTCTTTCACTCTGAGATATTGCACCCATGAAATTGACCAAAAGCTGCGACCACTCCTTGGTAACTTTGCATGGACTGATCCTTAACATGCCACATGGCGTTATACAGTATTCTGACAACCCTGGAAGTGGATGGAGGAACTGTTGGGTGGAAATCCTATCGTTTTCGAAAAACAATAGCAAAAAAAGTATGAAACAAACCCCGAAATCCTTAGCATACCCATCTGCAGTTATGTTGATATATAAGACAGTGATATATTGAGTGTTTGAGGCATTTAAAGGTTCGAGTTTGTTCTAATTGTATGACTTTTATGCTTTTATGCAACAGCAGTAGGTGTAACATTATGTTTGCTAATACAGAAAACAGTTCTTTCCTCAGCGACAAACTTTATCCACTTGAGAGCAATCATACCATAGACAAACGCGTTCCTCGTTTGAAGGTTGCACGTTTGCTTCGGATTATTAAGGTCATGCGAATTGAGTGCTAATGTAAGCTACCGAGACAGAATGATAGCCTGCTTGATGTTAGATTCCAACGTAAATGTTCGAGGTTAGACAAAAGGACGACGTCGAAGTCGAGACCGCAGGGTGATGTCGGCCTGGCAGTGCGGCGGCCCCGCTGTTGGTGACGCGCTACAAACGCGCTAAATTCTGAAAGTCCTTCACGTGATTGATTGGCCAACGGCGGGGCAATCGTTCTCAATTCGCTGTATCCGGCATCAAACATATTGTACGAGCGACATACAACATGCCTTGTGTAAATCTGCTCTCGGTAATGTTTGCAATGGGATATAGCAAATTGTACTGGCAAGATGCAAATTCTCAATCAGAGCCACTATAGAAGCCGATCAACAAGACGGCGTCTGGTATTTCAGCTCTGGGCGAGCTAGATTTGTAAGAATCAGTCTTATTGTATTGTCTTGCTGAATTTCTTCCGCGCTATCATCCCAACCCAGGACTAGGACGCACAGCGCACACATTCCACTATCAGACCATGTCTTGGCATGTTCCTGCATGGCGGGGTCGCGCTAACGTCATTTACTAGTCTTTCGATCTCGACTCTGTCTACTGTACGCCACCATCGTATCTCATGAGTTTATATTCTTGAGCACCACCAACATGGCGCACTCGCCTCCTGCTGGCGGTGTACCAGGCGTCATGATGCCACCACGTCTCTCCATAGAGCTCGACCGTACCGATCCCGGCGTCCCTTTCCGTGCATCCCACTCCCACATTCACCACACATGGGCCCGAACCTTCCACTCGCGACCGGAGCTCTACATCCGCCCCCAGAGTCTCGAGGAGGTTCAGAAAGTCGTCAATCTCGCACGTCGCATGCGGAGACGGGTTGTCACCGTAGGATGTGGACATTCGCCTTCAGACCTAACATGTACCTCATCATGGATGATCAATCTTGATGACTTCAACCAGGTCTTGAAGGTCCACAAGGAGCGCAAAACAATGACAGTTCAGGCTGGAATACGCATGCACAACTTGAATCTGCAGGCAAAATCTTACGGTTTGACCATGCCAAACTTGGGCTCTATCGACGTTCAGTCTCTAGCCGGAGCCATTGGCACAGCGACGCATGGTAGCTCATATAGCCATGGACTACTCTCAGACCGCGTTCAGAGTTTGCGCATAGTACTGGCCAATGGGCAAGCTGTTCGTTGTTCTCCCCAACAATCCCCCGACCTCTTCCGAGCTGCATTGGTATCCTTGGGTGCATTGGGTATAATTGTCGAGATCGAATTCCAGATGGTCGAGGCGAACAATGTTGAATGGGTGCAGACCATTCGACCTATTGAAGATGTCTTGGCAGACTGGAACAACGGGCTGTGGACTTCCAATGAATTCGTCAGAGTATGGTGGCTACCGTATATGAAACGCGCGGTTGTATGGCGTGCAGACAAGACCAAAAAAGCCCACCGCGCACCCGAATACAACTGGTACGGCGGTAGTGTTGGCTATCATACCTACCACATCTTACTCTGGATATCGCAATGCGTCCCACGTTTCCTGCCCTGGGTAGAATGGTTTGTCTTCGGCATGCAGTATGGTTTCAAAGATGGGGCCGTCATCTCTGCTGTCGGCGAACAACGTACCGAACTCCTCATGAACTGTCTCTACTCTCAGTTCGTCAACGAATGGAGCATCCCTCTCGAGAAAGGTCCTGAAGTCTTGACTCGCATCACAAACTGGCTCCACGGTGATGAGAAATCTTCTGGCCTCCCATTCAGCACCAAAGGCCTGTACGTCCACTCGCCTATTGAAGTCCGCATCGCAAACACTGTCGACCGTGAGCCGCGTCCATACCTTGACACATCCTATGCGCATACACCTTCCCTGTATCTTAATGCCACACTGTATCGTCCCTATGGCCAGGATCCCCCTTGCAAAGAACGCTATTATGAAGCTTTTGAGCACTTGATGAAAGAATACAATGGCCGACCTCATTGGGCAAAGAACTTCCAATCCGTTGATTACGCGTATCTCTCGTCGGCGTACGGTGACGACCTTGACGAATACAATCGTGTCCGCAACGAAGTTGATCCTGAAGGCATGTTCCTCGGTGCTTGGCACCGCCGCACCGTTCTACCACCCAAGGCTGATCTGCCTTTGCTGCCTCTCGAAGAGAAGGAAGTCTTACGCCGAAGTCGCCGTACAGGTGGTGTTGACTGGATCGGTGAGCAGGCACGTTGGTTCGATGGTGGTCTTGACGTTTTTGAAAAGGCAGGCAGTGAGTCTGGCGAAAGCTTCGACCTCATGGCCGAGGCTGAGGCGCAAAATAGCGTATTATTGGAAGGACTAACTGATGAGTTCATTGTCACCGAGGACAGTTATAACATGGAGACTGAAGGCAGGATGAGAGAGGGCACGGAACAATATATGACTGGAACGAATGTCTTTAACAAAATGTAAAGTTGCCAAACAAGAGTAGTATGCTGTTGCTGGTTAGTAGATGAGAGGAGAAAACCGCTCAGTCAGCACACATGTGTTAGCTACGTCGAACTCATACCAGCATTCTATGGCTACTGGACTAAGACGGTCTGCAATACAAGTCTCCATGAGTCAGCTATACACAAAACGATCGTCAAGGCACCCCTGTGAAATCAACACATTAGTGCGCCTACTGGGGCAAAGTGCTATTGCGCCATCATCATGCTAGCTACTTCATGATTTTCGTTTTCTACCTCACTTAGATTCTAGCTGCTTTTGCTGCAGCATGATACCATGCTCAAATACTCCAAAAAAAAAGAACAAATTCGAGAACGGAATATTTTATAGCGAGTGAATTGACATGTTTCTAGGTACAGTAACTCGAACGCATCGCTCTTTCTCCAATTTGCTCACAACTATCCGAGGCACTATTCTTGTCTGATCTCGTCTGCTAGTTGCTCGCTCCACAGACAACAACTCCTCTACTGAGTCTGCACGTAGATGTCAGAGCTTCCGGAAGACTGGTAACCCTCAGTGGCGACGATCTGGTAGTAGTGTTGACCAAGGTTCAAGCCATAGCGAGACCAAGCGTTGAAGTGGTTCTGCATGTTCACGCTTCCACCGACACGCTTCTGTTGGCGGACAGACCTATCACAATAGTCAGAATCTACGCTTCTGTTGAATCAAACACCAAAATGACTTACCAATACTGCTGAAAGGTCCTTGTTCCGTCAATGGAGGGCTGGTTGTAACGGGTGGAGACGGCAACGTTGTAAGTACCACCGTCAGTCTGGAAGCTTCCCTTGACCTGGGCTCCACTGCTGGGGTTGTAGGTTCCGTAGGATTCAATTACGTAGTACTCGACAAGCGGGTTGCGGGTCCATCCGTACACAGCGAGGTATCCGTTGCCCTGGGGGTTGAAGGCTCCGCCGTAGTTGATGACACTACGAAGTCACATTAGTAAAATTCTAATCAGCAACCAGTCTTCGCAACCTACCGGCCGGTTCCAGGGTTCCATCCCTTGCCACCAACAAAGTTGCCAGTGTTCCTCCAGGTCACGGAGTACCTGCTGCCCTCACCCATGGTGTACTGGGCAGAGCCGCCGCCATCAGTCCACCACGAGTAGAAGTATCCGTTGTGGTATCCCTCAGAGCTGGGAGTAGACTGACGCTTCTCAAGGAGAGCAGTCGCGTTGCCATCGTCGCGCTCACGAAGGAAGTCGAAGGGAGCAGCGAGGACACTGGTGGTAGCCACAGCGGCGAGAAGCAGAGACTTGAAGGAAACCATCTTGTGTTGAGTGTTGCTGATCTGTGTTGGATGCAGTGATGCTACTGACTGGGAGCAGCTATCAACTTATATCTCTACGCCGAGTAATAGTTGAGCCTGAATCGCAGGATGAAATGATACTGGGGGGTCATGAGGTCTCGTCTCACGTGTTGTCTCTATTCGTGATGGTGTACACATTGGTGGTAGGTTAGAGCCTCTCACTTCGACAACCTCGCCCTAAGCGGCGGCCACAATGACCAAGTCGAGACACATAGGGAACATGCACCGATCGGCATCCAGTTTCGGTAGCAACAGCCACCACGGGGTGATCAAAAAGATCCGTAGCCCTTGCGTAAATCTGCATAACATAATTAAAAGAACATCGCTCTACCCGGGTTTTACGCGCTGTTTGAACCGGGTTTCGAGGACGTTAATATAAAGGAACGCCACAGAAATAAGTGCAGACACCCTACCCCACACTCCCCATATGCTTTCACAGCCCAAGAAGGACTTCAATCGGGCTAAACATGCATAGACGATGAATCGATCAGGGGTAGTATCACACGTGACAGGACACAGAAGGCTCTAGGCGGGAAATCTCGGCAATCTTTCAGTTTACCACCGGTTGAACACGTCCTGCCAAGATATATAGGAGCCGGTACTTCTACCGTTTCCACTATGACACGCCAAGCGCGGTGGATATCTTGGGCGGAGGTGAGACGTGGAGTGCAGAAGTGGGTCGGCATGTGGGTGAGAGAACGGAGAAAAGGATATGCCCAAACTGAACAGATAAGACAACAAATTCCATAGCCATCGGGAATTGTGCAGAATCGCACATGGCGTGGTTGGAGACTGTCTTCAATCCTCCAAGACGTTATCCGGATATCCAACTCGTTTGGGAAGGTTCAGAAGCACTGTCGACACTAGACCACTATACTTAGGTTAACTATAGGAGGACGTCATCCAGACTACTGCACCCCGGTTCCACGCCAAGATCGGGCGGCTCCACACCCACCGACATGGTGTGTGTGGGCGAACTTAGAAATTAGCCTGTGCTAGTAGTCGACCACAACAGGTCACCTTACGGACTATTGGAACCATCGGACCATTTTTTGCCTCATGAATTCCATCTGACGACACATGTAAAATCTCATTGCTCCAAATATGCCAAGATGCATTATCTTTAAAATTGCACTAAAGAAAGATACCTCAGGAAATTATAGCTAACTAAAAGAGCGGGTCCTGTGTCACCATCTTTGTCCGGAGACTCGGCAACAACAAAAGATTTAAAGTTTCAGGGAAAAAAAGGAGGAAAACGCACGGAGCGAATCAGGGTGTGTGTGTGGAGACGTGGTAACATAATGCATTACCATATAGGAACAAAGGTAAAAGAAAAGAAATTCAAAATCACAAAATCACAAGAAAGGTAAGCTCTACGTGCAGAAAACAGGGACCAGGTTCCAAAAATTCTTGCTGAATAAGGGGATCCAGTATTGATTTCTGTCCCTCTCCGTCTCTCTTCCGGGTACAAACTCCGTTTCTTGATCAAAATTCCTCGCGCCACTTTCCACGTTTTGTGACAAAGAAAAAAATCCATATCCCAGTCCCACGTTTTTTCCTGCGCTGTGGAACCTCGAGACCAATAGGCGGCAAAGTTGGATATATCCCGCATCTTACGACTCGATTTCAATAACTTCAACGTGGTTCGCCCAGCAGGCTGCCCTTGCTAACCGACTTGAACTTTTATTTTTGTATTTGTGTTTAACCGGCTCGACTGAAGTAGTGGCGTGTCACTTTTGCCAGATGAGGCAGTGCAGTTGGAGCTTGAGTTTGATTCGATGGGAGGCGGTATGGTATGCTTCGCCTGCGGTTCCTGCGACTCAAGTATGAGTCTGGACGATGAAGTATGTCTTTTGGAGATTCTTCATCGCTTCATCGCGATCTCGCAAGGAGGTGATTGTTTGACGCCAACGAGATTAATCATCTTGAGCAAGTTTCCCCTCGAAGCTCCCCTTTTTCTTCATTTTACAGCGCAGGTGTCAGCTGCTTGCGTGATTATTCTCACCAGGCTTGTCGCCTTGTCTTGTTGGGCAGGCTTTATTGCGATTCGGTCCTGATTGAGTGGCGATAGCGATACAACGACACTGGATGTCTCATCAGTGTCCTCGGATGTACAGTGGGATAATTGAAAAACACTCGCCATCAGACTTCTGCCGTCTTGTCATCATACCAGAAGGGAAACTGTAATCAGCCTTGTAGCCTTGTGACTGAACTGACTGAGACACTATCAGATGGGTTCTCGGTGCCCCTGATGGGTTCGCCCTCAATAGTGGGCAAATCAGAGAGATTATTACGCACATGCCCAAGGACACTAGATATTGGGATATGAAGCTGATATCAGATCATTTTGTAAAGTGATCTACGATACGTGTCGCTCGATCTACTCAATAAGGCAGGTAGGATCAGTATGCTTTCTCACAACTGAAACAAAGGCTTGAGGTTAAGTCGGACCGTTTCTAAGCGTACTCAACAATGAACACTGAACTCTGTTGAGAGAGGGTGCCATAGAGATCACACGAATGCGAAAGACGGCGTTGATTCCGATATCTTTGCAACTATCATGATTCCAGGTTCTATACAAGGTAACTGACACAGTACTCAACACTTCATATCACAAACACGTCTCATGGCGTGTCGTTCTCGAAACGAAGCACCACGAACCATCAGCAGCACGTGACATACGCACGGATTAGACGGGACATCAGCCTTACATCTACATTGAACCAATATACTTTCATATAAAAGAGAACAAAAACACCAACATACCTTATCTAGCTCAAATATCGCTTATCGTCGTAAGTACACCTATTGTTTCATCTGTTCCCTGGGGTCAATAAGTCCCTCGGAGTTGTTGATGACAGAACGGCCCTCGGAGTCTTTGCAGGCATCGGTGTCCGAATGACGAGGATGGGTGGTTGAGTGGCGACATCGGATTTAGCCATGACGGGGGGCCACAAGATGGTTAGTCACGCCACTCATAAATGTTGCTGATGGATGCCCAGATTTCGTTTTTTATGGAGGGGAACACAGCAAACGGTCTTACTTCCGTGCTCAGGTACGAGGGGAGCACTGCGTCTGTAGTCTGATTCCAGATGCGCTGACCCAACTCATGCCACCAGTTGCCAAATTAACGGTACGTACCTTGTTTCCCTACCCTGTACTTCTCTTCGCTATATTCTAATGATACAGTATTTTTATCAGATACTAACACCCCATCCACCGCATCAACATCGAAAATGCGCATCAACAGTCTCCGCGTCGATGCTGTACCTCTAATCACACCGCCGATGCCAGTGCAGTGATCTTCGGCGCACTTACTCCTTACCCCGCGTTTTGATCCATCCCACCGGTGCCAAACTCACCATCTTCCCCCAAGATAAGCGACCCTGATCTACATGTTCACTGCGCTGCGTGCATCTCATCAAAACGCAATCCATTCCGTTTTTTCCCGATCAAACACCCACACTCTTGCTGAGCGTGCTTTACATCCCGTAAGACGAAAGCAATATATTTCCACTTTGAGTATAACTTTCGAATCCTACCAGAGGCTCGGGATTTTGTGGCTTTGGGAAGGAAGGCACACTGCTTTTCTGCTTTAGGTGTTCGTTGCGAATTTCGGACAAAAAGATGTGTGTGTGTACATGGGGCGCGTCGGACTTTGATCTTCTCGTCCAATCCTAAATCCCCCGGGCACTATTTGCTGCTGGGATCGGGATAATGGGAATGGTCAACGCCCCCTTCCCCGTGCGGATGCGCACGACTGGCGTTGTACGAGAATGCGGAGACGACGCGGAGAGCCGAAGAGGGCAAGAAAGATCAAAACGATAGTTCGGTCAGCTTACTTTCCCCGGGTTTTTTTCTTTTCTTCCTTCCTCTCCACTTTACCTTAAATACTGTCGTCGCGCAACGCACTCTGTTCTGTGATAAGAAGGTTGCCAGGTACCCGTGTCAGAGCCATAATAGTCACGTGATTAAACGCTTTCACAGCCCATCTACTTTCCCACATCTTGCACTAAGATTCCCCTGTCTCAAGTTCTCCCTACCTCTTATCCTCATTGATAAATCTTCAAGTCATTGAACAATTGTGCAATTCCAACATCCCCAATACAAACCGTAGCCATGCCCGCCGCAACCCGCACCCTAGAACACGCAGTCCTCCAAGCCCATCGTGCAAAGGGTGTACGCTATCCAACCGCACACCAAAAAGACTGCTTCAAAACTTGGTACTCGTATGCGCTGCGTCAAGGAGAGGCGCAGAAGACGAGTCGCAATGCTATTGAGGAGCATGGGAGGTTGTTGAAGGAGATTAGGGAGCAGGCGCCGGGTGGTAGGACGTATCTTTGATGAGGTAAGGTTTGGTTTCAATATGGGAATATGTTCCAAGCTGACATTGATAGGAAAGATGGTGGTGAAGTTCTGGTTTTGACTTGGGAGATACCGCGCGTAGTTTGTGGTGATTAAGAGGATGGAATTGTATTGTATGTAGTCTACCCAATTTGTCTTGGAGATATCTTTAATCGATGTGTTACTCGCGATTACTCTAACAACATGGCTGTTTTTCAACGAATAGTTATTCGTTTTAATTCTAGCGACTTGTATGACTACACCACGCACATTAACAACCTGTCACAATGAGAAGAACGAAAGGTTTATCCCAGTCTGATACCGCACTCATTTCATGAAGACGGATTTTTTTATTCTTGGCATATCAGATTGAATGTACGAATCATGCAGACAAGACTTACACCAGGGATCCCAATGTTGCAGAGAGCGACGCGGGATGAGCAAGTCCCATTGGGCCGGAGGCTTGTCATCGTGTCATGCAAGAACCCCACTGCGGGATGCCTCGTGTCAATCATTCTGCCGGCGTTTAACGGTATCTAGTATGCCTCGGCAACAACTACCTGATTGACTATAGAACGCCTTTTATACAACTATAATACTTTAACCCCAAGGATAGCCTGTCTATATCTTGACTCTATATAGAACTATATTGAGTTTACTGCCATCGCTATTCACAACACCAGACGAACAAACAAGACGCACGATCAACATGACACCAAGTTTCCGTGACATTGTCGGAATCCCACCGTCCACCGCATCCACCAGCGACTCCGCGCTCATCATCATCGACGCGCAAAATGAATACGTACGTACTCATCCCACTTCCCCTACCTCGCAGCGAAGCAGAACCGCAAACATAACACCAAAAAGGCCTCCGGCAAACTCAAAGTAACCAACGCTGCAGCAAGCGGAAAAGCCATCGCAGACCTCCTCGCTAAATACCGCAAGGCCGGCGGAAAAATAATCCACATCCTGCACAAAGAAGACGACGGCGCCCCCGTATTCACACCTGGAACCCATCTCGCCGATGAATTCCAGGAACTCACAGCACAAGTAACTTGTCCCCTCCCCCCGCTCCATCTTGCGCATTTATCACGGGAAAACTAACCCGCTCCGAAGGCCAACGAACCAACAATCTGGAAACAATACCCCGGCGCCTTTGAGCAGACCACTCTACACGAAACGCTGCAGAGCATGGGTGTCAAGAAGCTTGTTTTAACGGGCTACATGGCGCACGTGTGCGTGTCTACGACTGCGCGCGAGGCGTTCCAGAAGGGATATGAAGTCTTGCTTGCCGAGGAGGCGATTGGGGATCGTGATATTCCCGGGGTGAGTGGGGAGGAGGTGAAGAGGGTGGCGCTGGCCGAGTTGGCGGATGTGTTTGGGACGGTTGTTAGGGTTGGGGATGTGGTGTAGGGGAGGGATGGTAAATGGGGTTTTGTTGAAGGAAGGATGAACTGGATGCCCATTGTGCGAGTCCGTATAGTTGCTGGTTCACACAGAGGGATGAAACGATATCATCATTTTCTACGATCAGTAGACTCAAGTCGCAGTAAAGCTAAACTTTGGTCATGCCCCTAAAGATACGAAGGTTCAAAATGGATGCTGAGATGGATGCAGGTTGAGTGAGACACTACGTATGCATTCACAAGTCTCTTGTTGTGCAAATATGGAATCGACAAAAACACTGGAAAAGTCTGCAAATTCATTAAAGGATTTACTCAAAATAGTCACGCACTGCAGGAACGTGAACGTGAGATTGTCCCCGGATCGGATCATAGAGAGGCGTTATGCCCTTTTTAATATAACTAGCTGATTGCCGCCGCGGATCCTAACTGCATATTCGTCAAGGGAGTCGTACATATCCATCACTTGGTCCAGTACACGCAATAACTAAATTCCACGATATTGCAACATCAAAAAAACTCTACCTAGTCCTCCTTCATCATGAACTAAGCATCTCTGTACAACCCTCCTCCCTTCCAACCCCCAAACCGTATCTCAACCCACACCCCCATCCCCAACACGCCAATCACAATCTCACCCTCTCCTTACTCCATGCAGCCAGCGCCCAAACCCCCCTCACAACCCCCTCCTCCTCATAGTTCCCCCTCAAACTCATTCTCCCCTTCTCCCCTTGCCACCGCCTCAACTCCTCATAAACCCCTCCCAACGTATCCTTAAACTCACTACTCGGCCTCCCCCTCCATGCACACCCTCCCCCACCAATCTTACTACAGCACCGCTCGACTACTAAATTCACGACTTCGTGTCTCCGCGTCGGATACGGCTGTGGGACGGGGAAATGCGCGATGCCCTGGCTAATCAGCACGGTGTAGAGATGCAGCAGTTCGAAGTAGCGGACGGAAGCGGGTGCGGCGGCTTGCATGATGAAGTCCCAGGAGATGTGGTCGGAGTTGAGGGGAAGGCAAGCGTTTGCGCGCCAGATAAGGCGGTTTGTGCGGGAGCTTGTTGTGAGCCATTTGGGGAGGACGGCGCCTGCATTAGCAGTGAGACGGGCGAGGCGGACGAGAGGGATGGCGAGTCCGGTGGCGATGTCCGGCCTTCCTAGGGAGTCCCAGGATGCGGAGATGAGGTTGTAGCAGTCTAGGATGGGGTCTGGGGGTTGGCCGGGGGAGGGGTGCGTGGTGCGGATGGTGTGCGTGAGGGCGGGGATGATGGCTTGGTTGAGGATGGAGGTTACGGAAAAGGTGCCTTTAGGGTGGTTTTTCCAGAGGGTTTGAAGGCCTGACCAGAGTTTTTGCATGAAGACTTGCAGGCGCTCGTTGGGTTGGTGGCAGAGTTCTTGCCATATTGAGTTTACGTTGAAGGAGCCGCGGGGGTTGGGCTTGGGGACTAAGATATGGCGACATGTTGGACAGGCATTTGTGTTGCCCCGACCGCTCGTGAGCCATTTCTTGATGCAGTTGTGGCCGAAGATATGCTGGCATGGGAGCGCTACAGGTTGGTGCGTAGTGCTGAAGGGCTCAGTGCAGATGCTGCACGCATCAACTGGGTGAAGTTGAGTATTGATAAATCTCTCCATTACGAGTTCATGGACAGTTTACCGTTGAAAAAGGAACCGAAAGGAGAGACAAATAACGCTTTTCGCATTGAGGTGGGTCGACATGTTCGTGAATCCGGATCAGGCATAAATGGCAGGTGTAAACGGAGCGTTTGTGAAAAGCCACAGGCGAGAAGTTTGCGGCTTCACTGAAAGTGGTCTCGTTTGTAGATATAGAGCATGAAGGAATTTCCATAACTTATAGGAGGACTTTTGTGATTGATGTCTTTGCATCGTGAGTTGCCTTGTCAATTCCTCGCCCTAAGTAGATGCCTTGTTGCATAGAAACATTCTGTCAGCATAGATATTACGCTGTCACTTTAACAGAACAAGGACAAACTGCAAATTCTACAAAAATAAACATTTGCCAGAAAGTCCGCCAACTTGGAAACGTATCGTGCAACTTGTTCTGGCAGACACGTGTTTGCATCATCCTCCCATCGTTGCCATGTATTCACGCCCTGCGTATTAGTGGCCAACGCCGCAGCTGAACAATGACTCCAACAATTCATTGGTCGTCAGCGCATTGTCTAACACCACGTCCTTCGTTTGCCCTTCACCGCCCCAGTCACAACGCAGACCACGCGCAATCACCCAAACAAAGTCCTTGTCTCGCGCTCAGCAAAGCAACCCTCACACCTCTTATCCACAGCCCATAATCACTGCAGTATACCCACCAGCACTTCAGAAACATTTCCATAACCCATACACACATAATCTCTCGCTAGATATTCAGGACAGATGTATTACGATCCAAGCATAGACCCCCTACAGGAGTACGAATGGACCAAAACCCCCTACAAACTCACAGTTTTAGTCCCGCCACGCCCACCGCGCCGATGGATGTCGCTGAAACCAGGAGGCACACTGGCTCGCAACAATGCCCACGACATCCCAGAACTGGCGCGTCCGAACTCACATGCTGACTTTAGCCGCGTGGCTCTTGAAGACTTGCCGGGCTTACCTCGGAAAACTATAATCGTGAAGAGCGATGGGTTTCCGTGGGACATGCGGTGCAGACATGCACGAGTTGCGAATGGAGCGGACGTGGGAGTCAGGGGGTGTAAAGAGGGATGTTATGTACTTGAGAAAGGAGGTGAAGTAAGCAGTTGGAAGTGCGCGAGTAACGAGTGCGAAGGACATGTATACTGCGGAAAAGTGATGAAGGATAAACATGGAAATTGCTGCTTTGGGAAAAAAGGGGAGAGACTGGTTTGCCTCGAGCCATGAGACGGAATATCAAAATCTCGCGAAAAGGTTTTCTAGTTGAAGGCACATTGTTTTTTGCTAATGGTAGTTTCAAAACAGCATGGGAATTTTACATCATTAAAAAAGAGTAATAACTGGATATGATAGATTGTGGGCGTTTCGTGTTGGTGACTGTTTCGTGACGCGGAAAACTACTTGGGGTTTTTGAAGCAAGACGGTACGTCTCCTCCAAAAAAACGTTTACAAGAAGAAAGCGGCAGCGGCACCAAGACCAGCCAAAGCAGGAACCATGGTCATCAACGGCGCAGCATTGGTAGCCTCCGGGGCTGCTTGTGAAGTCTGGGAAGCCTGGGAAGTCCGGGAAGCCTGGGAAGTCCGGGAAGCTCCAGAGCTAGCAGCCTCCTCTGAGCCGGAAGAAGCGGGCTTGGCGGAGTTGGTAGCGGTGGACTTGGAAGAGGTAAGGGAGGCACTGCCGGCAGAAGGTGTAGCAGCTGCAGAAGCGCTGGGCAGCAAGTCCTCGCCAGCTGTAACGACAAACTGAACCATGTTGAGGTAACCGTCTGGCAGTGTTGTAGTCGTGCTCGTGTCAAGATTCCCCTCACTGCACAACTCTTCATTAGAATCAGCGCTTGCACACGCTGATCTGATGGCGGACTCAAGACCCTTTGTCGACATAGTGCATGTAGCCTCCTGATCATCGGTGTTCTGGCGTGTGCATTGGCCCATGATGGTCACAGTCACGCCTTCGTTCTCGGCCACAGCCCTGACTCCAAAGAAGGTGTTGCCTGCAAGAGTGACTGTCTGGCCTATCTCGGCCACCGCACCTAGGTCTTCCTGAACTTGATATAAGTACATGTTACTAGAGCCAATATTTATTTCTGCTTACGGTCATGCCCTGAACGTCAAGAGACATTGTAGTACTATCATTTTCAACAGTGATTACGGAGGCAACGTATGAAAGGCTGTTGCTTCCGGCGCCTGCCATCCATGCCGAAGTGGTCAATTGCGCTGCGGCGCACGTGACAAGAAGAGCGGTGGAGAAAATCTTAGACATTATGCTGATTTCAGTGTTTTGAACCGGGAATGGTATGTCGTTGGAAAAGAACGTGCTATAATTAGACTAGGAACAACAAGCAGTAACGAGCGAAGCTTAGCTGTGAAGGCGTAGATCGGGATATCGCAGTCTATTTAACCAGGAGGACTTTGGCTGTCTGGTTGCATGACAGCGGGAACAACGCACGATGCAGGCGGCCTAAGGCGCACAGCCCCTGATATTGATCCGCCTAGTACCTCTTCAGGCCGATTGGCTACTAACACGGGCTAGCTGAGACCCATTCCAGATCGTTGCCTAGAAGAAATTATGGAAAATTCTCCACAATAGTATGTATGCAGCGGAGAAGGGCGTTGATCAGATCGGGTATCGCACAAGACTTGCAGCTGCAAATAGCTATGGTGTAGTTGACCTGCTGACAACGATCTGGTCAGCGACATCGAGGTACAAAGGCCCTCGCTCTTTGGTTGGCTATGCATAGCCTCTACTGCACAAACAGTTGACTTGCGTATTGATCCCCCTGCTAGGTCCGATGATTTGAACGGCTTGGCCTGAGAGTGCTTTGGTTGAGGCGTGTTTCGGGCGTCGCCTTGTAAACCAATGCCGGGGTGACGGTAATCTCGTTAAGCCAGCCCGGAGTTAGCGCGCCCTAGCACACTCTGGAGCAAAGGGGCATTGCGGGCATCGGTTATATGAGAGCGCGATGGGGACCAGATCACGTTGTGGACATCAAGCTAAAGGTGCATAATTGACGTTCAAAAGAGCAAGGAACGTGGATCTTGAGGGCGACATGCGCCAAGACTTCATGACATAACATCACACCAGACGTCGATGATCAACGCATCGGTCTCGAGTGTTGCAGTCCGCGGAACTCGCCAAATCGAACAAGGATTGATTGCGCAAAATTACAACAATGAAATTAGCCGGGTATCGATAACAAATAGCAGGGAAAGTAACATTGACACCGCTCTGTACGCAATCAATATCGCCACAGGCCTTCAAGTAGCACAAAATACAGTGACCCGATACAGCCGAAATCGGCTTGCATCTCTCCAACCAATGCAAGCCAGTCACCAAGCTATTCTTCCACCATTTCATCCCCTATCGATTTCGTTTCTTTTGTCGCTTAGTGAAGTAATATCTTAGGCCTCGTCGTTGTAGTGTTGCGCGCCACGACGCATACCACTTGAAAAGTTGTAATCGTCATCGTCGTTGTCTCGTGCTCGAAGAAGCTCCTTGCTCCAGCCCTGAAATGGCTTCTTGAGTGCAGATCGAAGTGAAGAAGCTGACAATGCGTGATGCTGAACCAATGGGTTGGATGGGCCAGGGCTTAGAGTCACAGAAGAGCTGCGGCTCGAGGTTTTGGAGGTTGATTCAACCATAGTAAGTATGAAAAGATAGTAGCGAGTGAATTATGTTGTATCAAAGAGTCGTGGGTAATGAAGGACTTTGCATAAGTTGAAAGATGGTATCTGAGTGACTGATCTATGACTAGGTTGAGCGTTCTGCATCGTGACGATATATATGCGTTTGCAGACCGTGATTTTGCACCAAAGCAAAACCGAGCCATCGCCGAATGGCTTCACATGAATAGTGGTTACTATCTTGACCCACATTAGAGCCTCATCCACTTGGCTGGTGATCAGCCGGGCCCCGTTTCTCCAACCCTTGATTGGCGCGTGGCGTCGAGTAAAACTCGGGTATTCGGGACTGCTCGGCGAAATTGAGGATTCGGGAGTACCCAGACACAAGACTTGACAGCTCAGGTTGTCATTGGACGATAAGAGGTTTTGGCAGCTGTCTAAAACATTGTTCTTTTGAATCTAGAAGAAATGGCTCAAAAATTCGACACCTCCGGTGAATATGCCATGACTCGAGAGCCGAGCGCAAACCACGTGATATATCCTCGCTCAAGATCATACCAAAAGGGGGATTCGCTGTTAGTGGTAGACTGGATTACTCACACGCCGATGAACCATCCATCCAGACTTACACAGGATATCGTTCTCTTACTCAGACCATCGGCATTATGAGCTACGAAACTTCTACTCTGGTTGAGGTTCGAGGTAAAGTTGATAAGGGTGTGCCCCACAAAACACCAGTACAACAATTACGCAGCAACATTGTGTGGCACTATCGCGATGCTTGCTGTTCATGAATGCAACAAAAATTATTCAGACGTACGGTAGTTTTCAGAGGCTCAACTCCTTCTTGTCGGTACAAGAGTCGTGTGCAGTCTTGTCACACCGTGTAGTCAGATCGCGCATCGTATTCATCAAGTTATTCTTGTGATTTGGCCAATCAAATTAAGTTGGCAGAAAATGCCCTTACATCGTATTGCTTACTATCTCCACACCGCCAACAGCTATGATTAGCCACTAAGTGACATGAGTGCGGAACATCAGCACTCACACCTCTTATCCAACCAGAGCACTTTGCGAACTCTCCGAACAATTCCAAAGTTTTGAAGTCGAGAGAATAAAATTATCGCCCACTTTACGCCACTGTCAATATGATGCTTAGCATTGTGTGATGATAGTTAGTCATATAAGAAAGGAGATACATCTCTGAAGAGTGAATAAAGTTGCAAGTGGAATAGAAATTTGGTGTGCAGTGTTCATCACTTCCATCTGCCCAAATATAATACGTATCAAGAGGTACTATTAATCTGCCCAATTAATATGTGAGCTATAAAAAGATCGCTCTTTCCTCTCTTCTGCATCTCCGAATTCCGCCTCTCAATCCGGTCCTTCTACGCCTCTCCGTAGCTCCCGGACTCATTTCCACCTACCCCTCATTTGCGCTACCAAAGTATACTCTTCCACGTGAAAATGTCTGCCTTAGGTCCGGGGCGAGTTTCTGGGCCGCCCGTTATGTGGCGTAACGTCAAAACATGGTGACATTAAGCTTCCGTACTTCCAAGAACGAATAAAGCCGAATACGGCGTCTTAGCATCGATCAAGCTTTCTACTACAGAAGCAGATCTCAAATCTTATTCACGAGAAGCATCGGTCTATCAGGGGAGCACGGGTAGACTAGATTTGGAAAAAAAAATACATATAAGACACTGCCACCAGACGACCAGTTCCAACATCACCACAGCATTCCATCTGCCATTCCCAACTACAACTACACAACCAACCTTCACCCTTCAACCTCCACAACAACCAGCCAGCAACCATGCACTTCGCCACCCCCCTCCTCGCACTCATCGCCGCCGTCAGCGCCGCCCCCTCCATCGAGGACATCGGCTACTGGAACGTAACCATCAGCCACGAATTCGCAGGAAGACGTGGCTATACCGAGAAGCTGCACGCCGAATTCAGGTCACCCTACTACACCAAGCCCCTCGTGACGGACTGCACGGCCTCATATACGTTTTCCAACGGGCGTACAACCCCTGTCTGCACGCCTAACTCGCTGGCTTATGCGTACAATGTTCAAACTGAAAGTAAGTTCTCCTTTTCCCTTATGTTTTTTTGGAGGGGTTTTTATTTAAAGGTCGAGGATGAGATGAGGGAAATGAGTTTGGCTGACAAATTGAAAACAAAAACAGTCTTCAGCATGCGTCAGTGCATTACCAAGCCGGCCAAGTTGGTTGCGACGGGAAATCACAAGGTTGACATCAAGGTGAATGGTGGAAAGGATCTTCGTCCTTATACTGGCAACTTCATCGTTCCCGTTTTGGAGCGTTACCCCGAGAAATAAATAGGTGGACGAGATTCATTAATATGGAGCGGGCAGTGAGTGGGACGTTTGAGAGGGGGAGTGAGACGAGATGGTTGAACTTGCAATGAGTTGGTGAGATAGGTGGTAATTACGTTCTGGATATAACTATATATTTTTCGAAATAAAACACATTGCACTTTTGAAGATGCTTCAAAATTAGATATCGCCTCGGTACTTCGCTGCTGCCCCGCCAAATGTGCCGTGGAATCCAAAGCTCATAGGGCCATGCATATCCGCTCTGCCCAAGACGCTCAAATCCTTTGCTTTGAGCACGAGCAGATAGCTCTTCTCCTTGTACCCATCAAGCACTACACTCAACAGAATACCGTCGTCTTCCTCAATGCCCTCTGGATCAGCAATGAAGATTGGCTCACCGGGCGTGTGACCTTCCTGTTCCCAGAAGATGGACTTCATCGTGTGGTTATCGAACTTGACGATGCCGTCAAAGAAGGTGGATCGGAGACGGTCAGCGCAGCCGTAAGTGTAACGGTGAGGACGAAGCAGGTAGGCTGGGTTGATGGTGCCGAGTTCCATGGAGTTGAACTTTTCCGCTTTGAAGACGAGTTCCGCAGGTAGAGGCGTTGTAGGAGGCAAGCCGGCGTCAACACTAGGAAGGCGGAATCGTGTCTGCATGGGGAGACAAGACATGCGCTTCTCACCATCGAATTCTGGTGTGTCGATGGAGGAAATGATGTTGTCATAGTAGAAGCGCTTTACGACATCGAGGTTCTCGAACATGCTCAGTTCGACGACAACATCGGTCTTGCTCTTATCAGAGGCAGACGGTTCTTCCCAGGCGTTGATGCTGTGGAAGCAGAAGAAAGGATCGCTCTCAAAGGTTGCAACCAGGCCCTTGTCTGATTTGCGATCGACGACGTACCAGCGGGCTTTCGAGTTGGGATCAAAAGGAGCAATGGCGTCGACAATATTCTTGTGCCACAGAAGACCAATTCCATTCCATGTGATGTGGGAGTTCCAGACGCAGACAATGACGTAGCTCTCAGACAGGAAGATAGAGTGAATGTATGCTGGCGTGCCGGGGAAGGTGGCAAGAATTTCTGTTTCGCCTGTGGCCGCTGATACGCGGAAGACGCGATAAGTACAGCTAAGAGCACCAAACTCAAGATTGAAGTTGTACATGTCGCCCGTGTTGGGGTCGGACTTTGCATGCGCGGCAGAGAATGGTCCTTTGAGGTCTGGGTGGAGGGCGGATTGGCGAGCATACCCCTTTGGCTCCAAAGTCTCCGGGTCAATCAACTTGAGTGCGCTAGAATCTGTCTTCGCACACAGTGTCTTTATGCCACTGGTATGGTTGCTGGTCTCGAGTGGCTTACCGCGGGCAACCTTTTCACTTCCAGGCATGTTGATGGATAGAGTTACTCCAACGTTCTTCTCGTTCTTCAGCTTGGGTACGAATATGCTCATGACCTTTTGGAAGAAGCTCTCACAAGGGTCTCGCTTCGCACCGAAAGTCGCAGTCTCAAGCTTGCCTGTGGTGCGAACTATGTTGATGTACTCGTCTACTGTACGCCTGGATCGATAGGTGACTTTAGGAGTATTGCTGCCATCCGGGAAGTCGATCTGGAAGCGATGGACGCAGGAGAAGCCGTCGAACCAATGTCTTGCTGCCCAGATTTTACCGTCGTCTGTTTTCGCCTTGAAGCCCAGAGGTCCCGTCCTGTAAAGAACACCTGCAGCATATCGTGGGATATTACCGTGAACGGTGAGTTCGACGGGTTCATGCTCTTGATAGTCCGTGTCGAAGCCGGCCGTGTTAGGCCAGACATCAGTTGTTGGGACAACCATATTGGGCTATGTGTAGAAAAGAAGTTGAGGTCGTTTTGATTGGTAGTAAAGGATTTAGGGGGCTTGGTAGATTAGAGTTGAAAAGAAGATAAAGGTTGTACTTGAAATGAAAATGGCTCAAGACGCTCACTCTAGATAGCCTGAGGGTAAATGTAGTGATGAAAGATGTTTCGATGTCTGAATGTCTTCTGTTCATTCATCTGGGAATTGCTCTTATATATAACGAGCCATGTCAGGCGAGATATGCCATAGTCTTGTGAAAGCGGGTTCTCCATCGCCCCTCAACGGAGACACCGGGATACCATGACATCTAGCGTGCGTATGGCGTAGTATGGACCACAGCGCGCTCTCACGCCAAGTGCATACATCTCAGTCGCATTCTTCGGCGCTTGTTTCACTGATTATGAGGATGGCTTGCTTCTCAGAGAACATGATTGGCGAGGATTGCGGTTGGTATTCTGATTCGTGACTATTCCCCACACCCAAGAGATCTCTAAAATATCACTAAGACATAACAAATGTCGGTAGTTGGTGGCATAAATCACTTCTCAACTAAAATCGCATGTAGTGTAAACCCTCTCGACCGTACAATATCGATTCTTGACGTTACACTACGGGTCGGGCGGCTGAGTTGTGGCTAGTGGCCCGCACGTTTGGGGGGAAGAAGGAGGAACAAACCTCCGATGCTGTTAGTTTCGGCCGCAATCCCATGTAACGGTCGGCCACTGTTACCAGAATGCCATTCTTTCCGAGCCCCTAAACTGTATTGGGCGAATGTGGGGCACAAGCCTGGTATGTTTTTTGCTCAGTTGTGTAAAATGTGCCACAGACGAAACAGAAGTTACGGCCGTAAGGAAGAAAGTTCGCCCGATGCTACCAGTGCACAAAATGTAGGCATTTAGCGATAGAATTCATTCTTTTTTGTTATGACAATAAACTTCAAAGAAAGTATAGCCAAGACCAAAGTCGAAGAAGTAGCAAGGAGCTCGCAAACTATGCTTGATTGACATGACTAACCTGCGCAATCATGAAGGTTGAGCACTAGTCCAAATGCAGTACTAGCGGACCAAACTCCCGCCGTTGCTAGCGGGAGGGCGCTGTTGCATCATCAACTCCAGACTCACTTTCACACAAATGGCCACCCACCAATTCGTTTACATGTGCCCTCGCCGAATTGTAGCGCAGTAAAAACAGCACCAAGTAAACCGAATTTCAAACAAATTTCTCTATGGGACCTTGAGCCAAGTCGATCCATCTGGGACGACGTTGTCGCTTCAACACAAATTTTTAAAACCCAAACTTTGTCCCTGTAAATATAGGTCAAGGAGACAGCGAACAACCACAAAAATGGGGGCCATACTATCCCTCCCCTTCACCCTACTCAACTTCCTCCTCCCATTCACCCGCGCCGGCACACCATTATCGCAAGATCTATTACACACAGCCATCCTCTGCGGAACCCTATATTTTGCCCCGCAAATTGCTGAATGGTACAATGCCCGCCAACAAGAAGCCCACACCACGCCTTTGGACCAGACAGACGCGCACGAACCTACAAATCAACCCGATAACGACCTTACAAATAGCGACACACAAGCCGTCGCCGACCCACCCCTAGACGAGCGTTTTGTCCTCCAAGACGACGACGAAGCCGACAACACCCCCGGCGCCGCACGACCACGCGCACCCACGCCACCACCGCCGCCCCGCCACCAAGCCCACGTCGAAGACGACGAGCACCACGATGCCCGCGACCCCTTCGCCCCGGGCCCTGCGAATCCGCCTCCCCAACCCGCCCGCGCACCACCCACCCACCGCACTGTCGGCACCAAAAAAGCCAAATCCCTCGCCCGCAAAGACCAGCAGCGCGCGTACAACGAGTGGCTCCGCCAGGAAGCCGAGATCCGCCGTAGACAAGAAGATGAGGGCCGCGAGGAGCGCGAGGCTGCGCTCACGCTAGAACGCGAACGCAGGGCTGCGGCTGAGGAGGTGATTCGGGCTAAGGAGCGTGAAGAGCGTGAGGCGCTGAAGCGAGAGCGAGAAAGGGAAGCGGATGAAGAGGCGGAGAGGAGGGAGAGGGTGGTTAGTTATGTGAAAAGTAGAATCGAGGAAGTAGGATGCGTGGATTTAGTGGAGGCGGCGTGGAAGGAAGGGAAAGACAGAGTGTGGGTGGAGAGATTGGTCAGGGCTTCGGGGTTACTGAGCCAGTTGCAGAGGGATGGGAGTCGTGTTCTGCTGACGGGGAGGGATTGGCTTGTTAGGATTGATCAGCAGATCATGGATAAAGCGTACGCTGAGGCGGAGCGGTTCGGTCAGGAACATGGCGGTAAGGTGGGATTTGAAGATTTTGGCAGTATCCTGGAAAACGTTGTTCTGCAGAGCGTAGAGGCGTGAAAGCAATTGGTAAAACGAAAAAGGGCCGCTTTTTTTCATCCGACCAAATGGCGTTTTAGGCTCAAAATGATGTAAAAAGGGAAGGATAATACCCATAGACGAATTCATGATACAATATTTCTACCATGGTTGACTACGTCAAAGGCCAGTGGTGCAAAGACTGTATTCTACACACCACCATACACCAATACCTCATTCTCTCCGCTGAAGGAAAAACATTCCCCTCGGGACCTACATCACCCTGCACGCAACAAGTCCAATTGCTTTGAATTTGGTATCGTATTGTCCATTTTTTGTCATGCAACCATGAAAGAGGAGGTCTTATTCACCTAGAGAAGCCATGTCATGCATAAGATCCCCCAATCCCGTCCGATCAAAATCCGACCAGAACAGCCATTCGAAAGAACTCCATCCAGAGACACCATGCACACACATACACAGAATGCACGCCCTTATCGGTTGGACTTGGCGACACGCTCGAGCTCATCCTTCTTCTTGATGGCGTAAGAGTTGCTGCTTCCCTTGGCAGCGTTGATCAGTTCCTCAGCAAGGCACTCGGCAATGCTCTTGATGTTGCGGAAAGACGCCTCACGGGCACCAATGGTAAGGAGGGAGATACCCTGGTTGACACGGCGGAGAGGAGACACATCGACGGCCTGGCGACGGACGGTACCGGCGGAACCGATACGGGTGGAATCTTCACGGGGACCGCAGTTGACAATGGCGTCGACGGCGACCTGGATGGGGTTCTGGTCGGTCATGATGTGGATCTGCGATTGTCAGCTATCTTGCACCGACTTTTCTCTTCCTTGCCAATATTGCGTTTCTGGATTTTTGGAAGCGGGTAGACGTACGATCTCGAAAGCGTGGGCAACAATGCGCACAGCCATGAGCTTCTTTCCGTTGTTGCGGCCATTCATCATGAGCGAGTTGGTGAGGCGCTCAATGATGGGGCACTGGGCCTTCCTGAATCGCTTGACGGCATATCGGCCGGCCGAGTGTGAGATGTAGACGGGAGAGCGGATCTGGATGTAGTCGCTGCGGCTTCAGTTAGCCGAAGGTCTCGCAGCGCAATACAAAAAGAATCCAATGCCATCACAGTATTCCTTCATGTATGTGTGCGGCGCAAGATCGTGGTGGGGGAAACGTACGTCAATGAGATGTCGCGGACTTCGACCTCCTCGTAGGACCACTGTGAAATGTTAGATTCGCTTCTCGTTGTAGTTTCGCATTGTGCCTGCCTTGTTGAACAGCTTCACGCTACCCTGCTCCTCGGCGACATCCTTGGGAAGGATGTTGATACCGGTGGGGTTCTCGACCTCGATTTCTCCGTTGTCAGACATGGTTGCGTTTGTCGGTGCGTGAGGGAGAAAGAGGGTTGGGCGTCTTAGTCGTTGTCGCTGAAGTTCGAGCAAGTGTCTACAAGGGAATTTCGCTAGTGTGTGTTCGCCAATGGTGCGCTAGTCGGGCCTTGGCGCTAGACCACCGACCGCCTTTACATTCTGCCACAAAGCACTAGCGAGAAAACAACCGGGTACTAGATCGTGGGACGAGTTACACATGCTACATTACCTACAGACTTGTTATCATATTGATGACACTCCTTAGAGTTGCCTAGCACTACCGCCAACACCACACCATCTATCTCTCAGCTAAGAACTCGCAGCCATCCGTTTCGCACCAATGTCTAGAACAGCATACACAAACGCAGTGTTACAAAAATGGGAGAACATATATCAAAAATTACAATAACTATACTATGTATTCATCATCCGTAAAGCATAACTGTGGTATATAACGCAGTTTTGCCTACCCTAAACAGACCAAAGAGATGTAGAACAAAACGCCAAATCAGCCAAATGATGCAGCAGTGGCAGCCCAAACTCCATGCAATGCCGCTAAGCGCAAAAGCCGCGAACGGGGAAATCAAGTGGTATCACGACTCTCGCTGCGCCCTGGGCAGCACACCAGGCACCGACGTCTCAAAGCGTTCATCATCTGCACAATCATCTTTGCGCCCTTGACACGCTCCGCATCCTTGACACACTTCGTACCCTTGGGATAGGGGCACTGATGTCTCTCCGGTCCTTCACTCCCTCCACCATCTGTTTCATTGGCGTCCCTTGGCCAGCAGCCATGCTCTTAGCGCGGCCGCGTCGTTCGCGGATGGCGGCAAGAGCAGCCTCCCGGTCAATACCCAGCTTGTTCAATGACAGCTCGCTCAAGGCAGGTGTCTGAGCATCTGCTGCAGCGTGGGCGACAGTCGAGGGTGTCATAGGGCCTCGGCCTGCCTTGAATGCTGGGGTCGCAGGTGAGAAGTGCAGTGGGATAGTGGTTGTGGTAGTAATGGTGCGGGTAAGGTAGGGTGTAACAGGACCAGTAGGCTCAGGCTCTTGAGTTGGTGGAGACGCATTGTCGTCGTCACTGTCCTCAATGGCATCCTCATGAATGTTAATATCTGTTGACTTGCCCTTACGGCTCTCTCGCACAAAAGCTACGCGGGACGTTGGACGAGACTCTGGAAGGGAGACCTCGGCAGGAGCCGGTACGCTTCTTGTCTCAAGGTCCATTGGCGGTGCTTCACTCATCTCTACTACGGGTGATGGCTCGGGCAGGACGGCTGCTGACTGTGCTTTGACTGGGGAAGGCACGGAGCGGAAAGTACCTGTTACTGGCGAGAAAGCAACAACAGTGTCTGGCTCTTGGGTGGGCTGTTCAGCCACAGGCGTGATAGGACGCTCAGCTTCAACAGGCTCTTGCTTCATGACTACATCTTCCATGACATCGTCTTCGTGGTTGCTAGCTGGAGGCGTAAATGTTGACTTGATGCGCTGCATTTCGGCTTGGAGAGAGTCATCGTGAACGAATTGCCTGCCCCTGGTCTCGGCAATTCGGCATGAGCAGCACTGAAACTGGCATTCCATCTTCATGTAGTCAATCTGCTCCTCAGCACGCTCGCGGGCGCGTTTCTCTGCGGCCAGCTCTTGTTGAATGAACCTCAGCTCGACTGCACCCTTCTTCGGTGAGACATTTTCCTTGTCATCGTCCTGGCGGGGGTTGTTATGTTGCTTGCGCGGGGATCGGACTGGTGCCGCGAATTCGTCGTGTTCGTCATCCTCGGCGGAAGGTAGCGGTATCTGGCCCTCGGCAGCGATACGCAAGACCTCTTCCTCTTTGAGACTGGTCTTGAGAGCATCGCGTTCTGCCTCAACCAGGCTCAATTTTTCCTTGAGTGCCTGCAACTCTTCGCTGAAACGTGTGTTGGTGCTCTCAACTTCAACCTGCAAGCTGTAGACGTCGTTCTTGTATTTGGTAGCTTCCTCAGTCTTGAACTTGACATCTGATTCGGCCCGCTGCAGATTACGCTGAAGGGTCTGAATCTTGGACTGGAGCTGTGGGATCATAGATGAATGTCGGAGCTTATCGTTGTTCGCCTCGATCCACTGCTTTTTGTAGCTTTTGTATTTGCCTTCAAAGGCTCTGCTCTGGTTCTCTGCTTCAATCTGTATATTGTGAGCGCGATGTAGTCAACCAAACATGCCAGCTAGACTTACCATCTTGTGCTGCATACCCTTCCATCGCTCCTCGTTTTGTTTGAACACAGTCTCCCATTGGTTAATGGCAGCCTTGTTCGCCTTGCGTTCCTTCTCATAGCGTTCCTTGGTGATGGCAAACTCGAGCGATCCACTAGCATGCTCAAGTTCGCTCTTCAGCTCTTCGATGCGAATATCGCGCCGGCTGATGGCCATTTCGTGCTCCTTCTCCTTTTTCGCATGCTCCTTTTCAATCTTAGCCAGTTTCTCTGCATTTCTCATCCTTTCCTTTTCTAGCAATTCCTTGAAGCGTCTGGACGCTTCTCTTGGGTCCTTAACTTCGAGGTTCTCAAAAATGCCGGTGAGGGCTGTGACGGAGACGTCCGAATCGGTTCGACGGTGGGTGTGTCGTAGCGGTGAGTGCGTGCGGAGTGGCGGTGTTGATGGGGACATGACGGGAGATGCACTTGCAGAGTCGCCATATAGTGATTTCATGGGACCGCCGCGGTCGGGGCTGGCGGGGAAGACGGGCATTCCAGGGGAGAAAGCCATTTTGTTTGGTGAGACGGGCACAGGCGGATCCAGCTGGACCGGGGATTCTTTGAGGCGCGCCAACTTGACGGTATTGAAGGGTTATGTATGTTTGAGGAGAGAATTCTTTTTTTCGAAAACAAACTCAAGGCGAAGTTTGGTGCCCTAGTGAAGATGTGCTGCGCGATAATGTGATGTGTGGTGGTGCGAGCGTAGACGACCGAGTGTAAATAGCACTAGTTGGCCGTCATCCAACGCTACTTCCCTGTACCGTAGCAACCCGCACGGACCACATCATCTGGCAAACCCCGCGTCATTTGTTCCCTGCACCTGGACTGGGAATCCCGAACACATATTTCTCTTGGGTACCTGGTGTAGTGTAGACCCTTTTCTCCCCTGATTGGAGTTAGGCTGCGAAGGCATGATAAAGATAAGATATCCAATTATTCGACCAAACAGCTGCAAAGCGTGTTCAAAAATGCCCGCATGGACATATCTGCTTTGAGAGTTCCTACAATCAGTGTATGACATCCTAAGTAACACAAATTCCATCTGTCATAAACTGCACCATTTCGGATTCGATGGTCTGATTTTTGTGCATTCTCTTCGGAATGTGTGAAAATGCTTTCTCACCGCAATCCACTCCGCTGACCAGGACAGATGGAATCAATTCATCCTAGTCTTGCATGAAAGGCTAATCAGAGATACAAGATCTTCTCATGCAGGTCCACGTCCAGATACCGCTAGTATAATCCTATTTTCGACATGTTCTCGTCAGCTGCATATTCTTAGATCGCTAAAGTCATTTTCCAGATGCTAGGCCTGAGAGCGAAATTGCAGAGTCGTCGACACTGATAAGAATATCATTACTATTTTACAAACAGCGCCAACTTCTCCAAATATCAACCTAGTCTACAAAGGACTGGAATACTCAAACATGATAGAGCAGATCGAAATATAAGCAAACCGAAAACTCGGTACAACGCTCGCTTGATAATGACCATGAACAAAGCAACGCTTATGAAACAAAGTTGCCGGATGCCCTCAGGAAACCAAACGCCCCATGAAGAGAAAGATTTTTCGACCCTTCTTATTTGCAGAGAAAGAAAACACATATCTCAATGTGGTGACGGCCGTACTCGAGTCATAATCGTAACGATGATCAAAATCGATAGGAAAATTAACCGGATAAAATAGTAAGAGTTGGAAGTCTACACTTCCCAGGGTTGACGTGGACGATGAATGGCCCCGTAGCTCCTTGGCTCGTCCTCTTCCATCAAACTTCCCATGACAGAGCCGGCATCGGTGTTTGTAAATGTCATTGCATCGTCTTGATCCAGCTTCTTGCGCATGCGGTACACTTGGACCGTAACGTACACAACCAGCGCCATACCGACTACGAACGCCGAGGCTGCGAAAAAGATGTTCACAGGAGTTGGGTCGCCCTCGAATAGGCTCTTGGTCAATGCGTCGATAGCCGTCTGCGAAAGGTTGACGAGTCCAGATACACAGATAATGGTGCCATATACCCTGCCAAACGTAGCAAAGCCAAAAACCTTGGTAGCATAGTCTGACATGGCTGAGTAATAAAGTGGGCGTAGAAAGACGAACAGGACGACATTGATGTAACCAGCCCATAGGGTAGATATAGAGCCAATGATGCCAATGGCGGTAGTCATGACGACAATAAGAAAGAGAACACCGGCGGTGCTAACGTTGTCAAGCAGAATACCGAGGAAGGGAGTTGCAAGGACTCCGGCAAGTGGGAGCGCAACATCGAAGAAGTTGTTGACCTTCTCAGCCAATTCGACGGAGCCGAGCATATACGTGTACTGCTCGCGGATAGTTGCGATGAAGTAGTTCATGCGCACCATCTGGATAATAGTCAGAAGGACGAGCAAAATGAACCAGGGCGTCAGCATTTGGTCTTTGGCAGACTTGTTGTGCAGTGCTCCCCAGACACCAGAGGTCTCTAAATTCTGCTCTCGCTTTTCTTCTCGAAGTTTGCGCGCAGCTTCATTGCCAATAAGATCGTCGAGCTTGCTCAGTCGTTCCTTGCGGCGTTCGCTGCGAGCTTTTCTGCGCCTCCACATCTCCTCGTCTGACAACTCGTCGTCCGAGGAGTGAACATCGCGCATAGCATTTCCAGCTTTCTGAATCTTCATCTCGAGCTGTGCCTCAGTTTTGTAGTTCTCAGTCGGCAAGAAGGTAAGTTGGGCAATGGCGATTGCGAGTGGGACAACCAGATATACCAAGAAGAATGTCTCTGGCTTGAAGGTCCTGTCGCTGGCATCGTACATGATTCTGTAAAAGAGGAAGACTGCAGCTGAAGCGTCGAATGCGCCAGTGACGAGCGCAACGACGGAGCCACTGTACTTGGGGAATGCATTAGCAATCTGGAAAGAGGGCAAAAAGACAAACGTGCCCCCCAAGGCAAGGAAGAAATTGCCAATTGTATAGCCTTCAAAGCGCTCGATCTTGGAAGCAAAACTCATTAGCATGCTGCCTGCAGCAAGACACAATGAACCGGTAAGAAAGCAGAGCTTGGGGCCGTAGCGGTCGAGCAGTGTGCCGACTGGCAGGGCAGACACGTTTGCAGTAGTAGACGCCAACGAAAAAAAGAAGTTCAATCGGAGATCCTGCTCGAAGCAGACTTCGACATCATTATCAATTTCTTCGGGAGTGCAGAGATTGCGGAAAACACCCTCTTTAACGAGAATTGGCTTGAGTGCCGCGAAGCCAAAGACAATGCCGCTGGCAAACCAACAGGCGAGGACCGTTGCAATGACCTGTGCTACAAGCAAGGTTAGTCGAGCTCAACGTGCCTTTGCTGTTACTCGAAGTAGCCATACTTACCGACACGCTTGGTAGTGGAGACCTTGTAAGGCGTCAGACCTCCCGGCTCCTCGCCTGCGGAAGGCTCGTCGGGGTTGGGAATCACATCGTAACTGATGACCCTCCGAATTGCCTTTCCTTGGGGATTGAGGAATCCGGCATGCGACATGGCGCTTTCAAGCGAAAGACGGCGGTCGGCTGCATCTTGACGGCTATGCTGGCGGTCAATCGGCGGCAGAAACAAATCTACGAGCGCCTCGTCGCGGTCAGTGCCCTCCTGCTGGCCAACATGCTGGATCAATGACATGAGAAGTGGGAAAGAAAACGCTTGTTAGTAGTGAATCTGAGTGAAGTTGAGGGGAAAGAAGCACAGCGTGCAGAGGGAGAGGTCGAGGTCAGTGAAAGATTTGCTTGTGTCGGGTCGTCGGCAGGGTAAACAGAGGGAGGAAGAGCGGGCAGGCGCGGAGTTAAATTGAAGCTCGGCAGACTGACACGCGACCCAAGATCTAGACAGAGCGATAGCGGGGATCACATGGCACATGCGGCTTCATGTCCGGCAGGACGGGGCTGTTGGCCTCCCATGTTGGCGGTGTCGTGGGCGCGAGTGCGAGCATATGCATTGTACACAGTGTATTCTGCCGGCATGGGCAGTCGATCATGCTTCGCGGGATGTCGCATACTCGCTTGCCAGAAAGGCCGCGAAACGTCCAAAACGGCTACTGTTGTGAGGCGGATGATTGGCTGTGTTCGGCGGTAGTCCTGTCCGCCGCCCCACGCACTTTCGCGCATCTTCCACCAGGTAACAACCTGGGAGCCACGGCGACAGGCCGACGACAGCGCATCACGCCATGTCTTCTTTTTCAGATGATACAATGCCCATCATTACATACACGCGTATCTTGGAGAGGAGGGTGGGTAAACTTGCGTCATAGGCCACGATCGCCGTGCTTCAACTACCCTACTCGTACACCCTCTATCGCAACCATTACGCAGATGATCCCTGGCCATACACATCCGCATCGAAGTTGGTGGGGAACTGGTCGCGTCCCTCAGCATCACTTCGCACCCACACCGCGACGCTGGTGCCAGGACACCTGAACAGTCCGTAGCCTTCACTGTCAATCTCTACCTCGCCCTGCTCCCATCCAAGCACGTCGGTCCACTTCTCCCCGGCGTGCATCTCACCAACAGCCATTTTGATCTGCCCTGGCCCCGCATTGCTCATCACACATGCAAGACCCGCCACCTTGTCCCATGTCCCACGACGCACAAACCCAATGCAATTGGCCTCGTTGAAGTAGTCTTCCTGCACTCCGTATGCAAACAGCCTACGCGCCAGGATAAGGTCTGCAAGCTTGCCACCGCACGACGCCGGTGTTTCGTGCGGCTCAGACAGTCCATACAGATCACCATAGAACGGACATGGGTATCCTTCTTGTCGGAGTAGAATCAGTGCATATGCAAGCGGCTTAAAGAAGCCCTCAATCTTGGTCTCCATGACCTGTCCCGGTTGCGTGTCGTGGTTAGTGACAACCGTCACAGCATCTATCGGCCGCAGCCTGACCAGTGAATCGTCAAACACTGTCCTCAGATCGGCAGATTCGGATGTGGATAGCGAGCCGAACTTGTTAAGCAACGGCGAGTCGTAAAGGGAAATTTCGTGGTTCATGCCGTCGAGCCATTCGCTCATTTCTTTGACATCGCCCGACCAGAACTCGCCTACAATGAAGATGTCGTCTCCGCATTGCCCACGAAGGTTCTTCATCCATTCGTTGGTGAATCTTGAGCTGAAGTGCTGCACAGCATCGAGGCGGAACCCCTTGAGCCCGAGTTCTTTGGTTATCCATATACCCCAGTTCTTAACGTCTTCTTGAACTTCAGGGTGCGAGTAGTCAATGTCTGCAAACATCATGTAATCAGCATTGCCGGATTCCGTGTCCACACTTTGCGACCAGCCCTTGTTGTCTCCCAGGATCTTGTAAATGGCCTTCTTCTCATTGGCCTGGTTGTAGTCGGTTCCAGAAAAGTGCTCCCAGTGGTACTTCATCTTGGAATATTGCTCGCCACGTCCTGGGAAGTCGAATCCTAGCCACCCCTCGATTTCGTAGGCATCGGATATCTCCTTTGTCCGATCGTTTTCGTCTACTTCCACGATGCGGCACTTCTCTGTCCTATCTGCGCCCGCCTTGTGATTCAACACAGCATCCCAGTAAAGGCCAACGTTGTGTTCCTTGGCAACTTTGGCGAGCTCCAATAGCTCTTCCTTTGTTCCCCATTTCGTGCCTTTGGCGCCTTTCTGATCAAATTCGCCCAGATCGTATAGGTCATAGATGTCGTAGCCCACACCCTTTGGATTCGCGGCTTTGCAACCCGGAGGTAGCCAGATGTTAGTGATACCAATCGCTTTGAGCTTGGGCAGCTGTTCAGCGAGACGCTTCCAGTGTTTGTGATCATCTGGGACATTCCACTCGAAGCCCTGGAATAGTGTGCCATTCTCAGGCGTTGGCTTTTGTTCTGTTCAGTGGTGAGCATTGCGGTAGTCCAATCGGAAGAGAAGTTATCGCTAGGCTTGACTTACCTTCTGAACCCATCGTCAGGGATGCGCTTGTCAGTTTAGATTTGAGGTGTGCTATGTTGTACGGTTTCCCGACGATCGGTAGACGGCGTAATGGTTCAGCTGGGCCAAGGAGATCAATGTTCGAGGGAAGTTTTCAAGTCCACTGGAAAATTTGACAGAGCCGTACTTGTCACACATGTTCTTTACTTTTATACCCACTACGGCTCATAGCGGGTGAATACCCTGTATGGTCCCATAGCTGAGCAGGTTTGTCTGTTGACTCTTCGGGCTGTGCTGGCTATCAAGAATGAGACACGGGCGCTATGAATGGTCTAGATGTGAGTGGAGACCGTGCTTGCCAACATTCAGCATCAGTGACGTCAGCCTGCACGAAGCAGCCATGCCGCGGACTACCATGAATCATACAACTCAGCTGTCGGTGTGGAAGTAGTGTAGACAAGTAGAAGCAAAAAAGAACATGGTGCCCTGGACATGTATGTCAGCTTGATGGAAGCGTTGTGGGTGGAGACTTTGGGGCAAGATCGTCACTGCTTGGACAGCCGGAGGGGAAGTCGCCAAAAAGGCTGACTATGCTGCAACAGGCTAGCGTCTTGCAGATGCATCTGGGCCACTGTTACTACTTGCATCTCATCTCATTATTGGTACACAATGTGCGACTCGACATTGTGAGGCATGTAGCAAATGCTTGTATGAAACGTGAGAAAAACACTTCTCGCTGTATTCTTAGTTGTACTGTCTGTCTGGTACAGTGGTAAGGCACGATAACAGTACTACGGCTGCCTAAAGCCACCTGACTGACAGTAAACATGGAAAGGACACCCGATGATAAGGCACATAAGGGGGAGTCCGCTGCAAACACCAATTCTTGCCATACCCTTCAAACTCTCTCCTCTGTACAATCGCAGCCAACAGTCTTGACACCGACATCGATATCTCAGCTGGGCGCGGTCCAACAAGATCACGCAAAGCGCAAGGCTCAACACGTCTCTACTACATCACAGAAACGCTCCAAAATGAGGCCTTCAGCGACTTTCAATACTGGAAAAGACTCCGCTGAGGCCAGGAGCCAGCTCATTGTTCGCTTCTACGATCCAGATATCAAAGCCAAAGATGCGAAAAATCGCACGCTAGAGGAAATCCTGTCATGGCCGGATTCCCAGCTTGAGTCCTCACACAACTACATTCAGATGCTATTTCCATTGCCAGAGGGCTCCATGTTTAACTGGGATGCACCTGTTATTGATCTTGCGGTTATGCAAGCATTCTGTTCGCGAAGTGAGCTTCGCCATCAGCTGCGTCGGAGCTTTGAGCGCATGCTCAAGTTCTACGGCTTCCGGGTGCCGACGAAACCGGAGAACGAGTCGAAGAAAGATGTTGTTTCTGAAGTTACTCAGACTGACGTAAATACGAACTCCCCCAACAATGCAGATACCTCTGCATCCGGGGTCAAGGCCACCCCAGAAGCGTCCACCTTCCCACCTGGAGCACACCAAAACATTTCGATCTCGAATCCGCTACCGTACCGCATTGTTCGCGCCCCTAACTGGCCCAAACAATTCCAGAACTGGGCCGGCTTATTTGACCACAACCACCTCCGCATCACGCGCATCCTCCGCTGTCTTCGCGTGCTGGGTCTCCAGAAAGAATGCGATGCCTTTTTCAAGGCTCTGGAACATGCATTCCATGACCCCGAGACCAGGATCAGTGAGAAGTCTATGGGTTTTTGGCGGTTGGCTGTTATGCGCCCATTGCAGTGGGCGCCCGATGGTCAGAAGTGCAAGTGGCTGGAGGCCTGGCAGCAGGAGCAAGAGAGTGAAAAGTGAGCAGATATAGCGACTTTTATGAAGGAAACTCTGTCACTGTGGACGGAAATGCAAATCAGGTTACGTGAAGACGGGTAGATTACAGGGTTGACGCGATACCGTCTAGCGTCGTGTAAGGTAGTACTAGTAAAACTTCACGACAAGACTTCTCATGGGTGCTTGGTTCGAGATAGCAATCAGAATATATCAATCATTCTTCATTACATTCTCTGTTGCAAGCCATTGGTGACATATGTAAGCCACACGGCTTTGTAAGCCCAGCACCTCATTAAATCGCCACGTGGCGGCGTAGTGAACAACGGTTCTTTGGAAGGTCCCGACACTCACACACACATCCTCTGTGATCACTTCAATCCCCTTTGCACGCCACGGGTGTGTAATCTAACCTTTTTCTTTTGATAGACGCTCCCGAGGATATTCAGATGCCATAATTACATTGCGCAAGATCTGCCTCTACAGCTCCACTCAATTCTCAATGCATACACTTTCCGAAGCAGTCGCAAGCACTGACCTTGAAACTCTGTCATCATCTTGGGCCTTTGACCCGGAGCAGCCGCGCCGTACAAAGCAGATTCAAAGAGAATCTTAAGAGTCCTTTTCGAGTGGTAGAGGAAGTCTTCGTCATCTCATGGTCATCTGGTCTCCAAGCTCTGTCTCTGTGGCTGGGGGAAGTATAAGACCTAGCTTACAGAAGAGTAGTTCAGCCACAACCAACCCCACTTGCTCGTATATCTCACGTATGCATGGTACTCAGTCTAGAATCACCTACCAACAAGGGACTATGATAATAAAAAAGCCTCATTTTTGATTTTAATGGCAAACTTAGCACAGCCACGACGGAAAAGGGTCCGAGCATTCTCATGATTATTACGGAATATTTTTCGCGTGTTTCTGTAGTTCTCCGATAACTGTAGTTTCGGGTGGGGTTGCTACTAAATCAATAGTACTACGTAGATCGACAGTGCTAAAATCCGGCTGCTACCAACAGTTGAGCACCACGAGTGCAGCATCATCTCGGGCCGCTCGGACCGTACATGACCCTAATTCTGCATGCTCTTAGCCTCTTCCCGACCCGAACGTATTCCCAAGAGCATGGGTATGCACATCCGCGTCAGAAGACTTGACATGACCACATACAGTCATCGCAGAAGCGTGTGATCACACCGCCACACCAGGATGAGCACGAAATCATGAGTTGCGGTAGAGAATCCATGTGCAGGGCGTGCTTATGGTGCCAGCGTGAGATGTTGGGTGGAGGGTACGGAGAGCGCCCGAGCAAGTAACGTCACAGCCAAGACAAAGGCTTGATTACGAGGATTCCTACGCTTCCTCCTAAGAACAGTACTCCGCTCTTGGCAACTAATGTGACGCCCACGAACTTCCCAAGTGGAATTTTCTCAAGTAAAAGACGGTTATAAGCTTTTCTGATGTGCTTATACAGCTAGCCAAGCACATCTTGCACGCTGGTCACAGCCGTCTTCCTCCCTTGGCATCTGTATCGAGGTCGGATGGCCGGCACTACAATCGATGCACCGTCTCGGCTCCGAGTTTTGGGAAATTTACTTTCTTGCTGAGAGGAGCTCACCACTAAACCTGTTGCATGGAGGCGGGTCAGTGAACAGGTCTAGAGCTTGCCGCTGGGCCTGATATTCACAGTCTGCGCACGCCGGAAGCTCAGACCATGAGTCAGAGGGTGTATTGTCAAAGATTCCTAGAAGAGACAAGTGTCTTGTCCACTGACTGGTCTGACAATTGCTCAGATTTCAAGTATGTTGAAGCAATCCAAGCCCGGGCCACGAAGGCTTAGTTCAAAGCACTGACTACCAACTGGAGTAAGATGTATTGATTCATCGTCATATCGCGGAGATAATGTTGTGTATCCCTTTTTGTTCGTCACTCATTTCGGATATATGGAGTTAAGGATGCTGTAGAGGTTACGTTGGCATACACCAAGGTGCTAAATCTCTATCATGATCTTCAACAGGATTGATGCATACCAAGAACAACCAAGGCATCCTTTAGATTTCGAAAACTGTGCACCAAGGCATGGCGAGCCATTTATAAGCGATCGTCAACAACCAACGCTTATTGATGCCCACGATACATGTCGTTATGGAGCGCCTACACCCAAATCCCATGGTCTAGTGACCTCCCTCGCCCATCTTCAACTGAATAAGGGAAAGCATGGTGAACCTGATGATGTGTCCTCCTCCACCATGATGATTAGTACAACGGGGAATCTACCAGATTTGGAGACTTGTTCAGGTATTCGTGGATGAGAGGTGCAAGTTGGTGTGGATTCTGTAATCAGCTGTGGCTTGACAAGGCATACGCCTTCCCTGTGACGACACTTAGGAAGAAAAATGCTAGCTCTTAAGGAGCATATCCGAAAGGCAAGAGGTGAGGATAAAAGGGTGACCTTCTCCAGCTTCAGATATCCCACCACACTCTTCACCTCTCTATCAATCACTACAACAATCTCTCATCCCAACATCAACACAAGATGCTCACCCTTCCCATCCTCTCCCTCCTGGTGGCAGCCGCGACCGCTTCTCCAATGAGAGAAGTCCGCCAGCCCGCCACAAAGCGCCTCATCAACCCCGACACCGTCAACGCCCTCACGGCCGAACAACTCACCACGCAACGCAACGCACTCCTCCTGGCCCAATCCGAGACTGCCCGCGAAGCCATCCTCTTCCCGAACGCCCCCAACGCCGCAAACGACACCTTCCAATTCATCAACAACACGGTGACCCCCCCAACCGGCGGCTCTATCTTCCTCTCCACGGTGAACAACTTCCCCGCCCTCGCATCTACAGGCCTCGCCGCCGCCGTCGGCTTCGTCAACCCCTGCGGCCTCAACACCCCGCACTGGCACCCGCGCTCCAATGAATTCCTCACCGTCGTCCAGGGAAAGCTACTCGGCGCCATCCTCCTCGAAAACGACTCGGGCTTCGGCCACGTCGTCGGCGGCGCTCCCCCCGTCATCGGTCCTTATACGCAAATCGAAACCACACTCTCCAATTACACCGGCATGCTCTTCCCCAAGGGTCTCGTCCATTGGCAATTCAATCCAGAGTGCGAACCCGCTGTTTTCGTCGCTGGGTTCGATAACGCCGACCCTGGCCGCGTGGAAGCTGCCCGGGGTTTCTTTTCTGCGACCCCCGACGAGGTGCTTGAGGCGAGTGCGGGATACTCTGAGTTTTTGACCCCTCAGCAGATTGCGGGGTTGAGGCCTACGCTCACCAGTGATTTTACGGAGATTGTGGAGAGTTGTGCGAAGAGGTGCGGTATTCCTTATAAGGCGGAGTCTGAGCCTTCGGCTAGTTCGTCGGCTTATCACCCTTCGGGTACTGCGTCGGCTTATCCTGCGGCTTCTAGTGGGTACTAGGGTTGAGGTGATGAACTGAGGCCTTTGTGAACTGGTAGAGGAGGAGGGGGCGGTGGTGATGGTGGTGGCAGCAATAGCAGCGGTAGTATAGAATGTCGGTTAGATGGGAGGAATGGATATAGATCAGGGGATTTCATTTGTTATACATAGACTGTTGTTTGGATTTTGTACCTAGAATTCTGCTAGCGATAGCGATATGAAATTCACACTCGTTTTAATAGATGACTTTGACATTGCAAAGATTGTTTACTAAGAAGTTCCTTGAAATTAACTTGACAGCGAAGGAGTTTCCGGCGAAGGTAGTGACGGCAAGATAGCTGACTAGTCCTATGGCTTTTGAAGACACTGGTGGTCTTTGCATCATGTGTCGCCAGTAGGAACATGAGAGACTGCCGAACAATAGGCCTGACTGCCACTATTAGTGTTTCAGCACTGGATCATTCATGTATCGCTCGTAGACGTCTAGCAATACCGTATTACCGCCACAACTCTTGTTTTGCCAAACACACCCTATGCAGGAGCTGGTTAGTACAAACACAAAACTTGAACACAAAGACAAGATAAACCCGTATAAATCCCTTGGATAGTTTCCGATAGTACTTCTTTCGCATTCAATGTACACACCGCACCGCTCCAACAGCAATGCGATTTGATCCCTTCCCACCTCCTTCATATCTCTTCTTTTCCTCCAGATGTCTCCTCCACTTAAAACTCAGAGATAGTATCTCCCCTTCGCTTACCACGCATATCCCACCTTCCCTATTCAAATCATTAGCTTCCCTTTCTTCCTATTTCCACATTCCATGCCATGCATGCATCTTCAAACTCACCTCAGCCCAGTATCCCGCGGCGCCCAGCAGACCAGGTACCAATGCAACATATGCGAATGTGATCCAGGCTGTTCGTCGTGTCCAGCGGAAGTACTTGTGGCGGTTCGTGGTCATGGCTAGGTCGCTACGTTAGTAAATGCGATTGAGCCGCCCCATTGACGGCGGTTAAGCTGGTGTTATGTTTTCCGAGACTTCGGTAAAGTTGGATAGGAGTGCGTGGTCGGATTGGAGGGGTCCAAGGGGGCTAAACGTACTGGCCCATTTGATGATGGCGGGATCCGCGTGGATCACTGGGTGTGGTCGTTAGTTCAATTGCGTCTTTCACACGCGGTTTTTGGGGTATATACGCACTGCCGTGGTTGTGGCCGGCCATCCGGCGGAGTGTAGGCTGCATGATTGTGGAGTTTGCGCGGTGTGGAGAGGGGCGCGATGAGTGAGGTTGTTGGTTTGGAGAGGTGCGCTTGCGATGAGGTCGGCGGGTGCGGCGAGGGCCGTGATGTCTTGGCGTTTTTGGATTGTACCAGCGAGAGGATTGATGCGATTCCACGCTGATAATCGCTATTGGAGAATTACACAATAATTAGAGAATGTAAATAGAAGGTAATCTACTGCATTGCGCATCAGATATCTGGAAGACCGTTACTATAGCTATGGCGACGAACTTGTGCTGCATGCTCTGAGCGACTCTGTCGTCACAGCTCCAAGTCTTGCCCATCGCATATTTCTGTGCACATACGATGCTTTAAAAACAATGCTCTTGTATAGAACTATAGTTTCTATCGCATCGTCGGAACATACAAGATCCGATACAGACGACGCTTCTCGGGCGGGGAGTCTACCCTTGGTGGGCTGAGCGCCGAAGCTTGTGACGAAATCACAGCGAGCTTGTGGACAAGCCTCGGTGATAATATGCGACGAACCTTATAAACATCCACAACTTCCGCTCAAAGTTTCAGTCTGCCCTACCCTAAGACCTTAATAATTGCAAACCTATATCTTCCCCATAAACCGTAATCGCAGCAATGTCGAACCAGCAAGGTGCAACCATCACAGTTCATTGGTGCGTGTAGAATATGCCCCAGCGCAATTCCCTTCCGCATCGCCAAACACAATGCATCATGTGATTTAAAGAGTTCCTGTCTAATTGTACTACAGGCTGAACAAGTCGCGCGGCCAGCGCATTGTGTGGCTACTCGAGGAGCTCAATCTCGAATACAACATCAAGGTCTACAAGCGCGGTGCCAACAGGCGCGCAGGTCCTGAGCTAAAAGCCGTCCATCCCTTGGGAAAATCCCCAGTGGTTACCATTAGGCCGGCAAATTCGGAAAAGGATATCGTCATTGCCGAGAGTGAGACCATTATGGAGTACATTTGCGACCATTTTGGAAAGCAGTTGGTTCCTGCGAGGTACCCCGAGGGCCAGGAGGGCGTGCTTGGCGCAGAGACGGAAGAGTGGATGAGGTACAAAGTGCGTTACTTGCTGTCGGATTTTCTTGGTATCTTGTTATGGAAAAGAGGCTCAGAGGGGTTGGTGTATCCAGGTGCCTCTGCCTCTTCTCCTGCAACTCTTTCACGTGACTTGTACGAGTATGATAACTGACCACTTCGCAGTTCCTCATGGATTTCACTGAAGGTAGTCTATTCACAGTCCTGATTGCTGCTATCCTCAGTGGTAGTAAGTCTCCGTCGAACATACATCTCTCCCACGTTGTTTTATTGACACCATGTAGGTATCAAGAACGCTCCCGTTCCCTTCTTCCTCAAGCCCATCACTGGTGGCGTTGCCGCCAAAGTCGACGACTCCTTTGTAAACCCAGAGTTGAAGACGCACTTCGATTTCTTGGAAGACTATCTCATCAGGTCTCCCTCGAAAGGAGAATTTTTCTGTGGTTCCAGCCTTACCGCAGCGGATATCATGATCCACTTTGCGCTTGAGGGAGCCTGCCAACGCGTGCCTTTGAGTGATACAAACTACCCCACTCTATACAAGTACATGAGGAGATTACAGCAGATGGATTCGTACAAGAGAGCGGCCAAGAAAGTCGAAGATGCCAGCGAGGAGAAGTATGTGCCGTTTAGCGATGCCAAGTTTTAATAGAGTTGAAGCTGTATGGGAAGAAAGGCGGGATGAAATGAGAACAGGGTCCCGGCTACTGTTTGATCTGCAGATGCATGGTTTCTTATACAGTCACATGCCGTACATTTAATAGTTTACGCCGTGGCGTGATTATATCCGCTATGGACAGTACACACATGGTCATGATTTGTGATTTCAAGCTGCAGCTTTGTCGCTAAACGCACCCGACATGAAGGTGAGATCACACTTGGAGGTAACACAGCAGAATCTCACGTCAGCACGTGCAACCCCTTCTACCAACCGTCCGTATCACCTGCGATCTAGAGACCAGTCAGCTTTAGCCTCACATCACTGCATGATGAAGATGGATATTTGGGGGCGAATTTGAGCCGCCCAGGCAAAGGTCAGTGATGTGCAGCGACATTGACTCGCGCGAGCGGCTGGCGGGTAGGCCGAAGAGCAAGGTAATGATTACGCGCAGATGGCTGAGGCGCCTTGCTGGCGCGCAACAGCGTTGTTATATATCCGCAACGTTGCTCGTTGCTCGTGGATCGTACTGCTCTTCCTCCAGCGTTCGCTCAAATCGCTCGGCCGGCCGTCGTCGAAATCAACGCCCGTTCCAACCCCAGTCCGAATCCAGTACTGTCTCCGCGAGCTGCTCATCACCAAGATCTTACTCAGCTCTCCCTCAGCGACTCAAGACCCCCGGTTTTCCAGCGCCTTGAGTTGATTCCAGCACCTAGGCTACCTGTCGCCCGACACGACGTACGAGGCGATTGTCAGGGTGTGGTTAGCCAATGTCTGACCGGTCGCGCGCAACCTCTCGGGACTTTGTATTTCAAACTTCTGACCAAGCAGGTGGAGCATCGCAGCCGTATCCACAACAGTCGTACAACAGCTACAACGCGGATCAAGACACAGGTACAGCCGAGACTGCAAGCCAAGCCCCGGTCTATGACGCCTCGACAACCTATCGCGACTATGTTGCGCAACAACACCAGGTAGCGCAGGGCCAGTTTGCAGGCTTCAACTTTAGTTCTCAGGCGCCTGCAGCATGGGACTGGACAAACTCGCTCGACTTCACCGACTTCACCAACCAGTATGAACCTCAGGGTGAGCTGGTCCAAGAGTTCCAGGGTCAAGCAAATTCGACCAACGATTTCAGCATCCCGCTCCCCGTCACCAATGGTGACTCTGCATATCCGCCTTTTCAGCAACCCCCAAGCGCGTCGTCTCCACCACCACCAAATGCTACGCAAACCCAGATCCCATTGTCTCCGCCGCCCCCGCCTCCTCGATCGCAGCAACAGCAACAGCAGAGACCGGTAGTGCAGACAGGCATGAAGCGCAAGCTCGATTCCGAGCCATCTTCAGCCGTATCGCAGGCTGGTGGTGCAGCTGCAGAGAACCCATCGAAGCGCATAAACAAGTCACGTCAGTCGTCAGATGCGTCGGCTGCGTCGCCCGTTATACAGGCACCAGTCGACACACATGCAGCGGCGACGACCACGACGACGCGTAGCACAGCCCCTCCCGTACCGAACGAAACTGCATCGCAACCGGCGCCGCGAGAAAACACACAAGTTGAGCGGCGCAAGGAGCAGAATAAGGGCACAGGGCCGCAAGGCAGGGTCATTGACGTTTCGACGCCGAGGAAGATACAAGATGCACCCACCGGAGTAGACATGTTGCCCGCAGGCAAGGTATTTCCCATACAGATTGGCTCGGAGCTATTCAGATTGTCTGGAGCCTCGCTCTCATCGGATGGTAAGCATGTGCCGAAACTGAAAGAAGCAGCCAAAGCCGGTCAGCTAAGACTACTAGAGCACCTTCATACTTTTCCCATTTTTTCGGCCAGCAACTACACGATAACGGGGGTCGCGCTGGTGACGTGAGGACCTTGTATATCGACCGTGATCCACAGACATTCCGTGACATTGCGCTGCATCTACAGGGCTATCACATCACTCCGAAAGATGGCGAGCATTTTGTCAAGTTGTATGCTGATGCGCAGTTCTATTCCTGTAAGCTAATCTACGAAAAGCACAAAGGCTGGGAGCTGACTGTAGTAGTACCTCGACTTACTAAACAGCTGTTCGGCACTGATATATTTGTCCGTATAGGAGGGACTCCTTTTCAGATACCGCGCGACCTCTTCTCTGCTCCAGGCGACAGTCCCAATTTCTTCTCTCTTGGATTCGCGCATTTCTTCTTGACACCCGCAGAAGCATTTCCTGGATTGGATCGTGATGCGCTACTCCGTCCGCCATCCATCAAGCCACCCTCAGTGCCGAATAGAAACGGAGAGACTTTCAACGAGCTGATACAGATACTACAAGGATACAATGTCGAGATTCGAAACAGTGAACACCGATCTAAACTCCTCAGAGACGCACGTTATTTCCATCTCAAAGGGCTTGAGCAAAAGCTGATACCATGTGAAATCTCGTTCAATGTGCGGCGCCAGCAGTCCGAAATTCTGGTGCGGCTCGAAGACATTCGTCCGTCAGGTGTTTCCTTTATCCCTGATAAAACAGCATCGGGCGACTCTGATTCTGGATCGGTCCATGGTGGCCATTCAATCAGTGCGTCCCCAGTCCCACAGCCTGTTGGCAAAGTCGACAGTCCTGCACCGTCAAACGCAAGCAGCAGCGCTGTCACGCGAGCAGGCTACGTGTCATACGCGCGTCCATATACGGATGACCATGCAAATAGTAATATCTTGGTTCTTGAGATTTCCTCAACTGAATCGACATCGTTGTTTTTGCCATGGTCCGCCCCCAAGGCTTCACGGACGGGTCCACTGGAAGTTGACTTTCGAGCCACGTTCCACAACTCGACACTTGCACGTGTTACGTCCCTGTTCTCCGTTGTAGCTTCAAAAATGGGTCTGCCAGCCACGCAACCTCTGGGGCTCATGCATCTGCAGTCTGGCGGGGGTGTTGCGGCGCAACCAGTTAGCCCGGCTAATTCTGGCGTGAGCGATCGCCGCGTTCGCGTGCGCCTCGAGACTGACTGTGCCCTGGAGATCGACGGTGCTCCCGCAGAGCTCGGCGTGGATGACAATACTGGCTGCCTTGGTATCCGCCGGGCAAACTACAACGGTACATGGCTGTGGGGCGGTGATAAATCAGATTCCGAATCTTCGTATCTTCGAGCCGACGAACGGGATTTAGAGGTGGAATGGACACTAAAACGCGCACACTGGCGCATCCGCGTCGAGCCTCTTGCTCCCGATGCAGACGATGATGTGCGGCGCATGCAAGTCATACTGTGTGGCGTGCGACTAGAGGTGTTTACGGCCGAACGGGCTCGTAATGCTTCACGGAGGTTTTTGACCTAGGAGACTGTACAAAGGGTGTACCCTGTAAATATATACGAATGACACTATCTATTCTCCCACATATGACCATACTCGAGATTGTGACTGTTGGATTGATTGCCAGTTGAGTGGCCAATCGCGAATCACTGCTGTTGTAGTATTTCTCTCTAAATGCTAGTTTTCAAAGATATTGTCCAATACTTAGTCAATTTTCCTGATGTTGATACGAAGAGACGGGGTTAGAAGGCTGTTATTCGATAATGCAACTGTCATAGTAAATGTACAGATCGTACCAATGAAAAATCATGAAAGTTTCTGGATGCAAATCTAGACTGGCTAAGTTCAATCTCTAAGTTTCTAAAAACAGCGATTAATGAATCTGCAACATAAAGAAAAAGGAATTGTTCCAAGCATTCTATACCTTTAGTGTCATTTCACAAATCCGCCCCACTCAGTATAGTTTCTTCTTCTCATTTGCGCTCTACCCTAGGATTAGGCTCTGGAGTCCCGGGTGTCAATGGACTCGTACTATCTTTTCTTGATGCATCGGGAGACCACCTTTCCGCATCACCCAGGCGGTCTGATGTGAGGCCTGCGGAACCAGGGTTGCGCATACCGGCTTCGAGTTGCTTCTGGTAACTGACTTGGCGTAGGCGCTGGGCCTCACGCGGTGTAAGGTGTAGATAGATTTCGACGCCGAGAGCATGTAGTGCAAATGCGAGCCAGACTGCCATACCGAATGCAATGTTCAGCGCAGCACCAGTATTCGCCCTGTCTCCGGATCCAATAGTTGCTGCTACGGCAGACACAGCGTCTAGGTTTGAGCCGTCGACAAAGGCAGAGCATGCGGGATACGAAGCAACGAGATCTATGCCGTCTTCGATGGTAGCCGAAATCTTCGCGCAAGGCCACACAGTGTAGTACCCGCTGTTCTTGATAATCTGTGCCGAGATAATCATGATGATGCGAGTCGTGATGATACAGCCAGCATAGAACCAACCTCGAAGCATCCAGGCGCGATGCTGCTCAATTTGCAGCTTCTTGACATTGATATAGCTGATAATAAAGCAGCCCAGGGTGGTGACACCCAGCGCACCGAGCGAGCTCTGGACATCGAGACCACCGCCAAATGCATGTCGGATAATCATCAGGGCACCGACGAGACTGATCAGGTACAGCAGCAAAGAAGCGTATCCGCCAATTCGATGAAGAATGAGCCAGCGGTGTCGGATAAATGGCGTGAATTGCAGCACGGCAATTATGCCTGCGGGCAGGATGCCGCCAAGATGCAACAGGATACCCACTTTAAACCTGTTGAAGTTGAGGTAGTAGTAGCATTCTCCTGGCGCGGCGCTATTTCCCGTCGAACTCGGCCCGTCGGCGGGACAAAACTTGCTCGAGAAGGCAAGGTATTGTAGGCGTGCTAGCGAAACTGTGGCACATGTGTTGGAAATTTTGAAACTCAAGGCCAGCTTAGGTGATGGGAGAAGGGGAACGAGTAACTTACAACCAAGGAGCGCACCCCCGAATACAAAGTACAACCAGAAGTTGTACGTCTTTGTGAAACCGAGTGGATTCACGATTTTGCGAGCAAAAGTGCTCGAGGAAGGTTGTTTAGCGACCATGTTGATATATTTGCACAAACAACAGAGGGAAGAAAGTGATGAAGATGGTGAAGAAGAAGGTCTTATTGTAGTAGCAAGGGAGTTGCTTGATATCTAAATTTCTAATTTTCCTTTCTCGTGCGATGGCCCACTATATGTTATATCCTACACAACTGTTTCGAGATCAACGTAATGATACCCCCTTTTCGAGACGATTGTGCACGTAACACTCAAGGAAGAGCGCCAAGGGTCCAGTGGCCGCAGCATGTAAGTATAATGCTTTGTGCACTGCCTTAGAAGCGGTGGGCTCATTACAACCGCAAAGAGTAGATTCTGCGACAGCACTGGAGCCCGATCAGA